GGAAATGTTGAAAATTTTGTTTAGTATCCTAATATTTTACTTCAAATAGTATGTTTTGATATAATCATGTTGGGAAAATGCAAGAATCCGTTCTTAAATATCTTTTAACAACTTTTTTTCTAATTTTATTGCCCAAAAATGAATTAATTTTAAATTATAAGCAGTTAAAAACTGAAATAAAAATACAGTTTTACCAAAACTATGGATTTTTGACATGACGGTAAAAACCGTCATGTGTCAAAAACTTGCCAACCCTGCCTCATGACTATCAAAGATGTAAAAAAAATAACATGCTGTTTTGCTTTTCAGTTTCATGTGTTAGTTAGTATTTTTGTCACAAAATGGTATATTATAACACAATTATGACATTATGCATCATACGTTGTGTTATAACTTATTTAAGTTCAGTTAGTTTTTTTTTTAAAATAAAAAATTCTAATAGAGATAAATGAACAGAACAGTGAAAATATGTGACTTATTCTTTGGAATATTGATTAAATTTTCTTAATTTCTGTTATCTCTGCTTACCAAGTGGATAAAAAAGTAATGCTGACATAATGAATATTAATTTATTTATTGTTACAAATATAGTGATTCATATTTTAAATAGCGCATTGCACGTAATGCTTAAGATCACAATTTAAATGCTACTTTTCTATTTTAAAAATACTGCTGTCTTACAAGCCAAATTGTTTTGAATTAAAAAAATGCTTTCATTACTTGACTAGACTTTACACACAAAGCACTGCATGCCAATAAAAGATCTGTAATCCTTTAAAGAATATTGCTTTAAAGACATTCTATTAATACATGATGCATAGCGTTTTTAAAAAGTGCTTAAAGGTGCTTATTTATTTTTTTTTTAAACCCTTAAAGATGGTTTTTTCATTTGGTGTTTTTGAAAAGTGCTTAATTTTTCCTTTTCGAAAATGAGATTTTTTTATTACATTAGTGTTGATTTTCGCTGCGTATTCTGCAAAAGCGTGGTTATCACTTTGTTCTATTCAACGTTTTCGTAAATCATTCGACCACAATCCATTTCGACTTACCTTTGGCCTGCAATGTATGATAGCACCTCAATCATGTTACAAGTTTGATGAAGTACTTGGGAGTCTGCATGTGTGCCGACTGAGCTGAGTTTGGTGAAATTCTTGCGCTCTCATGTGCAACTCTGCTGCATTTTGCAAGATATTCTCAATTTCAAGCTTCATTTTCCGCCCTCTGAAATCGAACCAAAAAATCTCAAACTTTTTATCATGGCTAATATAATCAAGAAAAGAATTCTTTGTCAGACTCTAGTTATTTTATCATGATCATGTAAAGTCATTAAAATCTATTTTGCATTTTTTTAATATACTATATGTTGCTTACAAATGTTTTTTCAGTGCTTAAAAAGTACTTTAAAGGTGCTTATTTTTTGTTGAGAGATTTGGCTACGCACCCTGTAATGGAACAAAAAACTTATTTACTCTAATAATTGTTTATGCCAATTGTCCAGTATACTGGGTATTTGCACACCTGAAATGTCATGAACTAGATCAAAATTTTTCACAGAAAATCATGATTTTCATGATGGTAAAAAATCAAGAACTCCTTATAAATTTTAGGTACTGTAATCTAATCCTGTTAAATGATTTGAAAATACCCCATTGAGATTTGTATTAGCATGATATAATAATCACAAAGTGCTACCCATGCATGCAAAATAAAATCTAACATCATAATTTGTTTTTACGTAATTTAAAAATCACACATTGTGGTTTATAACATAGATAATTTATTTTGTCCAGCATGTGAATGTGAAACATTCAAAATAATAGCATTTTTGCCAAAACTAATTTTTAACAAAGCTGCTTTTGATTTAAAAGCTTTTTAAGTTAATATTTTTTCTCTGTTTAAGATTTGAAATGTATTTCTTTCAAATTTTATTCTTGTTTTATTTTGTTTTCATTTTATGTAATTAAATTATTAAAAATATTTTTATTTATAATTTATTGTCAGATTTGTTCTCTATTTGATGTAAGCAACTCTTTTTTTTTTCACTACATTTTTTTTCCAGAATTTCATATTAATATCAAACATTAAGTTAACCATTTTTTATGACATAAATATAATGTTTAAAATGAAAGCACACAAAATAAAGAGTAGATAGTTTAAACTTTTTATGTTTAATCCCTAATACATTATAATGCATATAATGTTTAATACATAATGCAATATAACTTAATAAAAATAAGTTTATAATTAATATACTTTTATTTTTTATACATAATTATATTTGTTTCATGGAAACAAAAAAAATTTTAAGCTAAATCAGTTTTAACCTAATGAATATTAAAAATATTAGTAAAACCTAATTTTAAAAATGATTTCAGTTTGAAAAATTTTGAAGATATTTTTGTTTAATGTTTAATTTTTTTCTTCGTTATTTCGATTTTTTTTTATATATTTAAAGTAATTTGATTGTACATGGAATGATGTTAAAATTTTTGTTTCATTAAAAATAAATTAACATAATTTCTGAAATTGATCTTTTGAAAATAGCATACTTGAATTTGGTCAGATAAGATATTTTAGCTTTATAAATATTCTTAAAAGGTATTTTTAATTAGATATTTTTAAATCCATGTTCTAATTTTTATGATTGTCACCATAATTGCTGTGTTAACTTGATTTTCAGTTTGCTTAATAGTTCAGTTCTTTTTTTATTGCTTATATTCAAATTGTTTATATATTATAACAATAAAACAATATTTTATTTATGTAATATGAAAAAATAATAATTGCACTATATTTTGGTACCATTGACCTTATTTAAGAACTCTTAGTACCCTTGCAACATTTTTTTTTTTTAAATAAAGGTATAATTATTCATTTTGTGGATGATTTACATGCTCGTTTAACTTATAAACAATAATTTATCTTCAAAAAATAGTTAAACTGTTTATTTCTTTAAAATTTTTAAAAAAATTTAAACAATTTTTCCTTAGTGCTTACAATATTCATCTTAACAAGTTTGTGCAATTATTTGTTGATATATCAATTTGAACATTTTTTATAGATTATTTTGTACAAAAGTAGGGAAAAAAATGTTAAAAATTAGTATTTGGTAATATAACATGCTGTAAGAATTTTAATACCTCATAAAATGCATATTCCATGCACAGTTTAAATAAGTGTATTGTTAATGGAAAAGTTTACTTCAAAGCTTTATCTTAAATAGAAAAAAATCCTTAGAGGTTTAATTAAGATGTAAACACAAAATTATCATCTATGAGAAAAAACACTTTTAAGTTTTGTTTTTGTTGAAAAAGTAATTATAACAAGCCAAAATATATTTCATACATTATACAGTTATATATTGTAAAAAGCATACAAAAGATTTTAAAAAATATAAATATATTTAAATATATAGTACAGAACCCGTTATCCGGAAATCGGAAAACCAAAAAACCGGAACGAAATTCGATAAATTTTTACGCCATTTTTTTTTTTAAAGAAAATTTCCCTCATAAGATTTTAGGATTTTTCTTTCTTTTTTGAAAGATGTTTACCTTACCATCATTTTGGAAATAATCATTAGTGTATTCCTTCATCATTTTTTCTCCTTTTTAAGATTATTTCCAAAAAAAAAAAAAAAATTTTTTTGTTGTTGGGTTTAACAATTAAAAAAAAAAGGCTTTTTGTAGCGATTCAGAAAACCGGAAAAATCAGTTATNCAAGCCAAAATATATTTCATACATTATACGAAACAGATGTTTACAGTTATATATGTAAAAAGCATAAAAAAGATTTTAAAAAATAGAAATATATTTAAATATACTATTTTTTAAGATTTCAGAACACTTCAATTATTTACAAGAAATTTCAATTATTTACATATTTGACGTATTCAAAATTTCTTTCTCATTATCAAAGTTATAATGCACCATATAAAAGTACCATAAAAGCATAGACATATTTTTGTCTGTTTGAAATCCCTCGGATTGGTAAGTTAAGCCTTTTTTTTTATTTTGTTGGCATTACGGCGTTTTATCGCAAGTCTTAAATTTAATCTCGCAAGTCTTTAACTAAAGTCAAACACTTTCATTCAAAGAAGAAAGATGAGAAATTGATAATCAGTTGTTACAGAATTTCAAATAAAATGAGGCTTGGCTTCTAGATTATATTTGTAATTTATTTGGTTGAGTAGAATCAGCAGAAGAGCTGTCTGCTTGTCAATTTTTTTGTTTTAGGGCAATCGAAAATCATTCGTAACTTTTTTAAAAATGTAGATAGAGAGACGATTTTTTTTCAGTGTATTTGAAATAGTTTTAAGTTTTATTATAAGCAATAATTTTTTTTTTCTTAAATATTTGGGCCATTTTTTGGGTACTGTGACCCCTTAAAAATACTTAGGTGATGAGATGAGAGAGTTCTCAAATAAAATCAAACAGTAAAAAAATATATATGAAAAGGGAATTTTTTTTCTAAGCTATAATTTCTACTTTTGTCAGGGCTGTTTATGGCTCCAAAAAAATTAAAAAATTGATGTGAAGCTATTTATCTAGCTTATTTTTGCAAGTAATCTAAAAACTTGGCTACAAAGACTTAAATAGTTACAATTTATGTACTTCACTGTTTACTAGAATGTAAAATTACTCTTAATAATCATGGACTTTACTCCATGGAAATATATTACAATTTTTATATGTGTCTTCTGGTTTAATAAATAAATTTCTGTATGTAAATCAACTTTTAATTTTTTTAAAAATGAACTGTTGACTTTTTAAATGTTTATTTTTTAGAACTTGCTTTTCCCAAGAACATCAATCATCCAAACAACAAGCTCTTAAACAAAAGAAATCAAATTACTAAGAATAATCGACCTACTGACGCGGAAATAAAAGAATCAAAGGTGAAAAAAGTGGAAGATGAGGAAATATTTTCGTGCGACATAAGTAGGATAGAACCGAGCCTGAGTAGAAAATCATTTGCTCCTGATAACTTCATGTTTTGTCCCCGTTCTGAGTGGAGTTTTGCTTTCCAAGTTGACATCTCATCTCCGGCTTCTTTTTTAAAACTCAAAACAAATGGAGTTCAAAGAACGTATGTTGATTTAAATTTTTTGTTTAAATGTGTTTGTAACAATTGTTTTCATTTGTAGGCATATTATTATTTTATTTCATAAACTTCGTTGAACAGCCGACCCAAATGTTTGGGTTTACGACTACTAATGTTCAACTCCGTAGCTTTGTCATTTTGAACCCAATCCAGAAGAGAAGTGAACTTCTGGATCAAGTATTGGAAGAAATTTGTCTTCCTGATGATTTTTTTTGATGGAACTAACCCGCATTTGCTTTGTATGGAGAGGAAGACCACGAGAACCTCCCATGATTAGCCTAACGGCAAGGGGACTCTAAACCATGATCCGCCTACCACTGAGGATACTTTACGTCAGTACTGTGGTCGGTGCAAGCCGTGTGCAGGATTCATATCCAATTCACCTAATTGGAAGGCGAACGCTCTATCCCTTGATCTAAAGCGGCTCAGGCATATTATTAAGTTATACAAAACTCCCACAAGGTCTAGATCAGTGGTTCTCAACCGTTTGTTGCCCCCGCCTAGAAGTTGACTGACATTTATCTCCCCCCCTTTTTTTTAGATTACCTCATCAAATTCTATCAGATGACTGGTTGATAGGAATCTGCATCTGGCTTGCACCGACCACAGTGCTGACGTAATATATCCTCAGTGGTAGACGGATCACGAGTAATGTCTCCTTGTCGTCAGGATAACCGTGGGAGGTTCTCGTGGTCTTCCTCTCGTACAACGCAAATGCGGGTTAGTTCCATCAAAAAAGTCATCCACAAAGGCAAAATTTCTCCCAATACTTGATCCAGGAGTTTCCTTGTCTTCTGAATTGTGTCAAAAATTACAAGGTTATGGAGTTGAACATTAGTAGTCGTAAACCCGAAAATTGAGTCAGCTGTTCAATAAAGGTTATAAAATAAAATGCTTGTAATAAGTGCATTGTATATAAAGCAGGGTTGGGTTTTTGACATGACAGTGGTAATAACCGTGTTTTTACCGGTAAAAACCGTCAAAAACCTACTGTTTTCTTTAATTTATGGCATAAAGCAGGCAATATATTATTTTCACATAATTGCCTTGTTAAATGAATGTTGTAAATGATTGCTATTGATTTTGCAACTATAAACATGTATTCTTATAGAAGGATATACATTCATATAGAAATATTGTAATATACTTATTGAAAATAGTGATACTTACTTTTATCATTATAGCTTGATTTGCAAAGGATTCAAAATTTTGCACTTCTTAATTGTTAGAAATAAACAAACAAACAAAAAAGCTTGGAACTATTAATAAATTCAAGAACTAAAAAGAAGAATTTAAAATTTGGCATTTCTTAAATATTAGAAATAAGCTAAACAAAACTTTCAAAACTTGTAACTACTAACAAACTCTAAGTCAAGAATGACTTGACATTCTTCAGTAATGTAATATGCCAAACAAAATGATGCTTGGAAATGTTGAAAATTTTGTTTAGTATCCTAATATTTTACTTCAAATAGTATGTTTTGATATAATCATGTTGGGAAAATGCAAGAATCTGTTCTTAAATATCTTTTAACAACTTTTTTTCTAATTTTATTGCCCAAAAATGAATTAATTTTAAATTATAAGCAGTTAAACTTAAAAATACAGTTTTACCAAAACTATGGGTTTTTGACAGTTTTCGACGTTTTTGACAGTGGGGTTTTTGACATGACGGTAAAAACCATGGTATAAACTGGTAAAAACCGTCACGTGTCGAAAACTTGCCAACCCTGGTATAAAGATTTCATTGATTTATAGATTCTATGAAATGCGGAGAGTTCTTATATGCTAGAAAAAACTCTTTAGAGGAGAGATTGAAGAATTTTTTCTTCTACTAAGCATAACTATCTTCAAGTTAGAATTTAAATTGAAGCAACTGTGTAAATTAACAATTTTAGTTTTAAACAAATAGTGTATTTTTTTTTTATTTTTTTTTTTTTTTTCAATTGTGAAAAGAAAATGTGTTTTCCTTCTGACTAAAGTTTCTTTCAAGAAATCCGTCCATTTATCAAACTTTTGACTTATATCATAGATTTTTTTTTACTTCAGAATTTGCGTATGTTTATCATATTTAGTATCATAATACCTAATTAGAAGAGTTTCATAATTGTGATAATCATTGTTAGGACCATCAAAAATGACCTTAAAAAGAAAAAGTAAATGTTTTTTTAAAACATTTTTTGTGTTAGCTTTACTGTATATATTAAAAAAAATTATAAATCGTAATTTGTATTTATAAATTTAGTAAAAAAAGGTAATATAATAATTTAAATGTATAATTTATAAATGAAATGTAAATAAATTCCTGGTGAATATGATTTGTAATTTATTAATTTTAAGTAACAATTTTCAAGAACATCTAAAATTGCATTTTATTATCAAATATTTTTTGATATACTTCAAATTAAGTGATTGCCTTTTGTCCAAAGCCAAAATTTTGTCTCTGGAGCATATGTTCAACATCAGCACTAGTTATGTGATTATGTGAAACTATTTATAAAGATTAATGCACAAGAAATGCATTGTAAAGATTTGATGTAGCATTTAAATTAATTTATGGAAAAAAAAATTAATCCACAAACAAAATATTCTTAAAATAAATATATCATTCAAAATTCCTAAAAAAATAACTAAAAAAGGTAAAAATATGACAAATGAAAAAAAAAGACTTAAAAATAATGATTAATGAAAATGCAAAAATAATGTATTTATCTTCAAAATCTTTATCCTTGTGGGGAGAGTAAATATGGACCTTTCATCTATGAAAAAGTACCCCACCATAAATTTGAGTTAACATGTTTTATATACTATTGAATTGAAATTATATTTTTGTAGTGGTAGATACACTACATGGTTATGGTAGTATAAATATTGTTCTATGTTCTAGTTCTTCTTTTTAAAAAATTAAAATAGATCAAAATCTAACGATTTTTGTCATTTATCTTTATTTTAGATCAAGTCCATTGAAATTAGATGTGAAATCTCCCGCTGATGAGTTACTCACAACCAAAAACGAAGACCACTCTCTTGACTCCAATCTTCATGACGGAACAAGTTTCAATGAAAAAGCAAAAATCTCCCCTGGTGACAATGAATGTCAGAGAAGCTTAACTGATGACTTTAATATGAAAGTTGATATTCCAGAAAAAAGAATAGAAAGTGACATTTCTGTCTCTGATTTAACTGCAGGTTTAAGACCAAAAATGCCATTAAAAACTACCACCGATTCTACCAAAGGAGATTTGCTAGAAGAAGTAACTGATGCTAATGGTGTGCTAAATGATAAGCCTACTCTTCTGGTGGCCCTTGATAATGGCGTGGGAGAGTTACAGCAAGAACTAACAGGAGAAAAGTGTGAGCTAAATGTTGAGCCGGCCATGCTTGCTGCATTTGATTACAGCACATCTGAAATTACTTCTGAGGACTTTTCTAAAACTTGTGCTACTAGCTTAAAAGAAACCCTTAAACAAGATGAATCCTTGGAAACAGTTAATTGTGTTACTTCTGAAGTGTTAGATGATAATAAAATGATTAATTTAGAACCAGTTGATGTACTTTCTTCATATAAACCTATTAGTAATTGTGTGTCGCAAACACTTGTACAAATTGAAAGTCCTTCACAAAAATCTACAGAAAGTTGTCCTGGTTCGTATGGTTCCGGTTCGAGTAAAATGTCCAGACGAGATCAATTTTACGAGAAAAGTACCGCTTCTGAAATAGATGTCAAGCTGGTCGATATTGACTCGGCCGGTATAAAATTTTCATGTAAATCTATTGATAATAATGCATCAGAACATAATGGAGGTCCTGATTTGTATGTTTCCAGCTCAAGTGAAACTCCACAACAAGAAAAATTCTGCAGAACATTGAAAGGTGCCACTTCTAAAATAGTAGAAGGTATAAAATTGGTAAATTTTGACTCGCCTGATGCAAAATGCACTTCTAAATCTATCGTTAATAGTGCATCAGAAAGTAATGAAGAAGAATCTGTTATGCCAATTAGTAATAATACAGGTCTTCCTTACTTATGCGTTGCCAGCCCATCCCAAGATAAACCTTTGGATAAAATAGATTGCATTATTCCGAGCATGTCCGAAGACATCAATGAGGTTAAAACTTCTGATGCCATATCTTCGCATAGTACATCAGAAAATGGTTTAAATGAACTGATTAAAATTGAAAACCACGAAAAGCAATGTCCTATCACTCTGAGTGAGTCACTCAAAAGCTTTAGTCTTGCAACATCTCTAGCTGAGAGGGTATCAAAAAAAAATTCTATGGGTAAAGTCTTCCTTTATTGTTTTATGTCACAACGAACTTTATTAAAATATCTAGTTATTTGTTTAAGTAATTGCATACCTGCCAAGACTCCTGTATTTTAATGAAGACTCCTGTTTACCCTTATGTTCTCAAATTTCTCTGTATTTGTTGAAGAATTTTTTTTTTTAAAAAATTAGGCGACAAAATATCCGCTAATGGCAAAAATATTTCTCTTATTCCTAAACAGATAATGCAATTGCTAGTACTGCAGTATGTTGAGTGTTAATAGTTAAAGTAATTATAAATAACTTTAAAAAGCCAACTTTACCAAGCTTGCTTGGGAACTAAACACTGGGGGTTCCGCGTTAGGCTGACCACCTAACCGGATCATCTGCTCTTGCACCCCAGAGCCCAAGGTCAAGAAAACTGAGATGGGCACAGTAGGCCTTGGCCCTCTATGGGCTGTCACGCCGCTGAGTTTAGTTTTTAAAAAAAACCTTCTTTAGATTAAGATTTATGTACTTATTTTTTACTTCGCTCAATGTAAGTGCTTATATTATTATTTCCAATTTTGAATTTCTCTTTTTGGCTGACATGATTATGCATGATCCTGTAAGAAGTGAGTTTTTTCTTGAATTAGTTTCTCTAAAGGTGTGATATTCTGCATTAGTAGGTAATTCAATTATAAATGTTAGTTCAAAAAGTTATGTTAAATATGAAACATGTATGGTATATGAATTGATTTCGATTTTTAACACGTAAAGTTTTCAGGGATTTTCACTTTGTGCTGCAATAACCCCCCGGTTACAGGTTATTATTATCTTGCAGGTCATCGGAAGTCAAAAATGGCTCTCAGGTATGCCCTTGAAAGTATAAATGAGAGCATTGAAAGTAAAGACACCCCTTGTGTTACTCCAATGTCTGTAAAGAAGCTTATAGTTGAAGAGTCTTTCACACCAAGAAGATCTCCTAGACTTGCAGAAAAGCTGAATAGGAGTGGATCTTTCGAAAGTATCTTGAATGTTGAAAAACCAGAAGTGATGAATACTTTTGATTTGGGTATGTATAAACAGTGCTTATGGTCAATCATTACTTTTAACTTTGTACTAAGAACTTTCTAAGTGAATGGATAAAATTTTGCATACAATTGTAATATTCATTAAAATACACTTATTTATTTAAATTTTATTTAGTTGAAATAAAAGGAAATTAATGTCACCTAAACAGAATAGTAAAAACAATATTTTATTTGCAATGTGTGCAAAATAAATTACAGCTCTTACAAGATGATGCTTTTAAAATCTTTTATTCTTGTAAATTTTTCAAAATACAAACTGTCAGTATACTTGACTATTACAGTTATGAAGTTTTAAGTTTAGCTAAATTTCAAGTTCATTTTTAAACTTTTTTTGTGTGTGTGAGTGTAATAATGATACAATTTGATTCCATTTTCAATAAATGTCAGTCATGCACTTGCTTCGTTTAAACAATTTTAGATGAATTAATGTTGTTTTAAATGTTTTGCCAAGATTTAATTTTAGTAATATTTAAATTATAATTATAAAATTCAACTAGCTCTCTGAAGTTGTTGATGTATCTTTAAAATAATCCAATTTAAATAAAAAGAAGCTCATTATCAATCATATTAATTAGTTTTTTTAAATTATTATTGTTATTATTATTTTAAATAAAATTTTGTAAAATAACATTTGGATACATTTATAGCAATTAATTTGAAGCTCTGCTTTTTTAAATATTCTTAAATTTTCTGTTTTTACTCAGAATTCTCTATTCTTAGATTAAATAATGTGTTATAATAGCTAAAATAATTTTAATATCTATTACTTTTCAAGATTGCGAATTCAAAAATGTAAGCTATATAATAACAAAAAACTTATATTCAATTAGCATCAATGTCAAGTCTATTTAATGCCAATTATAAATGTAAAATATTGCAGCCAATATAAATTTGAGGTTTTCAGCGTAAAATGGTTTGAAATTCCATCTTTCAAAAATATTTTAGATATTGCGCAATGGTTAGCTTAAAAAAAAGATTTGTAAAATCATGTTTCCCTCTTTTTAATGTTACCACCTATGCAGGGGTCTGTCTAGGTTTTTCTGAGAGGTACCTATTTTGTGAAAATGTAGGCATAATTTGTGAAAATTATATTAAAAAATGAACACAAAAATATGGATTTATTGCTTCTTACTGGATACAAAAATAAAATTTAAGAAAAAGTATTTTGCGAAGGTACCTCTAAACAGTAGTAAATTTGGCCTAGACAAGCCCCTGCTATGAGACCCTAGATTACCCTGATTGTTAACAATTTAATCGCAACAATTGTTAATCACTTCACAGATGACATAAAGACAAACGTTCCAGACAGTTTTGCTGAAGAGGTTATGAGAACACCGAGTGTCAAGGAAAAGTCAAAAAAGGATAATGATTTCACTCCTCGGAGGTCACAAAGACTTACAGAAATGTTAGGAAGAAGCAGCTCTTTTGAAAATCTGTTTGATGTAAGGCGACCCTCAATTATGGGATCACCCTGTAAAGGTAAAGTTAAAAATTTTGTCGCATATATTTCTTATTTGCTCTCTTGTATGCATACAATTATTTTTTTTTTCTTCAATTCTAGCTGACCTTCCTTTACAAGATGCAACTGGGATAACATATGACTTCGATAATTTGGTTTTGGAAGATTCTCCAAAAATTGTTAAAGTAAGTTACTCTTGTTAATAGATCTTGTTTTATTATGCATATGTTACAGGTAAAGTAAAAATGAAAGGTAAACCTAGATTTAATCACTGAAAGTTTGGTTACTGAGGCTTTGCGGTCAACAATTTCTAATTGCTCCAATTTCTATTTACTTGAACAATTTCTAATGCTTCCATCTTTAATTGAGTATCTCAGTGAAACTGGATCTAAATAATCTTTGTTGGTTAAGCCCAAATTTATGAAATGTGTATTTATAAATTAGTATTTTATTAGGTTATAACATCGATAAAAGTAAATGATAACGTTTATTAATAAAATATAAATTAAATTAATCAGTGGTATTTTTAATTTCTGTTTATTGTGTAATAAATTTGAATGCCATATAGAGTTGCGTAAAATATTTGCTGCATTGCGGAGACACTTTTTGGTTCCATGTTTTATTTCATCATTTTTAAAACCCTTGACAACCAGAGATTAATTGATTCTTAGGAATATTTTGGAATTACTTCTATTTTCGATACCCACCTTTGCAATCCAAACTGTTGAGCTGGTTTTGACTGGATAAAAATGAGGGCATCGTAGATTCTTCAGGCTTTAATCCGTTAGTCTTGATTAAACCCAATTGTGGCTGGTTAAAAGCAGAATCCATCAAAAACTTCGCCTTGTTAACATCTACTTAGTAAAGCCTTGTTAATGGGGTAGCACCCCTCTTTAAAGTAAAATCAACAGTAAAATGTGTTAAAATAATAATTAATTCCTTTTAATTACACCTAGTAAGCATTATTTCTAAAAATAAATAATTTTATTAATTTCTTCAGTTTTAAAAGAAATAAAATTGTATTTATATTTTAACTTTTTTTATTTTATACTTGCATGAATCTCCCATTTCAATTTATAAGAAAAATATATATTCTTCCTTAACAATTGAAACTGTTACTGTCCAATAGTGTTGCAGATAAAACTTATAAGAAATCTGGAAACAAGTGATAGATTTTCTGTTTCCTTGATATAAAATTTTACCCATTATTACCTAGCATCCAGCTTGAGAAATAGTTCTAAAAATTGCAGCAATTATTTTTTCTTCATAATATTAATCACATAATAATGTTTGAAAGACTTAGGGCCACAATGGCTTAGGCCACTTACCCACATTTTAAAATTATTCTTCCATTTAAAAACACTATGATTTTCATTTTGGCTATAATATATTTCTAATAAAGGTATTGGGCTGTTAAATGTAATTGAAATTTATAAAAAACCTTTTTGTTGACGATAAATAGTAAATTAAAAAACATCACAGATGATAAATAAAGAATAGTAAATAGTTTAACTTAAAAATGTCACCGCTGAAAAAAGTGTGGCTTTTCAGCATCACAATATTGCCTAAAAACCTTCATTTCATAGATATCAAAAATATCCAAAGTAAGGGTTTTTGGAGAAGAAAAAACATCTGTAGTGGAAACTAACAAAAGTATTTCCACTTGATATAGTTAGGTGTATATACTGCCGTTATTATATTTTTTAATAAGTATCACCAAATGCAAATCTTAGCAATTTTTATGATTAATTTTTTCTCTTAAAAAACTGTTTTACGATAGTTTGTTTCAGGCTTATATTATTGGTACCCAATTCTAATTTATTATGCGGTGCACCTACCGAAAATTACTGTAATCGAATAAATAAAAAACTTATTAATTAAGAAAAATTCATTTTGATGTAAGTTTATCTATTTTCGTTCCAGTGGAAAACACATCGCCAAAACACAATTTTATTCGCCAATTTTACAATTTTGTCGCATTATTATGCTTTTTCTGAGTAAAAAAAGGGTTAAAAATAGGTATAAAATAATGAGGCAATTTTTACAGATTATTAAAGGTTTTTTAATTGGGGGGGATAATTAAAAAAGTAAATCTTCAAAATTAAAATATTTTTTATGTAAACCCCATCTCCTAAATTATGAATATTAATAGACATAAATATGATTGTTCATTTTTCAGTCTGCTAAGGGACGTGCTGCTCAAATATCTAAGAAAGTGAGCCTTCTCTACACGCCACCAACACGAAAGTCTACTCTGAGGCAGTCAATAAGAGGAGATTTAATGTCCTTTAGTCCATCCTAATATGTATCTGCTGCATTACAGATATATAACTTCTGGTAATGCATTGTATATTATTTTAAAATAAGTTTATGTATATATTTGAATTTCACATACATGTGTTTTCTTATGTATATATTAAATTTCAAAAACATGTGTTTTCTTTTTCAACATTTATTTACATCTAAACATACTATCGTTCAAAAAGGAGGTAAAAGATGTGTAAAGGCATTGAATGTTTAATGCATAATATATTTTATATAGATAAATATATTTTATAGAAACATAGCTGCCAACATGGATAGGAAGAAAATCCAGTGGATTTATTTTACGAAACAATGTAAATTTCATGATAATTGTTGCATAATGTATTAAATATTTTACTATAAGGGGAATTTCAGGGATTTTTATTGCTATCATATTAGAAAAATTGCAATATTTTCCAGTTATGATTGACACTAAATAAACTTGAAATGATGTTTACTTATAATTTTGAATTGTAATAGGCATTTACTTCATCAAAGATAGCTAAAAGAGTTTTTAATTAATTTAAAAAGGGAGCTCCAAATAAAAATAAACTGAACATTTTTAGAACAAAAAAAGTTTTAAAATGATTTTTTTAGTGAACTAGCACACTTTTAGGAAATTTTCTAAAATGGAAAAAAACCAGGAGAGTTTTTATTTAACCAGAAGACCAGGAGAAACAAACAAAATCCGGTAGACTGGATTTTGCCTGTTTCTCATGGTCTACCGGTTTAATAAAAATTTTCCTGGATTTTGTATAATTTATAAAATTCTCTAAAACTGAGTAGGTTACCTAAAAAAAAATGTACTGAAATAGAATAAGTATGGATAATGCATAATGAAGAATATCTCATTTATAGAAATCAACTTAAAACGTTTTTTGTTGTTCTAAAATGTACAGTTTATTTTTATTCAGAACTCGCTTTTTAAATTAATTAAAAACTCTTTTAGCTATCTTTGATGAAGTAAATGCCTATTACAATTCAAAATTATAAGTAAACATAACATTTCAATCATAACTGGAAAATATTGAAATTTTTCTAATATGATGGCTTTAAAAAATCCTTAAAATCTTTTCATTATCTTTGAATTAAATTCATATTAATATTCAAAATTATGAGTAAACATGATAAATAACATTCCAAATTCACTTGATGTCAATTATATTTGGAAAATATTGCAGGCCTTTTACAAATATAAGTTTAATTAAGTTTTTGTATTTTGATGACTAAAAAAATACCTAAAATTCCCCGCATGGTCAAATATTTAGTATATTATGCAATTATTATTATGAAATTTATATTATTCCATGAAATTTACTGGATTTTTTTCCTATCCATATTTGCAGCTGTGTATATATGTTTAACTGGCTTGAATTTGTAAATATGAGTTTCCCTCTCTTACTTTCACTCTTATATATATTGTCATGGAGCATAGCTCTTTTAAAAAGTGATTAAAGGTGCTTATTTTTGATTTTCGTTTTTTAAAAGCCCTTAAAGGTGCTTTTTTCATGGGGTGTTTTTAAAAAGTGCTAAATTTTTCCTTTTCGAAAATGAGATTTCTTCCCTAACTGTGTTGATTTTTGCTGCATACAATACCAATGTAAAAGCATGGTTTTTTGTTCTATTCAACATTTTCACAAATCATTCAACCACAATCCAGTTCGGCGTACCGTCGGCCCGCAGCACCCCAATCATGTTTGATGAAATACTTGCGAGTTCGTATGCGCGTCTATTGAGCTGGGTTCGGTGAGTTCTTGCACTCTCATGTGCAACTCTGCTGCATTTGCAAGATATCCTCCATTTCAGACTTCATTTCCACCCTCTGAAATTGAACCGAAAAATCTTGATCTTTTTATCGTGGCTAATAACATCAAGAAAAGAATTCTTTGTCAGAAACTAGTTATTTTATCATGATCGTGTAAAGTCTGAAAACTATTTTGCATTTTGTTAATCTATATAGTGCTTAGAAATATTTTTTGAGTGCTTAAAAAGTACTTTAAAGGTGCTTATTTTTTGTTGAGAGATTTGGCTACGCACCTTGATTGCCCTTTAAAAGGTAAATCCTACTTTAAAAGGATGTTAAAACAATGATCGTCTTGGCAATGTAAAAAAAAATCACTTTGTGTTCCTATTATATTAACTATTTCTTGTTTTTAAAAAAAAATTCTGCGTCCTTTTTTGAATGTTAAAAATGTTTTCTTTCTGTTAGGAATGTTTTTTGAATAAGTAGAGTAAAAAAATTAAACAATAATCAAATTTAGTTAAACTGAACCTGCATTTGCATTCATTAAACTATTATATATATATATATCAGGGTTCCCACGGGTCAGGGAAAACCTGGAATTGTCAGGGAATTTTATTTCAACACCAAAATTCAGGGAAAGTTGCAATTTTCTTACGAAAACCTGGAAAATTCCTTCATTATACCTGGGAAAAAAACAGTCTTAAAATACTCAGTTATTGAGATTGGAGTTAAATAATTCTAACATCTATTACAGTTAATTGTTGAAAAAAATTTTACATTTTAGACATACTGAAATGCTTCCTTCCTCATATTATGATATTTATTTTACACAAAAAATCTAATTCTTGGCATAGCAAATAAAAGAATCCAAATTTTCTGATGAAAAATTTCGTAGTATAGNTATTAACCTTTTTTTAAAACAAAATAGAGATTCGGTTCAAATTTCTTCTGTTCTTACTTACAAGTTTTTGATATTTACTATTACATCAAATAGTTTTTCAATGTGTTTATAGTTATGACATTGAAAATTTTCTAGCTTTGTTTAAAATGTTGTATCCATTTTCCTTATACTTTAACGTAATGGTCTTTCTATAAGGAAAAAATAGAGTTTTTAACAAAAAATAATTTTTAAAATGTATTTTAATGTTTTTACAGTTGTGAAATTTCAATAAAATTTATTTTTAATACAATTTCTGAAGATAAACTTGTTTGCTAAAATGTTAACTTTCTAGATTGTTAACTATATTCACTAATTGTAATAAAAAGTTTATTAAAAACATTTTGAGTTATTTAATTTATTTCTTTTATCAAAATCTGATTTTGTTTTCCAACAATCCAGACCAGGTAAAGCTGGTATTAGACTAATGAGTTTATAATCTAATTTTTATATTGGTGCTGTGACATAGTGTCACTGATTTTGTTTTTTAATTTTTACCCACTTCCCATGCCTTCATACACTCTAACCTGCTTGGAATCTCAAACAGCTGCTGGTCGGCTCCTTTCATCTTCCATGTTGGGTAGGCGAATGTTTCATGCCGAGCTGTAACACGACTGAATTTCTTCCCATCAGCACATCTGTTTTGTGCACAAAAAGCGTTTTTACATCTAATGTGACCATAGACAAGGTATCAGCGCATCTGGAAAGTCACGAATTTCAGTATTGAACAAAATTTGTCATGGATTTAGGTCGTCAAAAAATCTAATTTTTAAAATGGAATTAATTAGAAATATTTAAAATGGATAATTTATAATGGAAATAGAATCCCAACACTTTCCTGGTGTTCTGAATTTATAACAAAATCCCCACTCACAGTCATATTTGATTAAAATATAAGATGTTTGTATCGTGTTCTTTAAAAATTATGTTCTTTCAAAAAATGAAAGAAGAAACCTACTTATCAATTTAAAATTCTAGCTGAAGCAAGCCAGTCATTGACGAAACTTTTTATTCCGAAATGAGAACAGAAAAATCAGGAGTATTTCTTTCCTTTCCAATGAACAAGAAAAGTATCTTTAGAATGTAATTCTGCAAAGAGAAAAAAATTATTCGCTTTGGTATTTTTATTTTATTGTTTCAACTCTCTTTACTCTATTTTTTAAATTTAAAATCTATAAATATAAAGATGCAGAGTATAACAGTTTTAGTTACAATTATCATTTCAATGAATGTTGTTGTAATGCTTTTTTAAATTTATTGTTGCATTTCTGTTGGAGAAAATAGTAACTACGTTTAGTCATGGAAAGTCATGAATTTGAAAATCTAAAATGTAGCAGATACCCTGCATAGAGCATTCGCCTTCTAATGAGGTGAAACCGGGTTCGAATCTCGCCGTTGGTTGATCGATACGAATTCCGCATCCGGCTTGCACCGACCACGGTGCAGGCGTAAAATAATAAAGTCCCCTTGATGTCAGGCTAACCATGTGAGGTTTTCTTCATGTAAGACAAATTTCTCCCAATACTTGATCCAAGAGTTCACTTGTCTTCTGGATTGGGTTTGGAATTACAAGACAATGGAGTTGAACATTAGTTGTCGTAAACACAAAAATTGGGCAACTGTTCAACGATGGTGATGAAATAAAATAAAAATCGAATGTCATCATGGAAAGTAGATCGTTCCAACTATTATCCTCATGATGTAAATGTTTAACAAAATCTTCTCATTTTTCTCTACCCATTCTTGGCTTTCTGCTAGTGGGATTACCCAGATGCTGTAAAAATAAAAATTTAAATGTTTCTAATTTTTAACTGTTAACATCTCAAACAAATTCACCAGGAAGATAAGCATAGAATAGCTTCTGGTGATATGATGGCAGTTGATACTTTCATACCATGTTTTGAAATATTGAGTGTAGAAAAATACTCCAGAAGGCAGGTTTTAAGATCCCACATTTTTTTTATAGTCTCTTTGCATGAACTAATACCAATTCACAAAGAAATGTGCGAAAAAAAATTCTCTACAATCAACGCTTTTTTTTACTGCACTATTAGATTTTATTTAGATTTATAATTGCAGTTCTGATAAATAATGTCGATTTTCAATACTTATATTATTTAAGCTGCTAAATTTTCTTAATCATTTTATTATAGTATATTTAATCCATTTTGACACCAGTGCCATGTTTACTGATAACTTCTTATCATTTAACAAATGTAGTACAGTTTTTCCCCCCTCTCCTGAAAACAAAGAGCTTGAATTTTTTTTTTAATATCTAAGTAAAAAATTACAAGATAGTTTCTATACTCGGAGTTCTATGCTAATAAGGTCTATAACCAGCAATCTTTCCTTAAAAAATAGTGTTATAAAATAAAGTTTTGGCTAAAAGATTTCTCCAATTCCAAATATGGTGACTTACTAATGTGAAACTAGTTTTTTTGTTTCAGAAATAGAAATTAGAAACAAATGAGTAATTCTTAAACTTACGGTCCCGCAGCGGACTGATCTTTAAGCAGATCACCGAAGTCAAGCATCACTAGCTGCGGTCATTGTGCGGGTGCGTGACCACTTGGATCAGTCTGTGTAGGGACCGAGGGTGTGCGGTATTGGTCCTCGCTGAAATGTTCCATCGTATAGTGCTCGACTTCACGTGCAGATCGTTGGGCTACCGAAGCGGGGGTGCCATCCCCTCTGCAGAGGATCAAAATTGTGATGGCTTGTCTTCGGATCATCCTTAGGGATGTTTTCCAGACCATCACCCATTGTTCAGTTCTAGTGCGACGTAAATTAACTACTACTTAAATTTACAAATATGAGCTTGTTGCTTCATAACAAGCTANCACATCACCGAGTGAATTCAACTTCACCCTGAACTCAGAACAAAAGTACCCTTACCCCCTACGTCAAAAAAGTGTTAGAAGTAAAATAAAATAAACAAGAATAAAATTAAATTAAAAAGAAAAACATTTCATAAGGATCTGATATTCTCTATCCGAATCGGAGCACTCAGGGTTCGGTTTTAAGTGTGTGCGCATGTGCAAGTCAACGTGGGTACGACGTGAAGTCTGCATGAATGATTACGTAACAAACAGCCCATTTTTCGTGAAATGCATGGGATCCACCAGATATCACTGAAGAAAAAAAAAATTCTTTGTGAAAAAAGGCACTTTCTAAAAACACAGCTGAAAAAAGCACCTTTAAAAACTTTTCAAAACGAAATCCCCAAAGAGCACCTTTAAGTACTTTTTACAAACGCTATGCACCCTGTTAGGGATGTTTCCCAGACCGTCGCCAATAGCCAATTGTGCAGTTCTAGTGCGACGTAAATTAACTACTACTAAAATTTACGAATATGAGCTCGTTGCTTCATAACAAGCTAGAACAGCTGACATGTAAGGAGCACCCAATCCATAGGTTTTCATTAGGACCAAAGCACAAGAGACTAAATTCGTGAAAAAACAGGTCATGATCATGATGCAGTAAAAGCATTCTCACCATCATAAAAAACTAGAAAGCGTATTTCCGTGAGCTATGAGAAAATGGTTTATTCACTAAGTAAAAAAATTAAGCCTAAAAGGTTATAAGTAATACAATTTTTCCACAAGCAAATTATGGTTTGTTTACACAAACAGCTGTTAGGAATCAATAAATGAACAAATCAAATTGAAACTGATTTCTGGGAATCTTCTAAATTAGAAAATCCTTTCTAATTCTGATATGTCAGTTATCCACCCTTGGATAACACTAGGAAAAAATTGACCCTGATTTGCTGTTTTTGACCAATCACCGTACCTCTCGGCAACAACTGCTTTGTTTTTTATTCATTAACTTACAAACAAAAATATAATTGGAGAGTACACAAATAAAGCAACGACGGATGTATTACATTTCATAATAAATTTATTAAAATACATATTTACAAAAATTATAAAAACATTAAAAAGAACTAGGGTAGTATCCGTATTTCTTTGGTGAGAGGAACTGGGGTACACAAGAGATCTTTCATAATGAAACTGATTTCTTCCAATGCAAGTTGTGAATGTATACACAGAACTTCATCACTTTCTGTATCTTTGACAAGTTTCAACTGAGAATAGATGGTGTGGATTTCATTTTCAAGAATCTAAACAAAAGAGTGAAGGCAAGATTCTTAAGAGCAAGACATGGTTGTCAAATATAATATTCATTTTTAACAACACAAATAGAATTGCTTCAAAAATACTGCATTACAAGTATCTAGGATAATAAGATATAGTAAAATGTGATAAATCAAATGCTTATAATTTTTACTATGGGTTCTTGGCAAATTAAAAGCCAAAATCTAAATTCATTTGTTATTAGGTATGTTTAAAAGTTAAACCATATCAAAAATTTTAAAGAATTTAATTTTTTTTAATTGCTTAATAAACTTATGTTCCCAAACTGGAACATTAATTGTAATTTATTTACTGTGGCACATTTCTCTGTTTTAACAAGAGATTAACTGGAAGCTGAGAGATATTGCACATGAGATAGCATTTTATTTTGAAGACATGTTTAAATACAAATAAATCAAAGCAATCTAAAATATAAACATCTTTCTCCCCTTTAACAGTAAAATTACCAAATGTTGACCAGTCTGCGACGTCACCAGTTAAAATTCACTTGATTATTTACTGTTTCTTTATTTGTAAATAACAACTTTTTTTTTTTTAACTATCAAACTTGAAAAAAATCAGATACTCTAACAGGCATTTTTATAAATTAACTTCCATTTTAATTTTTGTACCTGTAGCATATCTTTTCCAATTCCTCTAACAAGCAAAGTAATGACCATCACAGCACAGCGACGTACTTCCAAATCTTTATCCGTTTTTAAGAAAGACAGCACACAGACTAGTATCTACTCGAAATAAAAGAAAATTAGACACTCAAATAGCAAAAATACAAAATAAAATTTTAAGAAACCGAACAGTGATTAACTACTATAACTTGTCTTATTAGAGCCATTTTATACTTGCTGTTATTTATTATATACCATTGTCAAACTTTGAAATAGAAAAAGAAGTAAAAATTAATGAGCTCATTTAAATAAGAGAATGCACGTTCTAAAAATTATAACAGTTTAATCACATTTAAATGAATAATAAAAAAAGGTGGCATATAAGGGTTAAAGTGCAAAAATAAATAAGACTTGTCCCAAATTAAAAGTAACTAAACCATTCAAAGGTTTAATTCATAGAAACCTTTTTATCAATTCACGGTTACTGTAAATTATTCAAAAATATCCACTTTTGTTTCATAAATAAGCTAACATGATAAAAAAAAAAGATAAAAAGAATTGTAGCTGAATTTAAACTCCACTTAACAAGCAAATAAGCATTCAACTTTTAAATGATATTTATTCTCGAAATGAATGCAAAAGAGTAATTTACCTCCTTGATGATATGCATATATTGTAACACTGCTCACTAATTACAGTAGGGAACCGATTATCCGGAACGATCGGGACCATCACTATTCCGGATAACTGATTTTTCCGGTTTTCTGAATCGCTACAAAAAGCCNGCATATATTGTAACACTGCTCACTAATTATATTGATATCATTAGTTAGCAGCATTACAATTTATAACATTAGCATTAATAAATTTTGTAAAATTAGCAATATATAAAGTAAATGTTTTTTTTTTTTTAATTATTAAATCATTACAAATTTTAATCTGAAACATTTAAAACAAAATATTTGGAAAAAAAATTACGAAAAGGAATAAAAATGACAGATGGTCTGCATATAAAATAGTAAAATCATGTTTTAAGACTTATGGTTTAATAATAATTAAAGTGTAAAATACTTTACCTTTTATTATTTATTTTATGATAATGAATTTTTAAGTTTAACAAAATGTTGTTAAACAATATGCTTTCAAACATAATTAACACAGTATTAAAGGTAATAAATAACAAACCATAAAATATTGTAAATGAATTTTAAATATTTTTGTCAAAATGGTTTTGTTTTTTCTTCATTTTTTTAACATAAAAAATGTATGCCTTTTGAAAATAATCTTTAAACCTTGAAAACATTTCAATAATGAATAAAATAATTATGTCAAATGTGTGTGACCAATGCTGTTGCAAGATCACAAATGGATGAAATAGCAATAAGCACTAATAGATCAATCATAAATGGAGTAAATTACACGATTTGTAACAAATGGGTTCAACCGAGAAGAACTGGCAGTGACAAATCATGCAGGGTTGCCAGAGAAAAAAATGAACAAAATAGTTGCTTCTAGTAGCCTAAAGTATGAAAATAATCGCCTAAAATTATGAAAATAGTTGCCAAAATAAGAACAAAAATTTTTCAATAATACGACTAAATTTTATTGAATGACTTCATTGTCATATACCATGATCTATTTAGTCAAGATGACGGCGAATATGATAATTTTTAAATAAACGTTAGTGTTCTAGCACTAAATTTTTATATAAAAAAAACTAGTATATTTGCAGAACGTTAAATACTTTTAAATGCTAGAATTAATGTAGAAAAATAACTATTTATTAAAAAAAAACACTCTTCCTATTAATTTTCCCTATCACATAAATTTTCCTTTTATCAATAATTGATTTATCAAATATATATATATATTTAAAAAGTAATTACTAGAATTTGAAATTCACGCATCATAGTATCGTATATTAAAAATTGGGTTCTTTAAAATCACACAGAGTTTCGTAGCAATAACTGTTGAAAAGGCGATTGAGAAACAAAATCGATTCACAAAGGAATCTGTGCAAATTGAGTGCATTAAAAAGTGATGACTCAAATTTGCATTTCAATCTTTTTTATTTTTAGAAGGAAAAAAAATCATTATGTTCAGAAGCTACCGCGAGCTGCAGGTTGTCAACCCAATTTATGCTTAAAAAAACATTGCTAGGAGTAGAGAAAAGTCTTCTTTTCCTGAAAATAGTCGCATTTCAGTCACCTGTGGCAACAATGATCAAGCATAAAGAACTGAGTAAAATAAGAGATCGATTGTAAATGTGTGACCGTCACACAAGATCATCGAGATTAGAAGAGGAATTAGCACGGCAGTGACAGGTCATTTACAAAGAATTGGTTGAGACACCTGTTTCATTTTGCACTCATTAAAAATGTGTGACATTTGTGTATTGGATTGATTCCAAACAAAAAAAATCTCAGACTCATTCCAGCAGGAAATCAAAAGAGTATAGTAGCCAACAAGTGCAACTTCAAAGATAAATAAAGGCATTTTCTCATTTACCAATATTTTTAGACCTATTTATACATAGATATTTGCAATTCAATTTTTTTTACTTTTCGAAGAAAAAAAAATCATTATGTTCAGAAGCTGCTGCAGGCTGTCAACCCAATTTATGCTAAAAAAAACATTGCTAGGTGTAGAGAAAAGTCTCCTTTTCCTGAAAATAGTTGCTTTTATAGCCTTTTCAGGCAAAAAAAGTAGCCATAGTTGCCCCAGGTTGAAAATAGTTGCATTTTAGTCACCTGTGGCAACAATGATCAAGCATAAAGAACTGAGTAAAATAAGAGATCGATTGTAAATGTGTGACCGTCACACAAGATCATCGAGATTAGAAGCGGAATTAGCACGGCAGTGACAGGTCATTTACAAAGAATTGGTTGAGACACCTGTTTCATGTTGCACTCATTAAAAATGTGTGACATTTGTTTATTGGATTGATTCCAAACAAAAAAAATCTCAGACTCATTCCAGCAGGAAATCAAATGAGTATAGTAGCCAACAAGAGCAACTTCAAAGACAAATAAAGGCATTTTCTCATTTACCAATATTTTTAGACCTATTTATACATAGATATTTTAAACAGCCTCAATTTCAGCTAAGGAAAACTAGAAGATTATATAAAAATTAGAAATTAATATTATTTAAATTTTGAGTTATTGAAGTATCATTGTTTTCTATTATGCTCCCCATTTACCATATTTTTTTTTTAAAAGATTTATGTGCAGATATTTTAAATTTGTAACAGCCTCAGAATCTATGCAACATCAGCTAAAGAAAACTAGAACATTACACAAAAATTAAAAAAACATAAATAAAAAAAAGGCAGTGATGTAGACTTCTAGTTACCGGAGGCAATTACTAAATAAATATTAAAGACATGTGATTGCTGAAAAAAGAAATTCTCTTACAATATGTTTTTTTTCTCTGTACATAGAAGATAGAAAAGAAACTCATTTTTGTGCACATTAACATTTATTAAATTTTAAGAGAAAGGAAAGAAAAATTTCTCTTAAATACATAAAAGAATATAACTATTTAAAAAAAAAAGATTTTAAAATTTGTGAAATCTGTGGCAATAGCTGAAAAAAGATAGATGATAAAAGCACAGGCATTTTACAACAAAATCTCAATAAATTATTAAAATTAAAAATATGTTTCAAGATTCACATGTTGTAATGAATATCATAATAAAAATATCAAAATTTAAAAAAAATATGTGGAAATCATTAGTAATAACAGCTGGAAAAAAAAGGGGGGATACAATTGTGTCAAATAGGGAATATTCAAGTGCGTTATTTAAACTTCCCGTATCTTAATAATATCAGGATTTTAAAAAGTGATGGGAAAATCAAGAGCAATAATTAAGAAAAAAAACTCCAATCCAAACACCATGTGGATTTAGCAAAAATCGAGCACATCAAAAAGTAGTAACACAAATGTGACTCGAATTTCACGTTTTTAAAAACATTAAAATTAAAAAAAATTGAATTTAAAAAACCACATGTCAAAATATCATATTTAAATTTCAATCTAATAGTAGGCAAATATACCCTATTGATTAAATAATTTTTCTGTCATAAATCGAAATTCGCCACTCATTGAAATAAGGGTTACTTTTTAATTTATAAATTTTATACTTTTGTGTTTGTCTTAGTAGTTCATTATTCTAGCAGAAGTTATTATGGATTTTTCTTCCAGTCTCGTTTAGTCAAAGCTAAGTTTAATTTTATTCATTTTTTAAAAAAGAAAAAAAAAAGTTATCGCGCATGAAAGATAACTTAGAAAAAAGAGAGCGCTGGTAAAGGCAGTATAAATGTTTTATTAACCAGATTTTGTGTAAATAAGGAATTTTAGATTAGCGGGTCTCCGAGAAAATTTCGTCCGAATATAAATTATTGATTTGCGGAATTTAATGGTCTTGAAATTCTCAAATTAGAGGAAGAATCACATGCCTGATATTAAGACAGAAACTATCACAACATAGACAAAAGCTATTGCTTTTTGCCACTTGCCCAGAGGCAGAATTTTTTTGGTTTTTCTGCGACAAAACTCTTTTGCACTAATATCTTTCTGCAATTTACTTTCAATAACAAAGATGTATGTTACTAATTAAAGGTTAAAAAAAAAAACATTTTTTTCATTGAATATGTAACATTTTTTTTATTTTAATATTATGGGCGATATTTTCGTATTTTGTTGGGGGACGACAACACACTAATTATTTCCTTTATTACGCCAATCATCACATTAAAAAAAATAATTAAATATGAAATCAGTAGCAGTAATTAACAAAAAAACAATCAACGACGAAATCACGCGAATCGGACTCTTCAGAAAGGTGTTACGCAAATTCAATGTTTCATTTCTAGATGTGATTGTTGTAATAAATAATATCGCATACGAAATATCGGGTTTTAGAAACTATGTGGAAATCAAAAACAATAACTGCCAAAAAAATCTATAAAATTATTGCCTTAAAAAGTAAATGATCAAATGCGCAATCTGAATTTCCCATATCTCCTGAATCTATCTATAAGTCATGTTAAAATTAGTGTCAATAAAATACAATCAAAATGGATTTACGATAACTGCAAAAATTCAGAACTTCAAAAACTGATTATTTGAATGCACGATTCAAATTTTACGTTAAACTTTCTGCTGAAAAGCAAACCAAAATTTTTTGCTTCCCAAAAGAAAAATCTTTCTGCAAGAACTCTGTAAAGTTCTGCGACAATGTCGCTGCGATTCTGCCAAGAGGGTCACTTGCAAAAAGGACTGTTCCAGTCTTGGTACATATAATTCAGTTGCTATCTGACTTTGAGAAGACAATACTGCATGCATCCCAATTTATATTGCATTAAAAAAACATTTCAGTGAAAGAGCCTATACATGAAAGACAGTGTGACACTCACCTCTTGCAACCAATGACCACTGATGTTGAATTTCAAATACATGCAAGCTTCTCCGAGATTTGAAAGACTCGACGAGCGTATTTGTGGATCCGAGTGTTTAGTTCCGATCAGACACGCGTGCAACAGTGGGTCACGATATTTATAAATTACATTACCTAAAACAAAACATTTAAAAGCATTAGATTGCACTAAATAGCATAGTAGCCTGAATCTTCTAATTAAAACTAAATAACATTAGTGATGAAGACTATGAAATCTACTGGGGTTTTAAGAAGAAAAATCAGTAGAAACAAAGATGAGTATGATATATCAGGGTTGTGTAACTCATGTGTATTTGACAAAAGACCTCTAGTTCAATATTATGTTAATTAGAGAGTATCTTTAAATTTTTTTCCATTATCCTGAAGTATCCAAGCTGAGCTATACAATTGATCATTAATGGTAAGTTCGAAAATAAAATAAAAACATAAATTTAACTTTAAACCTGTGATGGAATGAACAGATTCTTGCATACTACTCTATAAATTTGAAAAAAAAATATGACTAATAATTTACTAAGTTATTAAGCACCAATTGTGTCATTCTCAAATAAAAGTGTAATTATAATTATATGTCAATTTTGATTCATATTTATATATACATATTTCGGGTGTCTGGTAAACTTTGCTATAAATTTCTAGAAGAGGTAGAGCACATCATAAGGATTAAGAATTGCATAGGAACAAATGCCTGGGAAATGTCATCCTATTCCGGTAGTTGTCATTCCTTATTATGAACGTTTCTTCATGTTCCTTTGAACAGACACTTTAATATTATGTTTTCCTTTAATTATTGCCAAAAATTGCAAAAAAGATTCAGTTATTGTTTTATTGCAATTTAATGACAGGGCGACTAACTTTACAATCTCGCCAAATCATTGAATTATGCAAATTCTAAAAACTGCCATTAATGTTATAATAGTACCTTCAAAGTACTTTTTATACTCTAGAGTGAGTCTATATTTTACAAAATATTCATTTAAAAATTAATGTTTCTATAGCAATAATTATTACATGAGGAAATAAGAGTGTTAAATAGCTAAAACCTCAGATTGTTTTAAGAAAACATTTTTACATACCTAAAAGTCTACATATTTTTAACAGAACTTCTCCCATCTTTAATATGACATCACACTTTTCTTCAGTATTTTGATACACGTTTAAAACAGTTGGCAGTACTGACTCGGCATCAACATCGGCAAGGAAGGAAATGCCTTGAATAGCGGGCAAATATACATAAGAGTCTTGATCTTGAAGATTCTCCTAAAATAAAATTAATATTGATTAGTTAAAATTGAGAAGAAGAAAAAAATTATTTGCTCATTGAAAAAAATTAAAAATCAAAATTTTTTAAACAAAAAATAAAATTTAAGGCTAACTGGATTTGTGACTAATTTATAGCATTAAATTGATGTGGTCTAGATCAGGCCCTGCATGTGCATACAAATTGCGATGCAAGATTTTAAAACCATGCGACATTACTAAGGGCTCCAATAGCCAAAAATCCATGATAAAATGGGAATTTCCATGAATTTTTACTATCATGACCTTCATAACAAATTTCGATCTAAGTCAAAATCCATGACTTTTAATTCATAATGTAAAAATAATTTCATAATGTTGTATAAATGCAAGTTTTTTTTTTCTTTTTATAAAATTGATCTCTGGATTTATACTATAATTGTATTTATTATTTACGGATTTCACTCCTCCAAAAAAAGTCAAGGACTATTTTTGCCACATGGAGAAGAAAAAAAAATAAACGGCTATACATCTGGATAATGGGAAGTTTTTTAAGCCTCTGTGATTTCATAAGCCTCTGTGCATTATGAAATAGTGCACAGAGGAATGCATTTACAGAGTTGCCACTAAAATCTGGAAAAAAATTCTCTGAGTTTTTCCTGTACATATTATACACAAAATATTAAGAGGAAACAACAATTACTGTGCTCTTGTGTGAGCTATACTTGCCTAACTATATTTATTAGTTTTAATTGCTGGAAAAGCAGCTGAACATACTTTAATGCTACAGTAAATGAAATAGTTTAGTATAGCTGATATATCGCGGTTAAATATCCCATAGATTACGCTTTGAGTGGTCACCATTTTTTAAAAAACAAAAATAAGAAACAAAATTTTCTGTATTTTCCCAGTTTATAAAGGAAAAATCAAAATTCCCGGCATTTTCCCTGTTATTTTAGGTGACTTTTAAATTCCCTGTATTTTCGAGGTTTTCCCTGTTGAGTGGCAACCCTGATTTATTTTCACGTAATGGAGAGGGGAAAAAAATTTCATCGACGTAAAATATGTGAAACGAAAAAGTTTTTTTTTTCGACGTAAAATGAAACTTTTTTTTTTGTTTTTTTTTTTAAAGGAAAAAAAAACTAACAATTGTAATAATTATACTTTTCAGCCTACCATGTAGGGCAGAGATGGGCAAATTACGGCCAGCGGGCCAACTGAGGCCCTGCGGTAGGTTTTATCTGGCCTGCGGATAGAATTTTAACTTTATGATCTGTGGCGAATATAAATAAAATACATCAATTGTCTTGTCTACTTTGTTTAAAGCTACTTTTGTTCTTTCTTTTTTTAATAAAGTATTGAAGGCCTTTTTACTTTCTCTACTTTTGTTTTACAAAACATAAATTGATAGAAATAGACTGCTTCAATTGGTGTCAGATTTGCAGCTTGAATTAATTGAGTTAAAATCTAACGATCACCTGAAGCAGTTGTTTCTAAATATGACAAAGTGAGTTTTACAAATCATTACCAAAAGCTAGTTTCCAAAATTTAATATCTCATGCCAGAAAATCAGTGCTATGTTTGCTTTATCTTATATATATGAACAAGTGTTTTCAACTATGAACCTTAGAAAAAAATAATTTCAGAGGCAGACTAACAGACAAGCATTTTGCCTTGTTCCTTAAATTAAGTACATCTCACTTCGAACCTCAATACAAGGAACTTTTAAAAATGAAATCGCAATTTCATTCATCTCATTAAATATTTAAATTAAAACTTGTACATTGTTTTCGTTTTTTTTTATTTTAGAAGTTGTTACTCAGCCCATCAAACTTTTTTCTCTCAATTTTTGCCCTCAACCAAAAAAGTTTGCCCATCCCTGATAAAGGCATAACAAAATAAAAGAACTAAAACAAAGCTTGCCTGAAATAATTTGAAAACTTCCTCTTTATTCACTAGAGCCTCTTCATCTCTCCGTTGAATCAGCTTCCCCAAATATATAAGTCCATGCCCGCGAATGGGGATGTCTGAATGCTTTGCATCTTCAAGAGCCATCTCAAACTCTGAACGTTTCCTGCTCGATGCATCACTTTTTGATTTGGTGGGTAATTTGGCATTTAAAGATAAATTTGAAAAATAGCTCGGAATATCTTCCTCCTCAAGAGTTTGTGCTTCTGAGGATTCTCCAGATTCATTTGTTCTTTGAGATTCTAATTCCTCATAAGTATTCAATATTTTGTGTGCGTCCATTAAGGATTGCCTCAGCCCATTGATCGCCTGGTTCTCCAGGGAAGAATCGTCTTCCTCGTCACTGTCCTTGATTGATTCCGCCATGCCGAGAGACTCATAGTCTTTGTACTTTTTCAGAAACTCTCTAACCTCCTCAGAGTCCGTAATGCAAGCTGCACCGTGAGTGGCTATGTGAATTAAAACACTCAACAACATTTCTTTGAGATCAGAATCAATATCACATTTCTGAAGCTTCTTTAAACTTGGTAAGCATTTCTTAATGCAGAGCCAGTCATTTGAAGTAAGCTAGATAAGAAAGAAATTGAAATTAGAACATAATTTATGTAAGTAATTAGAAAAAAATAAAGTACAAAAAAATAAAATTTATAGTATAGTGTAGAAGAAAAACAATTTTTTAAGGAGGAATTAGGAATAATTAAATAAGTTTTAACCAGGGTAACAACAAATAAAACATAAATTTTTCTAATAATGATTAAATAATTTTTCATTACTTCAAAGTAAACTTTAGTTGAATTTTTAAACATGCAAAATATTTGATAAATACTTATTTCGAACCAAGCTGCATTTCATTAAAAAATTGTCGAAAAATTTCTTTTTTTTAAAGAAGGTTTTAGCTATGGTTAGATATGTAGAATACACTCGAACGCTGTTCGCAGAAAATGTGTCACCACCGCGAAATTTTTTTCAGCATTATTAAAAACGAAAAAAAAAAAAAGCCCAAAATTCACTTACTCAAACCGCAGGGGTCAATCTGAAAGAGAGTAAGAGTTTTTTTTTTTTGCTTCACGCAGCCACACTTTTCCCACGATTTCCACTTTTTTTTCAATTTAATTATAAAAAAATTGCCTTTTCATCTTTTTTACAAATTCCAGAGAAAAAATTTGTTTTAACAATTTTACCTACCAATGCAAATGTGATTTAAAATTACATTCACATTATTTAAAATCAAACATTATAATTATTTATACGATTAAAACAATCTGTGATTTTTTTAAAAAAATGTTTGCCAAAATGAGGTGGGGAAGGTTTGAAAAGATTGAATTAAAGGTTTGAAACCAGTTACAGAGTTAATAAATTGTTCACAGAAAGTTTTTTTAATTGAGATTTTAAGTTCGCAGAAAGATTTTCATTTTATTTAAGTCTGGCTTATGGTGAAAGAAAAGAAAAGGTGAAATAAAGTTTAGTAATAAAACCATATTAGTTAAACCACAGCACATTGTAAACCATAGTTTTTAAAACAAAATGCATTGAATGCAGGTGAAAAAAACACAAGAACATTGACACAATAATAATACCTGATATAAAAATTTATTTTTTGTGGACAACTTGCAGAGTAACTTATAATACCTGCTTTATCACACTACATTTAAATTACTATTATTTTTTTCTCCATATTTTCTCAATTTTTGAGTTTTTACTGAATTTTATATTCTTATAAATGGAAACCTACACTGTCATAAAATAATTTCACATAAAGCTGCAGAACATATGATGAATCAAAGAAAAAACAACAAGATAATCAGCATAAATTAAGATAGATTTTCTTTTTAAGCAATAAATTTGAATATAGTGATTACTTACAAGCTATAACTATTTACCTCATGATTTTCACTTGTTAATAAGGAGCTAAGAATCATCAAAACAACCATGGCAGTTTCCTCATAAAAAGGAGCATCAGTCCTGTAGTTACAAATGCTCTCCAACAATGTCTGGAAATGCAATATAAATAAAATTAATAATTTGAAACAAAAGTGCTCCGTATGAATACTTTAAAGAGACAGAGAAATCACCATTAGCAAATCCATCACTTCAGAAATATTAGAAATCAAAGCTTCACCAATATCAGCATTCCATTCCGACAATTCCTGCAGCAGGGCACTGAATGCCAGACGAACTCTGAGATTGCATGCATTGAATGGCATTTCCTTTACCTCTAAGTGGAAGCTGCAATATTCCTGGAGGGAAAAATATTATAATTTATAATAATAATTTATAATTATTAATTTATAATAAATATAAGCTTGCGTTCAAATCCCACTTCTGAGAGATTATTTTAAGCTGTGGTAGCAGGGGATAAAGCGCTCGCATCCCAATGAGGTAACTTGGGTCAGAATCCCAGAGTTAGCTGGTCAAAACAAATTATGCAACCGGCTCGCAACGACCACAGTGATCACGTAAAACATCTACAATGGTAGACTGATCATGGCCTAAAGTCCCCTTTTCATCAGGCTAACGATGGGGGTTTTTCCTCTCCATGCAACCCAAATGTGGGTTAGTTCCTTCAAAAAGTCCTCACCAAGGCAAATTTCTTCCAATACTTGATCCATTCGATACTGGTCAAGGGTAGGCCAGGATAGCCTGCTAGGTAGGGTACTTGGGCCCATGTCAAAGAGATTGTGGGTTTGATCCCCGCCGGCCGAAGACTACCAGTGTAGTAAATGGTGACTGATGCACGTTAAATCTGTTAGGTCACAAATTCCTCCAGGTTCTCATAACAAATCAATACCCCCTTGGCTTCTGGATTGGGATCAAAATTACAAGGATACGCCGTTGAACATTAGTCGTCGTAAACCCAAAATTGAATCAGCTGTTCAACGACGGTTATAAAATAAAATACAATACTTGATCCAGGAGTTTCCTTGTCTTATGGATAAAGTTCAAAATTACAAGGTTAGGGAGTTTAACATTAGTATTCATAACTCAAAAATTCGTCGGTTTTTCAAAGACGGTTATAAAATTAAAATAAAATTTATATTTTGGGTTCAAAATTATGATCTTACAAAGTTAAACATTAAGAGTTGCTAACAATTTACAAATAAGTGCTAAAATAATTTCGAATTCTTCACTCAATACAACTTCATTTACATGTTTCAGACTTCTTTTTGTAAACTTTCAAAACAGAAGTTATTTATAGCTCTATCTAGACATTATGCATTAAACAACAGCAAGAGGAACAATATGCTTTTTGTGTGGCGCAATCTATTATTTGTTTGTTTTTTTACAATAAACTTCTTGTTACACCATTTATTTAAAAAAATAATATGTTACAGCTTCTAAGTTATCAGGTGTGAATGAAAATACTTTTTTACAAACTTTCCCACAAATAGAAGAATTTAGATAATATACAGTGACTGTCACTTATAAAATCATTGGTTTGTTGGAATGTTTAATATGTTGTAAATTTGCACAAACAGAATCCTTACAACATTAAAACCATTGTTCAATAAAAATCATTATAGCAGTTTTATACAGCCAAACAGTGGGGAAGCAAAAGCTTCAAAAATAAAACACATGTTTCCTCTTGTCCAATTATTTAAAAAATTCTTTTTTTTCCCTTCAAGTTTTGAAAGATGTGTAGCACTCAAATAACAAATTTCTCTCTGGACATTAAAACAACAGCTGAACAGATATGAATTGATGAAGTGGCAGGCACTATCTAGGTATAGATTAGGAAGTGAAATTTATGTATGTGATTGACAATTTTAAAAAACTTACTTTCATTATTAGAAGTATGAATGAACTATTTAATTCCTTGTTGTGCAATTCACTAATAAGATCCAAAAGAGCGTGATAACAAGCAATTTCTTCTGTAATACTATAATAAAAAAATATATCATTTGGCACAAATACTAACTAAAATAATAAGAATAATATTTCATTCACATAGTGCTATAATTTAATTAGTTAGATTTGAAAGCAGTTCTATTGTAAGAAAAATATATTAAGGTGACCTGGGGTGATTCCTGATCAAAAAACGCAAACATCTATTTAGTGAAAAAACTATTCAAAATAGAATTTTAATATTTACGGGAAGTTTGAGGCTATATGAGATGAGTCCAATGCCACCTTCTTTTGTTTGAAAATCTAATTAGAATTTAAAAGATTTTAAATTTTTAGTGATCAGGAATTACCCCTAGTCTTGATCATTTCTGGGGTAATTACTGATCACCAGTTTTTATTGTAAAGGGGCTGTTTAAAAATAATTATATAATGGTAATTAACAAATAAGACATCAAGATCAAACAAATAAACTAAAAAGATATGTTTAAGCAGCTAATAATATGATTTATTTAAAAGCAAGAAGAACGATTATCATTTTAAATTTTCAAAAATCTTTGCATCGTGCTATAAATTTTAGGCAATCAGCCAACTCATTCTCATGTTGTTCTGAAATATAAGAGAGTTTTCACATTGGTTACTTTTGCTGGATTTTTTAACTTCATTAAAGGAAAGTGTAAAGTTAAGTAAGGTATGTCAACAGCTTTGGCAGCAGCTCTCACACTGAAATTTTCCTTTTCAATCATTAAAGGAAATTCATTAATTTTGTTTTCTAGAAACTTAGTATCCTTTTTAGGCTTATAATTTCTCATCATATTTATACTAGGCTAATTTATAAACTTAAAAATTATACCCCAGAAACAGAGTGATCGTGAAATACCCCGGGTTACCCTACAGTTAATTCACAATGATTATTGACTAAGACAGTTTCCTTTTTTTTTCCCAATGGTGACATTAGTGTATAAAGAGGAAATATACAATGTTAAAACAAGTTTTCATTCCAAATAATTAAGGCCTGATTTAAAAAAATAAAGACTTCAACTAAAAAAAAAAAATAATTCAANACAGTTAATTCACAATGATTATTGACTAACACAGTTTCCTTTTTTTTCCCCCAATGGTGACATTAGTGTATAAAGAGGAAATATACAATGTTAAAACAAGTTTTCATTCCAAATAATTAAGGCCTGATTTTAAAAAAATAAAGACTTCAACTAACAAAAAAAAAATAATTCAAACTAGTACTTCAATAAGCTGGAACTAGTATTCTATTTTATATATTAATGTACAATTATTTATATATTATTATTATATAATATTTCTTGTCATATAATACTTTTATACATTTTCATTAAAGTACTAGAATTTTAAATAAGCTTATTAAGCAGATGGCAATACAAAGGGGAATTGGGGAGCAGACATAAATTTTATAGTTAAATCAGAAAAAATGTTTAATAATCAGACAGAATACTTAATATGTCAGAAGCTTCCATTATAAGAGAAACCACCTTTTTTTTAACTTGATGCTTTTTAAATACAGGGTATCTCCTACATTTTAGATTTTTAAATTCATGACTAATTACAAGAACTTTTCATGACTTAACGAAGTTACTACTTTCTCCGACAAAAACAGAATAATAAATTTAAAAGGCATTATAATAACATTAATTGAATTGATAGGTATAAATAAAACTGTTATACTCTGCATCGTCATATTTATAGATTTTAAATTTAAAAAACAAAGTAAAGAGAGTTGCAGCAATAAAATAGCTGAAAAAAAATACAAAAGCAAATAATTTTTTCTTCTTTTTTTTTCCGCAGAATTATATTTTAAAGATACTTTTCTTGTTCATCAGAAAGAAAAGAAATACTCCTAATTTTCTGTTCTCGTTTCCGAATTTAAAAAAATTTCGCCAATGACTGGCTTGCTTCAGTTAGAATTTTAAATTGAAAAAATAAAAATAATAAAATAACAAAAATTCTGAAATCACAGAAGTTTAAAAGATAATTCGCTCCAAAAATGATGTTTTTTTTCATGTCTTGAAAGCGCACCATAATTTTTAAAGAACATGATAAAAACATTTTATATTTTAATAAAATATGACTGAGTGGGGATTTTGTTACAAATTCAGATATTCGGAACAGCATGAAATTGGGAGGTGGGGGGGGGGATTCCATTCTAAAAACTAGATTTTTTGACAACCTAAATCCATGATTTTTTTTTAAAAAAAAAATAGTTAAAATCATGACATTTCATGACAAATTTTTTTCAGTACCGAAAATCATGACTTTCCAGGTGCGCAGATACCGTATAAATAGAAAAAAAATTTATCGAATCATAATAAAACAAGAACAATACTTGTAATACTTACTCAGCTTTCTTCTTTTTTTGTACTGCCATAATACCTCCTTCTTCTCCATTGGCAAAACCCACAGTAGTTTGATGCACATCAAGATGTTGACAGTTGGGTATAGTCACAACATACAGTAAGCCAAGAGCTTCTTCATTGGAAGCAGAACTTAAAATTTCAATAAGGATTTCTTTCACTTTTGACCTTTAATGAAAGCACTATGTTAAACTATGTCTAGATTAAAACAGATATCAGTTTTTTCAGGGGGGGGGGAGCTGCATTTTGTGCAACTACAGCTTCCCTTCTCAAACATGTTTTCTTATTAAACTATGATAAAAATTAAAATTTAAAGGAATTATGTTAAATAAAATTTAAATTAAAAGTATATAACTTTAATTTATACGAATATAATTCTTTAGTTAGTTGAGCTATTTTTATTTCAATCTAGTGAAACAAGGTTTTGATATTTTTTAATACAAAAAGGCTTAGTGCATGTATTTTTTTTTTTTTAACGAAAATAAGCAGCATTTCCGGAATTCACTTCTGTCTGAACTGGTAAACAGCGAACGTTTTCTTTTCAGTTCTGCTAACATTAACAAGGAATTGATGAAGAGAAGTGACTTTAATTCTTTTAGGGTTAACCTAATTAATATTAAAATTTAATTAAGAAGCTCCACTCACTCATGTTTCCACTCATTCATGTTTGAAAATCAAACTTTAAAACTTTTGCTTCATTTTTATCTAAATATCTGAGAGTATATTTAGACTGGTAATGCCATGCAGTACTGAGAAGAAAAAAAACATATAACTTATTCTTAAAAAACATTCTGTTAGTAGAATAAGATACTTTCAAAAATCTCTAAGGAATTGTAATTAAAACCACACAGTCACATCAAACAGTAGACACTGTAATAAGTGACAAATTCTCTGAACCATTAACATTATGAAAATAAATAGGCACAGGCAGATAAAACCGTAGGTTAAGTAAAAGAATATAGATGTGTACTTACTTCAGGAAAGAAGTACCTTTGACAAGAAAAAAGTACAAGGTACTTAAGCAATGGAACAGTGGAAAGAGAACTTTTATACAACTTCTTCTTAACGGCAATGTACAGGAAATAAAAATCTAAAAATTAGAGACACAAACAATTAATGTGAACAAAAAATAAAGTCAAAATGACATTTTTATTAGTGTTAAATTATTTTGTTGGGATAACAAATATTTTTGTAAGACATCAAGTGCAAATATATACAGTCAAACCCCGCTATAGTGAACACAGTTTATAATGAACTCCCGGATATAGTGAACGAAATGTTCGGTCCCGTGCCTTGCTATACATGAATAATGTTATTTTATGTGGATATAGTGAACCAAAAAAGTGAGGAAGTTGGATATAATGAACTTTTTTCTGTCTTCGACTGACTTTTTTCTAAATTTTTTTGTAATAATTTTGAAATTTCTACTTCAAAATAAATACATATACTGATTTTTAAAACCAGCTATAGAGGGAATGTATTTCTTGTTTGCTTTTATCTCACTTTCACATCCCTAAACAAACCAACCTAGGAAAATGATGCACCTGTAACGTGTCAGTGGGATCAATATGCATTTTTTGTCAGAGGGAATGAGTAATTATTCATTATTGGTCAAAGGGTTGGATGCTAATCTGTGTTGATAAGGCCCTCATTTCTTCGCATTTTTGCTCTAAGTTCAGTTAAAAAAAGCCTGCAAACTAGTGTCTCAAATTTATAACTTCAAATGTTCTCCATTTATGATAAAATGGGCATAATCAGAAAAATTGAAAATGGATGTAATCAAGCTGATATTTGCAGGGAATATAAACTATCCAAATCTACAGTTTGTAATATGTGGAAAAATAGGCGATTAACAATTTCTTCTCATTAAAAAAAATTTAGATGGCAGAAAAACGTTGAGAAAAGCAGATCACAAAGATGTTGAAGAAGCATTACTGAAGTGGTTCAGAATTCGAAGAAGCCGCCACCTTCCAGTATCTGGACATTTGTCGATGAATTTGCTAAGCGATTTGTGAGACTACTTTTATGTGCTCGAATGGCAGGTTAGACAGTTTAAAAAGCGGAATAACAGAAATTCAGGAAAAATAATCTAATAGTCGGGAAGTGTTTCCATATCTGATGTTGAGGATTGCTGATCAGTTAAGAATTACTAATTTTATTTTATGCGCAAGACGAAGAGTAATAAAATTACACACATTTTTTGTTACTGTATAATATTTTTTAGTCATTTATTTGAATAATGTGTAATAAAAGGGAGGAGTTTGGAATCATTAGTTAAATTGCCTGTGTAATGGATATAGTGAACTCCCGGTTATAGTGAACCAAAATTTCGGTCCCTTGAAGGTTCACTATAGCGGGGGTTTGACTGTATATGATCAGCAAGGTATTTGCATTTAATTTATCACATTTACGAGAGTTACCATTGAATATCGCTAATCAAGTACTATTAAAAAGTTTTGATTATGCTTAAAACAGTACAATAACTCAAAAACATTTTATGATCCCATTTAGGATAAGAAAAATTTCTTATAGAAAAAAAAATTACAATTAAAGTGGCTATACTAACAAATCTTGCTATCACTAACTCAAAGAGATATACTAGTAAATACTAGTACATGTAGAGTTGGTTTGAGTACAAAATTACCATGAAAAGCAAGGTGCCTATTAGTGAATTTCCTAAGAAAAAAACTGCAGTAACTATCCTTCCTTCACCAGGAAAATATTTTGTGAAAAAATTTTGTAAATGCACTTAGAAAAAAAAAAAGGGAATCCTGACATTAAAATCCAAAAAGAAATTGACTTTCTTTTTTGATAAAATCAAAATATTCCTCAAAACCTACATAATAGTATTGCTAATAATTATTTCAGTTATTTATTATCATTATTAAATTATTTTTTTAAAACGTTCAAAATTTATTAGAATGATTTTTTTTTTTTTTTTTTTGCAAAGGCTGATAAAATTTAACTCCTAAAGATAACATGTCAATTCAAAGGCAATCTCATATTTAAAGCAAAAACAGTTATATAGTTTCTTTTTCATCATAGAATTGAGAAATTTTTTTATTCTACTTTCCAACAATACTCTACCAGGATAAATAACTAGTTACTTATTTTACTAGCTTAACAAATTAGTTCCTAATTTTTTTACACCTGAATAAAAGAAAAAAGAAAATCTAAACTAGTAATTAATTTAAGCTGATAGAAAAATGCTACGTAAAAATTTTGCTAGTTATATTCTAAGCCTATTTCTTAAAATACTATATCATTTAATACTTCATAAGTAATAAAAAAGATAAGAACACTCTGTTAAGACAAGTTATTAAATTACATTATGTAAAAAAATTATCAACCAAATCCTAAAGCATTATGATCATCATTATGAAAAAAAGGAAAAACTCAAATTATTTTTAATAATTTGCCATTTTTTCAAGTAAAAAAAAAAACTACAAAAACTGATTAGAAAAAGATATTTATGAACAGTATAAAATTTTAGAAAATAAAAATGTAACTGTTTGTAAGAAAACTCAACATTGCTTTAAATTTAATCTTAAGAATCACTATAACTATTCAATAAAGAAAAAACATGATGCAAAACACATAAACTATTCGTTAAAATGTCTAAAAACATCATAAACAAAATAAGTAAAAAACCTAAGAGTTTCAGGAACAACAAGTTTTTCCTTATGAGATGTTAAGAAAACGATGAAAGAAAAATAGAACAGAATGAAATGTTTGGAAAAAACTTGTGCTATCTAAAAAAACAATTTGTGTTCTTTTCCTCTCATATTGATCCCAGTTCTTTCTCCTTAATTGTGATGCTGAAAATAAGAAGTTTTTATAGCACATGATTAAAATAGAAACTACTTAAACATAAATTATTTACCTGATATAATTCTTCTATGCAAGTAGTTAATTCTTTTTCTTTAACAATAACTTTCGCTTTAGAGTTATCTGAAATTATAATATAAGTTTTTTTAAAAAAACACCGCAAATTAAAAAGTTTACAAAGTAAAAAAATTTTAAAATTATGGCACATTAAATACTATGTACTAGTCTATTGAAATTACCACAATGTCAAGTAAGTCTTAGATTACACACACAGTCAGAAATTTTTAAAAAAATAAATAAATAAAATTGCATAAATAATTTTTTCGTACTTTTGTAAACTAAAAAACATATTTGGTTAGTTAACTTTTTACTTAATTCATAGCACCAATATAATTAATTGTTGACAATTTTTATTTATTGGCCACTTTATTTAATTTTCCGTTACTGCCTGAAACATTCCAATTTTCCTGAAAAGTTTAGGTATTCTCCTAAGTTGTAAGCTTTAACTGTTGAGCCATATGATAACTATCTAAATTAGACATGATTAGAAGATTATAATTCTCAAACCTATAGGTGTGGAGCTGCGTTGGCTTAGGGGGAAGAGCACTTCCCTTACAATAAGGCAAGCCGTTTTCGAATCCCAGTTATGAACAGCTGACCAATATGAATTCCACACCCGGCTCACACCGATTACAGTGCTGGCGTAAAATACCTGTGGTGGTAGACGGATCATGGATTAGAATCCCCTAGCAGTCAAGCTAATTGTGGGAGGTTTTAGCGGTTTTCCTCTCCATGAAAAGCGAATGCAGGTTAGTTCCATCAAAAGTATACCACAAAGGCAAATTTCTCCAAATACTTCCCTTATCTTTTGGATTGAGTTCGAAATTACAAAGATACGGAGTTTAACATTAGTAGACGTAAAACCGAAATTGGGGCGGCTGTTCCACGACAGTTATATATATATATGGGTGATTCTCACGAAATATGACAATTCACTATCCCTTGCTCCAAGATTTAATACTATAATACTAAAATAGCTTTTTTTTTCAAAAATTAATAAATAGCATTGCTGTTAGCATTTTAAAATGACTTTGCACTGGCATGGACTGTTTTGCATAGTTAAAAAATGTAATTGAACTACAAAATTTCATGTTTCTGGCATGTCACAAATAATGTTTCCAATAATAACTAGCTTCAAAACTTCCCATAAATTTTTCAATATTTAATTTTCATAAATTTTTCAATATTTAATTTTTTTTATCTCAACCGGTGTAAGCATTTCTAGAATATGCGCAGAGGGTATTATTTAAAAAAACTTCGTTTTAAATAATTTTTTCTGTCAATAATTTGCTTGTCCCAAGAAAATCTGTCATTTTCCTGGCTACTTTTATTTAGTGGCTTATAATCAAAATAGATAGAGCCAGCAATCAATATCTTATGTAATGAACGTGAGATTTGTTTGGCGTGAGATTGATTAGATACCCTCCCATATGAACATGTCTTGTTGCACGAATAAAGATCAAATTTTCTGGTTCAAAATCTATTTCAAAAATTTTTTAAAAACGAGTAAGTTTTTGTGTTGTCATTTTACTGGCTTCTTGAAATCATTAATAACATAAACTACATAGATTTATCTGAGTTGTTTTAAGAAATCCTGTTGTTTTCTGCAGAATATAAACGTCTTAGGGCAAAATATTAAATTCAAGTTATATGCTATAAAATGACGAATTTGTCATTTTCCTGGCTTATGAATGCCAGGACACTGAAGTGTTATCAGAATTTTTTTTTAACTGCTAATACTGTAAGGAGGGAAAGCAAATACTAACCTAATACCAAGTTCATGTATGATTGTAATATGCTTGGATGTAATTAAAGTTATTTATTTAACAATTGATTATTATACACAATTTTATTCTGTACATATCAGCAACAAAAAAAAAAGTTTGATTCCTTCTAATTCATTTTTCTGTAAAATTCTCAATTCTTGGTAGATTCCATTATTCTTTAAATTCTTAATTACACTATTAATTATGCATACGTATATATCTGATAAAAGGCATTTAAAAGTTACAGGTTTAATCAAAATACAGGCATTTCCGAATAGATAGAGAGTGAAAAAATCAGTTTCTCTTAAGACCTAGAAAAATAAACTTTTTTTTTCTTGATAAGTCTTAGAAAAACACAGTCAGATAATTTTTTTAAGACACACTAATTATAAGGATCCTAACTACATATTTTTGGCAAACAATCTTATTGCTATAAATGGTTCTCTAACAATTGTTTTATCTGTGCTTAATTATAATGGTTATACACAGGCAAGAAATATATGAAAACAAAATTTCTTTAAAGAAGTAGACATTTTTAGATGTAACATCATACAATTGTTAAACCTTAATTTCTCATTTTAAGTTCAGTTGTAAGCAAGATTTCAGTCATTTGAAAAGCTATTTTGAATTTAAAAAAAAAATAAGAAAAGATGCAAAGAAAAGAGGATTTATTTTTATGCACTTCTCTAAATAATATTTTGCTGGTTGAAAGGTTCAGGTTGAAAATTTATTACTCTCTTTTATTAAAAATAATGAAATACCACAAATGTAATTCTATATTCATTACATTTCAAACATTTTTTCTTGAATACAGCAGAAGGATAAAATTTTTTATCAAATTTTTTTTATCATCATAATTATTTTAATTATTATAATTTTTTTATACTTCATGTCTGCTCCATTTTACAATTAGCAAGTTGAAACAATGAAAGACAACCAGAATTCTAACACTTCTCACCTTAATATTAATTAGATTCAACTGTATGTTTAAATAATATTAGAAAAAATCTGAAAACTTAGAGCAATATATTTCCTTCTTTTTTTACCATATTTGAGAACACACATCCAAAGTGGATCCAGGATTTTCTTGAAAAAACAATTTTCTCCCAACATTCTGTCTCTTGCATAGAACTGTAGAATAATACAAGAGGCTATAAACTTTAGCAATGAATCCATCTGTGACCCTTTAAGATGGAGTAGATGAAACACCTATGAATAAATATATAAATTGATTAAAAAGAAATACAAAGATTTATTTATGTTTAGAAATTTGTAAAACAAACACTAGAAAGTAAAAGTTACTTGTAAAAAAAAAAAAATTTAAATTCAAAATGTTAAAGTTCAATTAAGGGTCAACTAACATTCAAATGAATTTAACCCTAATTGATCATATTTGTAAAATGTGGAACCATTAAAAAAATTTCTTCATAAAATTTTAAGTTATGATTTGAAAGTAGTGATAATCTAATTGCCTAGAATTCAAGACATTTTCAGAATCACGAGTAGTATTTATACATAAAAGATAACCACTGCAAAAAGATATTTATCTTAACTAGCTATCTTTTATAAGAGAAAGTAATTGAATCATTGTGTTGGAAAACCGGTTATCTCCACCAAAACTAGTTTTACAGGAGAGCAACAAAAAAAAAACTGAATATTTAAGTAGCCGCTTGATATGTAAAGCTTCTTTCATTTTTTGATACTAAAATATGGCTAGTTACAAAATATTCTACTGCAGTTACACTAAAATATCACTTAAATTGAAAAAATAATTACAACTTGGAGACGACCGATTTGCGTACAAAACCTTAAATCTAATACTATGCATTATTTTTAACAAACAAAAATATTCATAATTTGTAATTTTGAAATAAAATAAAGGCTTAGACTAAATATATATAGATTATGACTATCTGTGCTGAGCCACATATAGATATTAAACTATTTATAATCTAATTTACTATTATGAAGTTCTTACTTGCAAATTTTCTCCATACTCCTCTTAGGGAATGTATTTCTCAGTCTTTCTTGTGAATTCCAAACCCAACTTCATTCTGAACCTCTATGAATTTTGGACCCTAAATTTTACCATTTTTGCTTACTGTGACTTACAGTTACTTTAATTCCTCTTTCTTTTCTTGCATATACCACTTAAGGAACTACCCATTGAATAACTCATTGTGTGGTAAAAAGCATCAGCAAAACAGAAAGTCTGAACTCAATAATTGTTAGGATATGAGTACAATTTCGTAAGCAACTACTGCAGTCATCTGCGATGCATTTCCAATTTTATTACAAGAACAGTTATGCATGACAAGCATGTTAACGAACTGAATTTTTTATACCATAACCATGTATCTAAGTCAGCGTAACTCAGAGGTGCAAAAATCTCAATTTTTGAAAAAAATTAGAGAATGTTTTTCAGACTCATTATTTCAACCACTGTTTATGAGATGATTTTATGAATCTCTAGAAGATTGAATAAATCTGGTTTTCTCAATGCACTAAAATGACAAAAAGAAAACAGCATTTTTTTTTTTTTTTTTTTTTTTTTTTTTTTTTTTTTTTTTTTTTTTTTTTTTNGCTTTTTTTTAATTTTTTTTTTTTTTTGTAAAATGTCAAGAACTTCTAACCTTCTGTTATATGTCAATAAGCTAATCAACCTTTATAAGTAACTAAAAAACAATTTAATTGGGCCTATAATAGATTACATATTCAAAATCAGCAAATTAATAATGATGAAAAAATATTTCATTATAACCTATGCGTATTTAGCTATACCTTTATCAGTAGGATAAATGGATGGGACGGTAACATATTTTTCAAATAGGAAATCCTTAACTTCATATCCATATTAATTACTCTTGATGTCAAATTAATGCTTTGCTTTTACCTGCATATTTATCTTTTTAAAGTGAAGTAATCCCAAACAGATTAATTCATCTCTGTTTTACCATTCTTGCTATTTATCCAACTGATGAAGCCATATCAACGTGACACCAAAAGACAGTTTTTTTTTTAAAAAAAAAATACCATTCGGTGATTTTTAATGAAATTTAATATTATCACAAAGATCTACTCTTAAAGCTTAATAAAAATAAAATAAAATTTGGATGAAGACAAGATTTAATGTTACACTTGATACCTTTTGTTGTGGTGTCTATAAGGTGTTATTTTATTATAAAATTTATTTTAATAGAGTAGTAACAATAAGAATATAGTTTGAGAATAAAAGAAAGAGCACTTTTAAATTGCGTCTGAAAGAAGCAGTTTTATAGAAAATAGTCATTAACATAAGTAAGTAAATGTCAATCAGCTCTTCTTGGTTGGCTATCTATAAAAGCTGCCTATTTTAATAACTTAAGATTCCACACCTTTCTTTGGAAGTAAAAGTTGTTTTGGTGAAATAGTATTTTTTTTTTTAAATACAAATAACTGAAACAAAGAACAGGCACCAGAGAATTAAAAAAAAAAACACTTTTCTTTAGGTGGTTTATAATAATAAATTTTAGCATGGATTTTAAATTTTTTTGGATTGGATGAATGATTTAGTGTCACAAGGGTCAAAATCAACAGTAGGGCCATTAAAAGCTAATGCTATTTTTATTTTTGGTATTTTGATTTTTTTTTTAATTATTATTATTATTGTAATTTTGAACGCTGGGTTATGAAATTATAAATTCATCTGATAATCAGACTTTACAGGAGAAAAAGCCAACATAATAAACGACATTTTTAATACACAGAGTAATCTAATCAAAAAATGAAACTGGTTTACACAAATTCAGAAAAAGATAAAATAAGTAAATAACATTTAAAATAATAAATCAAAATTGAAAAGCGCTAAAAGCAGCTGAAACCAAATTTATTTTATTTTAATTTAGAAAGTCAGAAACACAATACTCTATAAGATACCCTGTGGCAGAATTTTTTCGGGCTTTCTGCGACATACCTCTAATAATAATATCTTTCTACAAGATACTTTTAAAAATAACAAATATACATGTTACTAAATTAAAGTAACAGAAGCGTCAAAAATTCAAAAAAAATAACAATAATAATAATAATTCTTTTTGGATGAAATAAAATAATTTTTTAATCAAATATGCAATTTTTTTAACTCTAATATTATGGGTGATGTTCTCGCATTTTGTAGAGGGGAAACACACTAATTATTTCCTTTTTCGCATTTTGTGTATCATTATCGCATTAAAAAAATAATTAAAAAATCGTGAAATCCGTAGCAGTAACTACCGGAGAGAAAAAACCACGAGAATCGGATGATGAAAAGGGCTACTAAATGCGTGTTTTCATTTCGAGATTCAGTTGTTGTAATAAATAATATCGTAATAAAAAATATCGAATTTTAAAAACTATGTGGAAATTAAGAGTAATAATGACTGCATTACAAAAATTTAGAACGTAAATTTCTGCAGAAAAGAAAACCAAATTTTTTTACTTCATTATTCTTTATTTTTCATTATTATCAAAGAAGAATAGAAAAATCACAAGCATTTTTTTCACTCTGATGGGCGAGAAGGACATCTTTTGAATATAATGCTGAAGAAAAGATAAAAATCAATTGAAAATTTCTGCAGAAAAAAAAAATTTTTTTTTGTACTTTCCGAAAGATAAATCTTTCTGCAAGAACTCGATAACGTTCTGCGACAATGTCGCCGTGTAACCACGATTCTGCCACGGGGATAAGATATGTGTGTTAGCAAGAAAAAACTTCATCGGGGGGGGGGGGGNGGGGGGGGGGGGGCACTGCCTGCCAACACACGGGAGCCATTCTGTCGTCAGCGGTAATTAATACTAAAAACTGACTGTGCCCCGAAGGCCCCATAATGGATAAAGAAATAAGAAAAAGCAATTAGAAAAATTTAAATGTAGATGTGATGAAAAATTAATGACATGCAAACACAATTTTAAAGTACACAGAGTAAGACTTAATAATGAAACGCCCACATATAAGAAAAATAAAGATAAAGTTACAGTTTGAATAACCAAATCAAAATAAAATATAAATTGCCAAATCATTAAGAAAACTTTAGAAATATATCAAGTGCTGACCCCTTTTGAAAATCTTGAAAAATAAAGCAAAAAACATATAATGAGCAAAAATTCTAAAAAGTGTTGCAATCTATATGCTTCAGGACCTATACATTCATTATGGGGCTTCGGACACAGTCATTTTTTTGGTATTACCACTGATGACAGAAAGATTCTTGTGTGTTGGCAGGTAGTGTGTCCCCTGATGAAGTACTTTCTTGCATATCTTAAAATATTCTTCGTTTTCTGCTGGAGAATCGTATTTCAGACTTACTAAATTACACACAGTAATGTAATATCTACTAAAAAAATATGCTAAAAATTTGCTTGTTTTCCAAGCTGTTGTTTTTGTTTGCATTCCAATAAATACACCAATTTTACAATAAAATATGTATTCATTTTATAAGTAATAGGCTTAAATATAAAAATAGCTAAGAACAAAGTAATTTCTGTTTATATGCTGCACCAGCATCTTTTCAATTAAAATTTAAGAACTAAGTTTCGATTATTATAAAAGAAATGAAATAGTTTCTAAGGTCACATACTTAATCGAACAATAATTAAATTGTTTTTTTTCCCCTTTCTCATACATAACTAAAAAAGTGATGACATTTTTTATCTAAAATTGTTAAGACTGACATAATGGAATTTTTCTACACTATCCTAAACACTAATGATATAACAAAGTAATAAAATTAGTAGCAATATAAAGTAAGTCTGATGCAAACCCAGATAGAGGAAAAATTATTCAGGTACTTAAAAATACCTGGAGAAGGTAATAACCGTGAAGGGTTTAACATGTTCTAAAAACTAAACAAGTTAAATATTTTGATTAATAACACTTTTCAATGTCAACATCAATGTAAAAAACATTGTTTTAATGAGTAGAAAATTACATAAAATATATACCTGTTTAGACAATCTTTGCATATAATTCTCAAGAGAGAGATGTCGAACACAATTAAGAGTAATGAGATGAGCAACAGCTTCCATCTGCTTAGAATCAACTTTCCCACTATCCACATCACTATCTAATTTAATAAAAATATTTGGAAAAAAATTTATAAATAAATAAAAACTAAGTTTTAGGAAAAAGTGCATTACGGGTACCTTAAAGCATCCATTTTATTGTTTGGTGCTTATTCTAAATCAGTATGGAAAATGCAAATGTTTGAAACAAATATCTAAAAAAAACTGTGAATTGATTTTGTACTTCTCTTAATGTTGCTTCAAAACAAATAAAAAAACAAATTGCAACAAAATTCTAAACAATAAAACAACCATGACAACAAAAAATTTCATTTTCAACATAAAATTAGCATTAACACAGAAAATTAAGCTACCCACCATACAGTTTCTTTCGCAGGAAATAAATCCAACATTTTTCTAGAGAAAATCAAGTTTTTTAAAATAATTTTCATCAAAAACCAAGATCCTGTTGAGCGTATTTTTGCAATTGACACGTATGAAAACTACCCTCTGAATTGTAAAAATGTAAGAAAACAGGAATATTAATCAATCATTTAAGATTAACAAGATTTTGTAGTAAAATCATGCTTAGGATTTCAAAACATTAAAGCTTGGCAATTTGCGAAAAATATTTTTTTTAAAACTTGAATTTTTTAAACAAGTTTGTTATTAACGATTCAAATTTTTTCCAGAATCTATAAATTAACTCAATTTCTTTCTAGATTGACCCTACTAACATAATATTATGACAAAAATATTTGCAAAATGTACAAGTAAATAAATAACAAATTTTAAAAAATGAGCCATCTTAAAACATATTTAAAAGTAACTATGGATAAACAAATTTGAATTTTTAATGTAATTAATGAGAAATATAAATAAATGATAAATTATTTATTTCAAAATAACGCATTCATTTAAGATTTATAAGTTGAATGTGACACTTTTTGAACAATTAATGCCGAATTTTTAAGGAAAAAAGTTATATTTAGTGTCTATTCTTTCCACAACAATAAAAAATTGAAAAAGATATGACCATCAAAATATGTGTAACAATAAAAAAAAATAATAAACAAGGATTTTGAAAGTGCTGATAAAGTCACAAAATGTTGCAAATAGGATAGTGACCTTTCCCTCAGAAAATGAGGTAATAAATAATGGTGGCGTTTAAAGATGCATATAAAAAACTGTTAACTTAAGAGTTTATGATGATTATCAATATATGTTTAGGATATCAATTCACTGTGTAAATTTTAATTGTCTTATTTTACTATGTTTGCTGTTAATTTTCTGTTTTATTAGAGTCAAACATATTATTTGCTTAAGGCACACAGTCAACAAACTCTTCAAATAGTATATTTTAAAGTAATATTTTATGTCAAATAGCAAATTAAAACAGATTCAAAAAATTAAATAAAATTAGAGAAGCTATTTTCATGTAAAATAAAATTACCAAAAGCTTTATCCAAAACAGCTTGCACTAATGAATTAATTCCTTGACTCTGTAGTATTAAATCTGTCAACATTTGGTTACAAATTTTTCTCATCCAACCAGGGCATCTAGTCATTGCTATTTCTGAAATCTAAAAAATAAACATGAATCACTTAAGAAGTTCAAAGCTAGAGGTAGTTATAACATGTTGCTAAAAACATTAGAATCAAAGTAATAGATTTTTCATAACAGTAAACAGAGAAATCAGCCTGCTGCAATTTTTTGCCTAGTTGAAATATTTATTTCTCTATCATAACAAAAAAAAATTTCTTAGTAGTTCAGTTATGTATTTAAAACACAAAATGAAACGAGCAATCGTAAATTATAGTTTGTCTAGGGTATGAACTCATCCCTCGCCACAAAGTCTGAAGCAGTCTGCTGGTATGGAAACAAGAATAGTGCATCTCAGGGAAGGGGCTTCTCTTCACTCAAGGGCTAATACAATAGACCAAAGAAAAAGATTCCCTTTCTCTCGCTCACTAAACAGAGACTCCACACCCCTACTTGAAATAATTATATCTCGCTACCATAGTCACTGCCATAGGTCCAGGCGAATGGCTAGGGGAGTTCTTACTTTAGACAAATCATAAATTACCTGTAATAAATTTAATTGTACAATAGCTGAAGGAGGTCAAAGTAATGGAATGAACAACTAAAGATTTTCTATTCACGCATACTATTTTTGTTGCAATATATTGTTGCCAGCTGCAGCAGACAATGGTATGCTTTCACTAACTTATCGCATTGCAGTTTTATGATAACTCCTACCTTCAGGAACTTAACACTTTGCCATTCTAGTTTGACTATTGCAACATTGCTCTGAATCCATGGTATTAATAGTCCAAGTGCAGGCAGGAACTTGCAATGCTTGAGGCTTATTGTTGATTTTCATTTTTGTGAGCTCATTGTTTTGTAACTTCATATTGCTCTTATCAATATAAAACTCTATTGGGCAGTAAATATTTATAACAACAGAGTTCAAGAGACTTGTAATTTACAACAAAAATATAATGTGCAATATAATTTAAGGATGCTTATATACAATTACTAAAATATTAAATCTGAGGTTTTTAATGACAAATGGATTTTGACATGATGGTTTTATGTGTGTTTAAAACAGTCAAAAGTCATTCAACCCTAACTACAAACTCTTATCATTATTAAATCAATTTTGAATATTTTTTTTAAATAAAAAATCCTCATGGACTGTTTCAATGATAGCATATTATTCAAACATTTTGAATCTGATCAAGGCAAATTTATAAAATAAGATGCTTCTAAACAGGTTGTCTCGCAATGGACTGATCATTAAGCAGATCAGCGAAGTCAAGCATCACTGGCTCAGTGTGCGCGCAGGTGACCACTTGGATTAGTCTGTGTAGGGGCCGAGGGTGTTTGGTATTGGTCCTCATTAAACTGTTCAATCGTAAAGTGCTCAACTTCACATGCAGGTTATGGGGCTACCAAGCGGGGACGCCATCCCCTCTGCAGAGGATCGAAATTTTGATGGCATGTCTTCAGATCATCCCCACTCAGGGATGTTTCCCACACTGTCGCCAACAGTCCATTGTGAATCTCTAGTGCGATGTAAATCAAATACAACAACATCTAAACAGATTAATTAAATGAAACTACAAACCTTTATTCTTCTTTTTATCAGAAGATCAATAGTAGTTGCATGGCTATTCCACATCAAAGCATAAAGTAAAAACTCATATAAAATAGACTTATAAAATTTAAGGATAAAAATACTTATCAAGAGTAGTCATATTTTAATAAATAAATTTATTTAAATATGACTTCTCTTGAAATGGAGCATCAAAACAATCAGCTATAGTAAAAAAATAAAAAATGTATAAATAAATAAAGATATATTTCATACATCACTTCTCATGGGAATTCCTTGAAAAAGGATCAATTCCCATATCAACAAAGATGGGCTGATTAGATTGAGAAATTTCTCCAAGCGATGAGTAAAATGAACTCTGTGCAGGAGCATCAGTGTTATAACTTCACACTCTGTGTGATTTGAATTATCTGAAATTTCACAATAAAAATATTAATTAACTCCTTTAAAAAAATGCAAATAACCAAGTAATTCACTTTATTTTCCAGAATGAATAAATAAAACAAATTATTAATTTCAGAAAATAGTGTTTGAATAATAACTTTAATTATTTTCTTATCACAAATATTACGATTAAATCAATTTAACACAACGGAACAAGAACTAAATATTAATGTATTAATAATTATAACGGAAAAGGGAATGTACATGTTTATGGAAAATAGAAATAAAATAAATAAGCTTAAACATATCATAAAATAATATAAATATTTAAAAAGTGTTTAAAAAAATTGCCAAAAAATACCTCTAATGGCAGCAAGCATTGATCTGAACTCAATTTTATCAGATGGTGGAGATTTTACAGCAGTCATCTAAAATAATAATAATGGGTATTAATTTTTAAGTAAGTAAATTAAATAAGAACTACAGTCAAACCCCGATATAGAGAACCTTCAAGGGACCGACATTTCGGTTCACTATAACCGGGAGTTCACTATATCCGTTAAGCAGGCAATTTTACTAATGTTTCCTTAAATCCTCTCTTTTATTGCACATTATTCATATAAATATTCAAATTCATGAAAAATATTATGTAGTAGCAAAAAATGTGTTACTTTTGAATTACTCTTTTTCTTGTGTACAAAAAAAAATTTTTAATCTCTAGCTGATGAGCAATCCTCAACATCAGATATGGAAACACTTTCCTGAATTTCTGTTATTCCGCTTTATAAACCAGTCTAACCTGACATATTTTAGGACATAAAAGTAGTATCATAAAATCGCTTAGCAAATTCATCGACATCTGTTTAGATACTGGGATATTGCAGCTTCTTCTAATGCTGAATCACTTCAGTAATGCTTCTTCAACATCCTTGTGATCTGCTTTTCTCAACTTTTTTCTGGCATCTGAACTTGTTTCATGAGCAGAAATTATTAACTGCCTATTCATATTCATATGTTACAAACTGCAGATTTGGGTAGTTTATATTCTCTGCAAATATCAGCTTGATTGCATCCATCTTCCATTTTTTCTGATTATGCCCATTTTATCATCCATGAAGACCGTTTTACGTTTATTGCTCGACATAGTTAAATTTGAGAAACTCGTTTGCAGGCTTTTTTTAAACTGAACTGAGTGTAAAAAGGAGTTGAAATGAGGGCCTTATCAACAACATTAGTGGCCAACCCTTTAGTAGCCATTAGTGGCCAATAATGACTCATTTCCTATGACAAAAAATGCATATTGATCCCACTGACATCTTACAGGTGCATCATCATCTGCCTGGGTTGGAAATATCTGCTTGGTTTGTTTAGGGATGGGAAAGTGAGATAAAAGAAGCAAACAAGAAAAAATGCTTATCGTTACATTCCCCTCTATAGATGGTTTTAAAAATCGGTGTATGTATTTATTTTGAAGTAGAAATTTCAAAATTATTACAAAAAAATGAAGAAGAAAAATCAGTCGCAGACAGAAAAAAGTTCATTGTATCCAACTTCCTCCCTTTATTGGTTCACTATATCCACAAAAAATAACATTATATGTGTATAGCAAGGCACGGGACCGAACATTTTGTTCACTATATCCAGGAGTTCACTATAAACTGTGTTCACTATAGCGGGGTTTGACTGTATTACCATAACAATAAATCATATTAAATGTAGAGTGACATTTTAAGGGTAAATTTGGAAACAAAATTCCTTACTTCATTAATATGTAAAGAATATATGTCATGCTTTCGTGCAGAGTTTACTTTTTTAACCATAATATTGGAAATAGTTCATATTTAATTTTAATTCATCAGACTTTTAATGCATTTGATTTTAATATTCCTCTCGTGTAATGATGATTCCATAATAATTTTTATTAAGGAAAGTATAAAGAAATTAAAAATATTTACAATTATACATTGAGCAGAATCTCCTTGAGACAAGTTTGTAGATTCATTTATAAAAGACAAGTGTGCACTTTTTCTACACACTGCATATGGTTATTATTGTATGTCATTTGATCCAAAATATCCAGACTTCGTTGTTAGGATTGCATACCTGCCAACATTGGAGAAATAAAATAACGGAGATTTTAATAATCGATTCAATTTTGGGTCTACGACTACTGATGTTCAACTCTGTAGCCTAGTAACTTGTAATTTTGAACCCAATCCAGAAGATAAGGGATCTCCTGGATCAAGTATTGGTTGAAATTTGCCTTTGTGGAGGACTTATTTCCTTGGAGCGTTGGGATTCGAATCCGGTTCACGTCATTGCAAGACGAACGTGCCATCTCCTGAGCCATCACGGCTTGACTTAAACAATTCTGATAACACTCAATATACTGCAGTACTGGTAATAGAACCATCTGTAGAGGAATAAGAAGTATTTTTTGTCATCAGTGGATATTTAATTGTCAAATTATTATTTTTTTAAAAATTTCTTTAACAAATATGGAGAAATTTGAGAATATACAGGTAAATAGAAGATAGTTGTAAAATACAGGAGTCTTCGTTAAAAAACAGGAGACTTGGCAGGTATGGGATTGATGCCGCAAGAAGTAATCATAAGACCGGATGACGATATATTAAAATCTGGTATGCAAATGGAATATCATGTACAACATACTTTTTTTCTCTGTGTTAACTTAAAATCCAAAATTAACCCTTTGGGTTCACAACCATTAAATGTTACTTAAGAAGTTGACACGTAAGTTAACTAAGCTCTTGAATTGTATATACAAATCCAAATAAAAGAATTTTTTGTAGTTAAAGTGAACAAGGAAAATAAGTTAAAATTTTTACAGTCTGAAAGTATTTACCTGATCTTTCTCTATCTTCTTTATAGGTGCATGGCATAACTGTAGCAATGTAGCAAACAAATCAGTTCCGTGATACCTAAACAAAATGCTCTGCATGGCATCGCATTCTAAACAATCGAGCAAAGTCTCCAAGCATATAACCAGCTGCACATGTTTTTGGTAATATGTTGAATCAACAATGAAATTTTCAAAGATATTTGCATGCTGAAGTCTGCGACTCAAAGGAATGCCAATGCCTCGTAGGAGGTTGGGCAAAATCCCAAGTCCAACAATGAACTGGAAACATTTCTTTAAAACTTGTTGTTGGGAAATGCTGAGCAGCCCTCTGGGCATGAACATTTTACATCCTCCATGGCTCTTGGATGAACAGGAATCAGCTTCTTCCTGCGAAAGGGCTTTTTGCAAAAGTCTCAACAGTACCAAACACATCTGCAAGAACGTGAGATGGTCGCAGCAGCATTTCTTTCCATAGCATGTTTGCACAAATTTTATCACAATTGCCTTTATCTCTGGGTATATTTCTATTCTTTCTAAAGTTACGTGAACTTTTCTTCTTAATTCAAGATAAATTGCATCTCTGTCACTGCATACTTTTATGTTTGTTTCAATTTCTGTAATAAAAATTTCAGTTACAAAAGTTTTAAAAAAATAGAGAAAAACTAATGTTTTTCTGAGAATAAAACAAGAACTTTTAGAAGTGGGGAGATGGCTTATATACTAATTTGTGTGAAGAACCCAAAAACCTGAAAATTATGTTTTCATTTCAGAACGCTTGTTCAAGTTAAATTGAATATTTTTAGAGACATGAGTGGGTATTTTGAGGCACGCAACCAATGAAAAGCACTTGCAGTCTTCAAAACTGTCCGCAGTACATTGAAAATTAAAACATTTTCATCTATTTAATCACTACAGATTAGAGACATTTTCCTCTTTTCCCATTTTATTTAGGCCACCCAGATTTAAATAAATGTCTTAATAAGAAACTTTTTGTAATAGACAATTTAGGATGGCTGAGTAATAAAACAAATTAGGAAAACTGTTTCTAAATAGTGTAACAATTATGGCTGCAATATTTCGAGATATTATGAGTCGAATATTATTATTTAAGTCTCCTATTACGTATATTTGGGTAATAGAACAATTTAGGAAGGCTGGTTCAAGTACTGTAACAATAATAATTGGAATATTACGAGCCGAACATTACTATTTAGGTTTTCTATTATGCACTGTTATAGTTTGCATTTCCTTACAGAATTATTTTAAATAGCAAACAACTTTTTTAGCAAATAAAAATTAGAATAACATTAAAAACTATGAGATGGATTGGATACTTCAAAAAAAAACCTAAGTCAAACAAATTTTGACAACTTGAATATGGAAAAAATTCGGAGAGAGCTACGCAGGATCTGCGTTGCAAAATTTATCCAATGTCATACAAAGCATGATGGTATATGTTTAATAAATACATTGTTATAGGAAAATGTTATTTCATATACACAGGGTTTTGAATATGAAGAAAATTTTAAGAAGAATGAAAAATAATCTTTGCTTTCACGCTATCCTACAATAACGAAAGAGTTTTTGACATTTTTTTCTTTTTAAATTTCTTAAAAAATACTTAGGAGACTATTTTGTAACTTTAGAGGCATTCTTTTTACACTTATCAATAAAATTTAAAACTTTCAGAGGTTTGAGAGACTGGAAATAATTTACAAACAAAAACAAGTATTTTTGAAAATCATTTGTCAGAAAATGAAACAACGAGCTTGCAATCTATGTTGGTTACTTTGGTTGTTATTTGCAATCATTGCACAAAATTTCGTAAACCTAGCTTATTTATGGAGACAATGATATTTTTATTAAAAAAATGCCTTTTTGTCTTATGTTCTTTATTTACTTTTCACTATAATTTTAAGAATATTCAATAAAATAAAACAAAATTTCTGCAGCAGTTAATAATTAATTGCAAAATTATCTTAAATTTTTGACAAAAAGTCATTAAAAATTGCATAAGATGACAAAGAAAAAGCATTTAAAGTAGTTCTTCCATACTGCACATGAGCGGAAAAATGTNATATATTGTTATAGGAAAGTTTTATCATTTCATATACACAGGGTTTTGAATATGAGGAAAATTTTAAGAAGAATGAAACATAATCTTTGCTTTCAAGCTATCCTACAATAACGAAAGAGTTTTGGACACTTTTTTTCTTTTCAAATTGCTCAAAAAATATTTAGGAGACTATTTTGTAACTTTAGAGGAATTATTTTTACACTTATCAATAAAATTTAAAACTTTCAGAGGTTTGAGAGACTGGAAATAATTTACAAACAAAAACAAGTATTTTTGAAAATCATTTGCCAGAAAATGAAACAATGAGCTTGCAATCTATGTTGGTTACTTTGGTTGTTATTTGCAATAATTGCACAAAATTTCGTGAACCTAGCTTATTTATGGAGACAATGATATTTTTATAAAAAATGCCTTTTTGTCTTATGTTCTTTATTTACTTTTTACTATAATTTTAAAAATATTCAATAAAATAAAACAAAATTTCTGCAGCAGTTAATAATTAATTGCAAAATTATCTTAAATTTTTGACAAAAAGTCATTAAAAATTGCATAAGATGACAAAGAAAAAGCGTTTAAAGTAGTTCTTCCATACTGCACATGAGCAAAAACAATGTAAAAAAAAAAAAATATTGTACTATAGTAATGAATTGTAATTGGTAACTAATGAAAAAAATAGTCTGATTTGAATAACTAGAAAATTTAAAAAGTTCCTAGCAATTTTATAAGTACTTTTTATACTTTCTTTAGAAAAAGCTAGAAATGATAAGGGGTTTTCTACAAATTTTATGCTAAATCTTTAGAAATATTTTTATAACTGATAATACCATACAATAATCATCCGTACAGCGAAAAGTAATGGTATAAGGAAAGAAAACGTATTTTTATTGGAGATGATCTAGCACATCGGTGTTCATTTTTAATAACTCTTGTTTAACAATAAAACTTGTTTCTAGGTAACAATAAAATTTGTGAAAAACCCTCATCGTTCAAGATATTCAAATCAATTTTTTTTTATTAGTTACTAAATACAAATCACTACAAAATTATTATTTTTTTAAAAAATTTTCAGAACTATGAAAGAACTACTTTAAAAACACATATCTAGTGTAATTTTTAATGATTTTTTTTTTCAAATTTTACAATAATTTTGTTATTAATTGAAAATTGCACCAAAAATTTGCTTTAACATTTTTAAAGTTATAGCAACAAAAAAAAAATTTTTTTAATATAAAAATGTCCTTTAATTTTTGAGCTAAGTTTATGAAATTTTATACAATTAATGCAAACAACAACTATAGTAATTGATTCAAATTACAAGCTTATTGCTATATTTTCAGGCATAAGGGGTTAAAAAATACTTGTTTTAAAATTACAGGTCTCACGAATTTCTGAAAGCTTTAAAATTGATGAATAAATATGAGAAATCGCATCATCTAAATACCTCTAAATTCATAAAATAATCCTCTAAATAATTCTTGAGAAATTTTAAAAAATATCAAAAACTGTAAGTGTCTTTTCCATTATTGTAGTAGGTTAGCTTACACAAATCTATATTCAGAAATATATGGAACGCTGCAACAAATTTAGGATGCAAATATATATATTATATATCATCAGCAGCAGCATTGGCACGACAGCCCTTTGTGAGCCTGGGCCTTCCTCAGAAGCTTTTCCCATTCTGTCCTTCTCCCAGCAATTGTTTTCCAGTTCTTTACTTTTAGGATGGCAAAATCCCCATCTACACAGTCCTTCCATCTCTTTTTGGGCCTTCCTCTTGGCCTTTTATTGGAGGGGGTTGCATTAGAGACTCTCAATGCTGTTCGTTCTGGGCTCATTCTCACTACATGCCCGGCCCATCTCATTCTACTTAATTTAATAGATTCAATGATATCATCGCCATCAAAGATCCTATATATTTCAAAATTATATCTTTTCCTCCAGTTGTCGTTATCGAGTATAGGGCCAAAGATGGTTCGTAGGACCTTCCTTTCGAAGGTTGCTAATAACTTTTCTTCCCTTTTTGTTAAAGTCCATGTCTCTGAAGCATAAGTCAAAACTGACTTGATTAATACCTTATAAAATATATTATATATATGCTATATATATATTATATACTATATATATATAAACATATATTATATACTATATATATATAAACATATATTATATACTATATATATATATGTATATATTATATATATACTTTATGGTAAAATATTACATGTCTAATACTTAGGTCACTGGTCCCCAAATGATAAAAAAGTATAAACATTTCTGTAAAAATAAGTGCCTTCATCCTTTAAAAATACTGCCATTTTAGTTTTTCAGGAAAAGGTTTTTTTTAACCATCTAATTTAATGAAAAGTCCACTTCAGATATATTTAGTTATTGATAATTATTTAATTTTAATTTCATTTCCTTATTTTAGTAAGACTTTGGTGCTGTCTAGTTAAATAGTGTATTATTCTCATATTATTCAGCCCCAAAGATATTCACACATCATTTACTCTATATTAATAAGTATTTTTAGTGATTTTTACCCTTTTATTTCAAATAAATACCCTTTATTTAAAAATGCACCTTTAAATGTTTATTTTCGAATAATTTTCTGTTTAAGACATAAAAAAAAAGCTTTTAAATTGTTTATCAGTTAATACGTTTTTGTTAGTTTGGCTTTTTTTTAAATATTTATTCACGGAGATTGCCTTTTAGCTTATCTTTAATTATTTGTTAAAAGCTTCAAATTTTTCTGTTATTTTGAGAATGAGTAAGAATTACTATGTGAAATTTACACATAAAATAGTTTATGAGGGTAATTTAAAAGTTAAGGATAAAATTCAGTTATTAAAGAATATTACACATTTTGGTACATTTTAACAGTAGTGAGTGAATGCCCTACCCAAACTCTAAGTGACCTTTTCTGTAGGAAAGCACCCTGCCCTTTATTATTTATAAGGAGAACTCGGATAATTCAATATAATTTTCACCGTGTTTACTTATTTTTTAATCATTAACTTTCAATATGCTGCAAATCCACCAACTTTTAATATCTAAGTAATAAAAGATATTGAACTGCTAATAACATTTTACAGAGAGCATACGGAAAATAGAAAAAATATTCTTTTATTTACATAGTTAATAATACAATTATTATTGCATCATAGAATACTAACATAATTATGTATGAAAGCTTTAAAGAGTTAAATCTAATGTATACAAAAAACAAAAAAAACTCTTGTCACTTAAATGGAAAGTTACATGAAAAGAAAATCATACAGAAAATAAAATCTGATAAGTTTGCAACTAGAACAGTACTGCATCCTATGTTCTACAACAAGATTTTATACATAAATAATATTCTGCAGGTCTACATCGAAAATTAAAATCATAGAAAGAGGTTTTGATTATTGGAGCAATAACAAGCATACAAGAATAAAAAAGCTTAAGTTGCAAATTTCATGATCACACATTCATCATATTGCAATTTTTTTTTAAATTTAAATTAACCTTTTATTTATAAAAAAAAAACTAATAAAAGGGATATGAAAATGGACTAACAAAAATGTGATCTGCCAAGGACACATTTCTTAATAGTTCTTAATTTCCATCTCTGTTCTTGTATCAACCGAAAGCAATTGCATGGTGCGTAGCCAAATCGCTCAACAAAAAAAAATTCACCTTTTAAGTACTACATGCATAAACAAAATGCAAAATAATTTTCTAAGACTTTACATGATCATGATAAAAAAACTTGATTCTGACAAAGAACTCTTTTCTTGATTATATTAGCCATCATAAAATGATCAAGAGATTTTTCGGTTTGATATCAGAGGGTGAAAAAAGGAAGCCTGAAATGGAGAATATCTCGAAAATAGTACATACATAGAACATATACTCGAACTTAGTTGCACATAAGAGTGCAATAATCTCACCGGACCCTAGTTCAGTAGACACACACGCGGACTTGCAACTATTTCATCAAACATGTAAAATTATCGGAGCTTTCATATGCTATGGACCAACGGTAACCGAAATAGATTGTTGAATGAATTATAAAAACTTTGAATAGAACAATGTGAAAAGCAGGCTTTGGCATAATACGAGGCAAAAATCAACATGGCAAAAAAAAAAAAATCTCATCTTCGAAGAGGGAAAACAAAGCACTTTTCAAAAACACTCAATGAAAAAAGCACCTTTTAGGGCTTTTAAGAAATGAATATCGAAAATAAGCACTTTTAAAAAACGCTACACACCATGAATTGGGGCTGTTCAAAAATAAAAATTTGAAATGAAAATAAAAAGAAATGTTTATTCAGAGACTTTTTTTTTCATTTAAATAAATTAATTCAATATTATCTATAAAACATGATCATAATAATCAATGTTTAAAGGTCTGTAACAAGATTATGGACAGACTATTAAATCAACATCACATATTCCAAACATAAATTGCTCTGCAATGTGTGTCTCAGTTTTGAGCCCTTTCTGCTGTCTTCATTTCACTTCATAAAGTGTCATATTTACATGTTGTGGTATTTTATATTTACAATCTATCTACTGTATGATTAAATAAAAAATTTGATTCCCAAAAGTTTTAATCAGGTGATTCAGAGTCAAAAAATTTATGATGCGCAAGCCCGGCAATTTTTTTAAATTTAAATGTTTTTTAGTTTTAGGTTTTTATTTGAAACTTTTACTATAAAAAGGAACATTAAAAAATAATAAAAAAACATCAATAAAACATCAAAAATTACAAATTTAATTCAAATCACATTTGTAATATAGTACACAGTATATGACTAAATATAGTATACGACTATACATGACAGTATATAATACACAGTAAATGAGTATTAATACCTAAAAAATTAAATAACTATTAAAAAACTAAAAAAGCTCCGAAGGATGAGAAAATCTAGAGCTCCAGCAAAAGCACAACTATGGTTGGAACTTTCATCATAGAATAAAATAAAACTATTTACCTGAATTCGCCTCACATAATAAAGCATCTAAGCAATTGCATATCTTCTGAACAGTACTTTCACCATTCATCCTTTTTAAGCTAAAATATAAAAATCAATATAAATATTGCCATATAAAATAATAACTTTCTGTAAAACAGTTTTTTTGTAAACAAATTGTATATTTAAATTAAGTCACACACAAATTAATAGCATAGATTAGAAAACAATAAAATTTAAACTACTATAAAATTAAAAATTCATATGAACATTGACTATAGTTTTTTTAAAGTAAGAAATCCTATAGTTATTTGTTTGGACCCATAGCAGTAACTATGGTAACAAGGCATATCTATTTAAGTAGGAGTCTGGGGTCACTGTTAAGGTTTTTATTCCGGTCAGAGACAGAAATTTTTTTTTCCTCAGTCTGTTGTCAGGGGTCTATCCAGACATTTTGTAAAAGGTCCTGTTTTTGTAAAATTGTGAAAAAACTATTCATAATTTGTGAATACAAAATAAACGTTAAGTCACATTCTTTCAACCAGGGTCCTGCTTTGGTGAATATGCGCAAATAAGGCAAAAATTGCTAAAAACCTTTTCAAGAAGTTTCTAAATTGTAATTAGATATAAGATTCTGCTCAACAATTGCTGCTACTAAATTACAGATGCAACATACAAATATTAGGTATTTAGCCTATACTGCTCAACACAGTATATTCATTTCAGACGAATAATGAAAACAAAATCACTTATATTTTTAATAATTTCAATTGACATATTTTAAATAATACAACTTAGAAATGTATCACTTTTAATGCATTACGCATTAAGTAAGCTTAGACAATTCTTAAATTTATAATATTTTATTTAAAAAATTGCCAGAAATAAATTTTTATTTAGATAATTTTATGAATAAATACGCTATTCTTGTTTCCCAGTGTTTTCACTACAGCGCGAGAATCTCACTCATTTTTTTCTTTTCTAGCATTCAAAAAAGAATAATGCGAGAAGATCGTGCACTCTATTAATCAATTTCAAAATGCGCGAATCTCGAGTATTTAGGAAAAAATTTAGTCTTCTGTCATTTTGAATAAAATTCGTTTCACTTTTCTTCCTTGATCTTTCATTATTTTCAACATCGATCATTGTTATCTAGCTTCCCTATTTACCAGTATTGTTTAGAACAAGCAGCAGAACAAAACTGCTAAGAGAAGAAAAAGCTGTTAAAGGGCAACATATCTATGGCAAACAAAAAAATAGCCCATATCTAAAGTATATCTGCAATTGTCGTTTTTAAAATACCTGTGCAGTTATGTGTAGAAATGTATGGTTCTAATTTCAAATAAAGTTAAAAGAATTAAAAAAAATTGGAATCATATTTTTCAATTCTATAGATCTCTGAACAAACTCCAAATTGATTTTATGTTTTATTATTTATATCTTGTTATTATTTTTTATTATTATAAGGTACATATACAGCTCTAAGCAATTATAACTATAACTCTCATGAAACAAATGGTTACTAAGAGCCATTAATGGTAATGCATATAAAAACTAATCGTTTAGTAAAGAAATGAGGTTACATTTCACATCAATATGCACCCTCGATAACAGCTTATAAACAAAACATATTCTCACTTTAAAATGGTCAAGCAACTAATGAAAATTAATTTCAAATCATTCTAGGCAAACTGAAACTATGCCTTCTACATTTGTTATGTTACTAAATAATTTCAAGTTGCTTATTCTAATTTAATGAAACAATGCTTAATATGCTTCTTCACATGTTCAAAGATGATAATTTATAGTAGTTGAAAAAGCCAAGAGCTGAATTTTAAAGAAACGATAAAAACTCTCGTGCTTTACTCATTACACAACATGGGATCACAGTGTTTAAAGCTTTGCTGATCAGTAATTTGATGTACTCTAAAAAAGAAAGGCTAAATAAGAAAAAGTAAAATATTACTAATAAAATTTTACAGGCATACCAAGCAATAAAACTAAACTTTAGACATGTAGAAGATATTGCAGAATTTTGTAAACAAATATGACAGAATAACGATGGACTCCGCAGATACAGTTAACTTCAAATTTCGCTGAAGTATGATCTTATGCCTTTTCCTGGCTAAGCAACTTATGAACAACACAGCATATGCGCTGCAAATTATTACGTAAAATTTTCACAGTATTCATTCGCGCTGAATGCGGTTTATGCATCACATAAAAAAGAACGCATGCGCAAACTGCTTTTGTAAGGGTTATTCTCACTACAGGTGATTTTTTCGAATCCCTTTCTTAACGGTTAGCAACAGGAGCACCATCTGCAGTTTTTGTTCATTCATAAATATAATTTAATAAAGCAGTAGCACAATTGGAAAAATATATCTTTATTGAAATTAACAGCAACGTAGAATGTATCAAACAATATATTGATATAGAAAATACTTTTGTAGTAAAAATATTGGTTCGTTATTTATTTGTGTCCGACATTTTGATAATGTATTCGGCTTGGAGTAATAAGGGCTTATCAATTACATTTCCACGAAAAATAAAAGCTCCTTTGCCTTCACTTTGATGTATTTTAAACAATTTAATTAGTTCTGTAGCCCATTCAATCTTTTCCTCTGATGGCGAGAAAGCCTTTTGTACTACAGGGACTTGCATTGGGTGTATAACTTGTTTACCAGTAAATCCCATGTTAGCACCTTCTTCTGAATATTTTTTAAGACTATCTAAGTCTTTATAGTTTATATGAACCATATCAATTGCTTGAATTTTAAATGCTTTAGCATAAATCACAAACATTTGTCGTGAAGTTACAAGCTCACGGCTATCAGAACTGCGGTTAGCACCAATATCAGCACAAAAATCATCTGCTCCAAAGATCAAACCTTCCAAACGAAAAAAACCTTCCTGAGATAGTTCCATGGCTTTTGCACAAAGAGACCGCAAATTTAATAAGCTAATAGCACTTTCTACTAAAAATAATAAGTTCAGCATTTTGAATTCTTTTTTAGGTTGTAAATGTGATCTTAGCACATCGTTCAGCCACATCAATTGACTAGGATTATCAAGTTTAGGAACCACAAGTGTATCAGGAAGTTTGTTATTTTTTAAAATAGCAATCAAATCCTCCTCAGCTAATCCACTTTCAACTGAATTAATTCTAACTGCACAATCTGTCTTTCCAAAATTAAAAGTTTGTAACATTTCGCAAATATTTCGACGAGCATCGGCTTTCATATTTGCCGCAACCCCATCTTCACAATCGAGCACAGCGCAATCTACATTGATGCTATTAAGTTTTCCAATTTTTTTCTGATCATGTCCAGGAACGTAAAGCATCGCTCTTCTTGGCCGAATAGAATCTCTAATCTTTAACTGTGAGTTTGCGTGAAAAGTTCGAACAAAAGGCGTATAAAATAGAATCTTACCTCCCACAGTGAGAGATTTCTGGATACCAAACAATTTAAAGCACAGATGCATCATTTTGTTCACTGCACAACACACACACATAAACACTTACAGGAAGTTATTTATTTATCAACAATACAGTAGACAATGTCCACATAACAAATATGGCGTTTATGACCCTGGTACACTGCCCATGCGCTAGTGATGGGTACCTCCTTTAGCTACGGGGTTACCTCATTGCGCGCAGGAGAACCGCACCCTCTGTCCGTCGAAGTTTTGGAATGTGTGTAACTACAAAGTAAAGGAAATTTTCCATCCAAACATTCATTTCTAGTAAATATAGAAACGCCGGTGAATGCACGATAATATTATTTCCAAAAATCGGTTGTGAAAAAAGTGTTCAACAACGGCAAGTGAATGCAATTGTTGCAATAAGACACTTTATGTTACACCGATTGGTTCAATAGCGGAGCCGCCAGGGTCAGATAACATACCAGATCTCTGGCGGATCAGCCGGTGTTACTTATAATTTCTTAGAAAAGTAGGTTTCTTATCATATCTTGCACCAGGTATGACTTATTTATACCATGTGGACATATTTATTAATACTTATAGCAATCAAAGTTATTTATATCACTCTGCAATGATAGTTATAGAAGAGGCCTAGCTATGTGTAGCCTTAATCGATATGACCAACAATTAAATTTTTGATAATTAATGTTTTAAATCGCTTATTATATCAAATACTCGAAGTAATTCTTGATTGAGTTGTTTCAGATCATTGCTTTCAGATATTATTATTGCCATAAATACAATATTTATGCTAATCTTGATACATTTGACAACTAGGCTTACGTTATAAAAATATACACATAGTAATTTGCATTCTTATGTTCTTTATTCGTTTATTATGTAACTGTACTCTATTTAATATATCAAAAGAAATGCTTAAACACGTACATTCCGTTGCGATTCTGAGAAAAATATGCTTAAAATTTACTGAATTTTACATTGTCATTGAACAGGTGTAAACATATTAGATTTTTACCTTTGGGATTTATTTATTGTTTTATGATTGCTGCAAATATACTATCTTACTCTAATACTATCGATTACGAATAAGTATATTGATTTAATTACGTTGCATGCGATTTGAGATTTGATTAAATTTAAACACTTGTGAATTAAATGTACCCTTTATCATACAAGGACACAATCTGTTACTATAAATTTTGATTCAAATTTTGTTTTGTTTACATTTTATCTTCTATTCTGTTTTATTCTTTATAATCATAATACACTAATTGATCATGGTACACATTAAAAACTATCAATTGATTTTCATTACAGTATTCTATTTTAAGGAATTGTGTAATTTTATATTAACATTTATGTATAGAACACTTAACCATGTTCATTTGTTTGTTTGAATATTGTTTTGGGCGTAACAGGGCTGTATGATAGCATCTTTATTCTTTTTTTAAAAAACATTTTCATAGATCACTTAAAATATATTAAATAAGATTTCCAGTGATCTATAAAAACAGTTAAATTGATTTAATATTAATAAATATTTATGGAACTAATCAATAAACATCAAATAAGAAATTCATTATATGTAGTGTTTGTCAATAATCTCATTTTTTAAAAAAACAAATTTGGTTGTTGTACTTCTGAAGCATTTTAAATTGCAGTCAAAGGTAACATAGCACTTTGTATATAAAGATAAATAATTTATTTTTAATAGATTTGATCATATTCTAACATTATCAGAGATGGGTTGCATAGGTTTTTGCCTTAGGTATTGATGATAAATTTGTTGTTTCGGCCTTATGCAATTTAAATTTTAACTGTTTGTGGTTATTATATCTATTTGCAATAGGAAGTACTATTTATTTCTATTGTCAAATCGCAGTTAGAATAGAATCGCAGTTTGAAATGTGATATATTTTCATAGATAGTTATTAACCACCAAAAATGATGGTTAGATTCATGAGTAATTTCTATCAGTTAGGATTGCATTTGTTGTGTAAACAGGCAGCCCATTTAAGTGAAAATGTATAAGTCATTGTAACATTGTACTTAATATAAAGTTATTTTTTCTATATTATAGCTTTATTCACAATTTGCATTAATTCGTTATTTACATTAACATATCTTCTTGCATATAAGCTGCGTCTACATTAAATTCATTCTTTCATGTCAATAAGGGAAGATTTCCGTTTCTGATCTGCGACTGAAAAATCGCCAAGTTTTGGCAGTGGCCTGCAAGGAACTAATAATAAAAATTAAAAAAAAAACAGGACCGATTCAAAGGGTATACTGGTAGCCTCCTGAGCAAACGTCTGAATTTTTTTTTTTTTAGTTGCAAGTGTAAAATTCATTTGGCAGCTTGAAAATTTTAGTTGGCTCGGCAGATCACAATACAGACTTTTCACCAAATTCTGTTTACTGTGTGCTTTAACTCTCTCATTTCGAGCGTCATAATTAGCTTGCATCCACGTGATGAACTGCGTGTAATAGTGCCGTTCATAGGTGGCGTCTGTTTGATAATTATTCCAAACTGCACCCTGTACTAGAGTGCCACTTTAAGCCTGCTTAATACATTTTGCTAGTCAATCAAAACAAGAAAATCTGAGCATCAGTTTACTAACATGCAATATGCACACTTCGCGACATGGTAAACTGTTCAATGAAGTTATTTTAGCGAAAAAGACTGCTATAATGAAAGGGTTAATTACCAATTACTTATGTGTGTCCTTGACCGTATTACAAAGGATTTGTGACAAACAAAGAAAAAGCAAAGTTGTTGTCCTGCTTGGTGATTTTTGAAAAGAATACATGTATGAAGTTGAAATATTCCAATTTGTCTCTTAGAAGATATTTTCATGTTGGGGTACACCTTTTCATGCCAACTGTAATCACAATTATACCATTGTCCAGTTTGTTTTTTATTTAAATTATGTACATAGTGGCTGGGGATATTTCTGTATCATGATATTGTGCTAACTACAATATCCAAGTTACCTAATAGAATTTAAACTTCAAAATTCAAATAGAAGAAAAAAACATGTGGATGTTTGCCCGGGGATTGGCTATGAGTTCAGGGCAGGGGTCTGTCCAAGCTAAATTTACTACCGTTTAGTAGTACCTTCACAAATTCAACTTTTGGAAAAACGGTAGTTTCACAAAATACTTTTTCTTTAAACTCTATTTTGGTATCCCGTAGGAAACGATTAAACCATAATTTTGTGTTTATTTTTTAATAATTTTTAATTTTCTCAAATCATGTCTAAATTTTTACAAAATAGGTAGTAAGTAGGTACCTCTCAGTAAAACCTAGGCAAACCCCTGGAGTTATACCTTTCAAGTTGGTCCCTTTCTGTGATTTTTTTTTAGTTCGTTGCAGGCCGCTGGCCGGAAGTTGCTAAGACTTGCCAATTATTCTGTCGCAGATTGCAATACGGAAATCTCCCTTAGTGGCTCGCTTTAGTATAAGTTAGATTCTCATATGCAAATTCACTGCTTTCCGTAAAACTTGGCTAGAATTTTGATAAAAGGTTATACTGACCTTTTCCTGTCTCATTGTATTTTTAATTGGTTGTTAGGTTACTTTGCTAGACCCTGCAGAAGTTTAAGACTGCATGCTATCTTGCTTGTGTAAAAAACATAATTGAATGTGCCTGAAACTTTCAAAAAAACATTGTACAAAGTTAAAATTCAGGAAGATGTCTGTATCTTTACTTGCTCCGGATAATAGCTAAATTGTGGCAACGAACGGGGAACTGTGTACTAGAAATTTTAAAAACATATAAAAGAGGTCCAACTGGTATAACTTATAGTCACCCCCAAGTAAACTACTAAACTTTTTTTTCAGCAAATGTTCCCATTTAGTTACAAAAAGAACTATTTAATCCTAATGTTTAAAAATTTTATAAATATTAAACGTCAATAACAACATTGAAAGCTTTAAATATATGTAATCAGTTGCAATGGATAATTTATCAGTATTTGTTTTAAACAGAACATATCACAAACAAATGTTTGTACTTTAAGTTCTGTTATTTGTGGTATATCTGAAGTCAAATAATGTATCCTTTGGTGATCACTGAACAATTAATAGCACAAGTCACCGAACAATTGTCTAAAAAGAGACTATAGAATGGGACTAACTATAGTCTAAAAAGAAACTATAGAAAGGGACTGACTTAAAGAGTCTAATTCTTAGTTACTCCTAGGACAAGCCATTATTTATTTAAATTTTATACAAAAACCAGGTAGTAGTAGATAGTTATTATTTAATAACAATTATAGTTTTTAGGTATTTAATTTTTTTTTTTCCTTTACGCTTTACGTTATATAAATAGTTTTCTTTTATTGTAGGTCCTTTAAGAAGTAAAAAATGAATGAACTCGACAGTCTTCGTCAAGAGGCAGAGACCCTCAAAAATACCATTAGAGTAAGTGAACTCGCTGGATGTTTTTTAAGAGAATTTTTATTCGTTACTTTCATTTATAGCCATTTAATTGACTTTACCCATGAGAGCTTTTACAATACATCTGTTATCTTTTAAGTGTAATAAAATATTTATTCTGCTTCTTAAATGATAGGAGTAAATTGGGTTTTCATTTAAAGTGAAAAATATAAATTTTATTTTAAAAACAATTAATATTTTAATATAGTTAAAATTTGAGAGCAAGATCTGTTGATTATTTTATTTTTTAAATTTCAAATTAAAATTAAAGCAATCTAATCTATTCCAAATATTTGCAAAGGGAACGAAACTGTTTTGCAAATATGCATAATATACACGAACGCCCTTCTCAGAAATTTTTTTTAAATGGCTTTTTGTTAGGCTTGCAAGTACACAAATTTTGCCAAATGTTATGATTTGAAAATTTCAGATTTTTTGGTTAGTTTAATTTCCTACTTAAATTTGGCAGCAACTAACACTTCTCTGAAACTCAGAAATTTATAATATACAACTAATAAACATTTACGGTAAGGGACAGTGTATGACAAAAATTACATAAGAAAATCTTTTCAAGATTAAATCTTGTCAAGTATTGTGATTTTTTTTAACCTTTTATCTAATAATTTACATGGATGATATACTTCCCTGAAGTTACAATAAGAAAACAAAAAGGAGAAAATATTTAGTCAGCTCATCCCCTTTACCTGAATATATATATTGAAATGAAGGAGTGACACAGGTTATTGCACTAACTAATTTAATTTTGAATTAAATTACTCAGTGCAGTTTGAATTAACAGTTTTTTAGCTGTTTTATATGTGTGTCATTCATTTTTACATGTACCTTGGCCCTGATTTTCAAAGCAATGTTTGAACAAATTTGGTGTCAACAAAAGGGCTTAAGCTAGAGTCACAAGCATGGGTGCCACTCTTCAGTCCTGGGGACTGAAATCAGTCTTGAGAAAAATCAATAGACTAATAAATTCTATCAATTAAACTAAAAAAAAATTTTTCTTTGGAAATTTAAAACTTTTTTTGGTCAAAATAAAAAAAATATTTTATCTTAATGAAAACATATGATATGGTAATGATCTCAGGACTATATTTATCTTCCTTTTGTCAGCTTCACTAAATCTTATTCTTAAAGTCTTGACAAATGGGATTGATTGAACTTCATCTACTTGTGTAGTTAAATTTGTACTATTGCTGAATCTAAATCTGCTGAAGTTTGCTTCCCCTTCCCTAGCCTATTGTCATGCTGGCCAAAGTTAAATCAAGATTATTATTTTAAAAAGGAAAGAAATTATAATGCTAGAACAAAAAATAAGTAACGGTGAAGTGAAAAATAGAGATATGAATGGTTTCAGGTTGTTCAGTAATAGTTGTAAAAAAATATACAAGGTTAGCTGTTATTTTTGTTTTGTTTGCTAAAGAAACATGAAATAAAGAAGAAAAAAAAGAAAAATAATCAAATGATTGATTTAATATGTAGGCTATTATCAAGGAAAGGCAAATTTTGGTGTCGGTGAGCTATTAATTTCTAAAAGTTTCGTAAACAACGCTAGGTAGTATTATTTGGTCAAAAAATAAGTTCAGTCTTGAAATTTTTTTAGAGTGGCACCCCTGGTCACAAGAGTCAATAAATAGCTTGCAGAAAGTTTTTTTAGTTCAGATTTTGCGTAAGATGAAATTTTCTTCACGTTATCTAAATTCTTTGCTTTCTTGTTGAATTAACTCCTGCCTCCTACATTCAGTTCTGAAGTTGCAAAATTTGTTGCTATTAATGATTCTGGAAAATTTCTTTAAGGATGCACGAAAAGCGGCGTGTGACACAACGCTGGTTCAGGCGACAGCGAACATGGAACCAGTTGGTAGAATTCAAATGCGCACTAGACGTACACTTCGAGGACACTTGGCTAAAATCTATGCCATGCATTGGGGATCCGATTCAAGGTAGGATTGTTTTACCTTTTGTTTATGTTTTTCAATTGCCTGATGTTATACTAATATTATTCTACTATTTTTAGATACTTAGTATCTGCCTCACAAGATGGAAAGCTCATTGTTTGGGACGCATATACAACTAACAAAGTAAATTATATGTCTTTTGTATATGTATTTTATAAATACCATCAGCAATAACCAATATTTAAAAAAAGAAATATTTTTTATAAAGTTAATGGACTTGTGTATTAATCTGATGTTAAATATTCGAGCCAGTTTTTAATTTAACTGAAAGTAGATTGAGCTTCTATGTCTTTGAAAACCATGAATTAGTTTTGTCAGATGCTTGGTTTTGGAACGATACAGCAGTCTCCTTATTTCTTGTTAATTTAATCTTTCTGCCCTAATAATACAAATTACTTATTGATCTTTTCCAATTTTGTACATTTGAAAATGCTGGATTTTAATTGGTCTGAAATAAAATGATTAAAAAATTTATATTAAATGTGAGGCAAAACAAATAATTGGTTAAAATAATTGGTTATAGATTGCCTAAGGAAGTCATTTTGACTGCTTTTTAATTTCAATTAGAAAAACAATGATGTCTATAATGACACAATTTCTTAGAATTTTGTGACTTTTTGTACAGCATATAATTTTTTTATTGTTAATATTTACTAATAACTTGTTAAATAACTGTAAATAATATAAAAAATGCTAAAAATTAATTTTAAACAAATTTATTCATGCATTCGCAATCCTGTCATTTTGACTGCTTTTAGGCAATTTAGGTATATACGAATTTTCCGTCTTTCTAGTGTTAATCATTTTAAATTTAGTATTGAGTAAAATTCAAATATTTTTCTAAAAACTAATTATGAAAAATTAAGAGATTAACAGTCTGTTAAGAAAGAGCCTAGGTTTTCCATAACTTGAGAACTTGTAGATCCAAAGAAATGCCATGTACATCGACACAATCAAATCCTCCTCTCCTTTTTTTCTTAATTTTCAAATTTTGATATTATCTAAAATTGTTGTTTCTCATTTGCTTGAGTTATTTTCTGGGAAAAGCAAATATTCAGCCAATCATTGTCGAATTCTTTGTATAACATGGAAAATATTATTTTAAAAAAATTATAAAGAAATAATAATTCTAGCTCAGCTTTATATTTAAAAAAGGCATGAGAAATTAGTCTGTTTAAAATTAATTATATGTGATCACAAAAAAAAAAAAATATGAATTCATATCGTAAAAAATGCTTTATCACGATCTGTTTCGTTAAAATTTTTATTTAAATTTTGATCTAGTTAATTTTTTATTCAAGACATAAAAATTTTATTGCATTCTTCATTTTTCTTTCTTTCTTTCTTTTTTTTTTTTTTAAATGTGTCAAACCTTTGAATTTTTTCTGCAGTTAGTCAGTATTCTCAGCAATAAATAATTTTGTCAAAATGTAATCCTTTTATTGTTTTTTGTTATTTAAATAGAAGTGTTGAGGTGTTTAAAAACATAAATTTTACCAAGCATTAGTTGTAAAATACGAGTGATTGTGGTCTAAGAAGAACTTAGTTTTTTGTACGTTTTAATTTTATTTCCATCTTTTCTTCTTTTTTTTTGAAATTGAGAAGAATATCTTAAGTTTTGTTTTATATTGTTGCAAGATTGTTTTTCAAATTGAGAAATTTGTACCTTTTTTTTTGCAATAATCTTTTTGGCTTTAATGTTTATTGTGCTTTAAAATTCTTTGAGTAAATTTAAAAAAATCATCCCATATATGAAATTCTACCTCAAGCTGACATTTTTTTTTTCTGATTTATAAGTCATTTTTTATTTTATTTCTTAAAGAAAGATCAAGCTGTNTTGCAAGATTGTTTTTCAAATTGAGAAATTTGAACCTTTTTTTTGCAATAATCTTTTTGGCTTTAATGTTTATTGTGCTTTAAAATTCTTTGAGTAAATTTAAAAAAATCATCCCATATATGAAATTCTACCTCAGGCTGACATTTTTTTTCTTCTGATTTATAATTCATTTTTTATTTTATTTCTTAAAGAAAGATCAAGCTGTCAATATTTTTATAGTGTAAACTTTTCAAAATGTATGAAATTTAATAAAGTAAAACTTTTAATCTACATATTCTTCTATCTCCTACTTGCTAATTTTAATAATTTTCAGTATGACTGGTTTTTTTTTAACCAAATGCATATATAAATATTTTAATTTATTATTACAAAAAAAATATTATGCAAAATTATTTAAATTGAAATATTTTCAGGTTCATGCTATTCCACTTCGTTCAAGTTGGGTCATGACTTGTGCCTATGCACCCTCAGGCAGTTATGTTGCATGTGGTGGTCTTGATAATATATGCTCCATATACTCTTTAAAAACTCGTGAGGGAAATGTACGTGTTAGTAGAGAACTCCCTGGTCACACAGGTTACCTCTCTTGCTGCAGATTTTTAGATGATAACCAAATAGTTACAAGCTCAGGAGATATGACCTGGTAAGATTAATGTTTGAGTCCTCTTCTTAAAAAAAAAAAAATTTCTAACTATCTTAATTTTTTTTTTCTCAGCTGATATCAGTGATTCTGTTAAATTTTACAAATTTCTGGTTCCTCTTACGTACATTTTTTCCTCTTTTAAGTACATTTGGAAACTAAATATAATGCTTTAATTTATTTTATTTTAAATATAAATCTTAGTAGTATGCAGAATTTTAGGTAAAATAAATATATTTGCAATTTAAACAATGTTTTAAAAATAAAAAGTGTTAACAGTTTTTTTTTTTTTTTTACGATTTAAGGTTTTTAATTGCATATAACTAATTATGAACCTGCATCAAAGTTTGTTTAATTTTACCTAGACCATAATAAATTTTAAAAGCTGGTCCTTTTTTTTTTCATGAGATGCAGCTTAACTTTATTTTTGCATCTCATCTATGATTTTTTAGATATTTAACGGCGCTGTACTGTATAAATGGAAGCAATGTGGGTTCTTTAATTATCAGGATTTCTCAAAATGAACCTAACTCATTAAAAACCTAATTGTTTTCCTCATTTTTACAAAAAAAAATTTTTGCTAAATGGATTTTTCTTATTACACTGTACTACATTTATAGCAGCTTTTATTTCAAAAACAAAATAATTGCTATTAAGCGAAAAACTTCCAAATTGAATCTAAAGTAATTTAATAAATTAACTTTCATTGTTATATATTGCAGTTAGATTTATATATATCATTAAATTGCATTTGACCAGTTTGGTAACAAGTTAATGTACTTTTAATATGACGGAAATGTGATAATTCTGTCCTTCTGAAGATTTCATGTAACTGGTTTTATATTTTTATCATGTCTATTTAGTCTAAACTATTTAGTATTTAATTTTATAAAATTACATTTAAATGCGTTGGTTCTCTTGAAACCTGTCAAATACTTATGAATTTTTGCAACACTGAGAGTTTTAATTACTTAGATTTTATTACGAGACATCGAATTTCGATGCCATCATATGAAATCAATTAAGCAATTAAAAGACATTTAGACAGGTTGATGATATTGATTAATGTCAATATAAAATAGATTCAATTTATTTTTTAAAAGAAATTTTTTTTTTTTTAAACTTCATATAATATATATATCACTGGAGCTAATTAGCAATTCAACGTACAGTGAAACCTCCAAGAAAGACCCACCTCTATTTACGACCACATTTTGGAGACACAAAATTTTTTTCCCTCGGCTTTTTGTTTAAAAAAAAAATGTATGAGAGACCACTAAAACTTCTTTAAGTGACCGGGAAAATATCTGCACTAAATGCGGAAAGCATCAATTAAGGAAACACAAAATAATATCAAAATAAAAAATGTAGCAAAATAAATAAGTTGATTGAAATGTATTCAAAATATTTGTTTGAGGCTCTTATTTAAAGAGATCTTTTTAACAATACAACCTCATGTTACAGTCATAGTGCACTAATGACGATACTGCCAATGATTTATTCAGTAGAAAGTTGAATTATTAAAAAATTTTATTTTTAAAAAAACAAGCATCTTAAACAACAAACTTGTCCTCTTTTTAAGCTAACTAATTTTTACGATACAAAATTAAGTGCAAACTTAAATATAATTATGTATTTAGAATAGCTTTATCATTCATAATTGGTACATTTATTTTTGCACATAATTATATGAGTTGGGAGCATTTTCATGGACTCTAAATTTTACTCATCTATCCGTCTTACCATGACGCCAACAAAAGTGTCATTTTCGCACTAAGGAAATGACACTGACCAAAATTAATATCGCTTGCAAAAAATCATGTACCTTAAATAACAATTTTGAAGTCATTGGGGGTAACCTCTAAGAACGACCAACATCCATCAACAACTATTTTATTGTGGAACGGAGAGTGGTCGCTCCAGAAAGGTTTACTGTACTAGAATCAGGGATGAGATTTTTCTGCTTTTTTCACTTTTATCTCTTGAATTTCAGCTTTTTATGAAAAATTCAGATTTTCTAAAGATTTCACTTTTTTTTATAAATATTCCGCTTTTTCAGAAAATTCACCTATTTTCAAAGAGAAACAGAAAAATCAAACTACATAGCTACCAATCCTTTCTCATTTTTACTTATTTTAGCTATTTTTTCTCCTTTTACACGCAGCGGTTAAGATTTTCCGAATTTTTTACCCGCCCTCCAGATCGATCCAATTTTTGTAGTTCAAACGATACTGCTTCTGAAAAGCCTTTTAGAGGTCACAAGCCTGGAATCTGCTAATATCTCTATTCTTATTCGCACGATTTTAATATCAAACATAGCTTTTCATATTTGCGTGTTGCTATTCTTATTCATGCGATTTGAATATTGTATGTTGCGATTCTTATTTACGAGATTTAAAAATCCGATATTGTAATTCGTATTTACGCCTTTTTAAAAACCTATGTAGCGTTCATATTCATGCAAGTTTTAAAACCTATGTAGCGATTCGTATTCACGCAAGTTTAAAATTCAATGTCTTGATTTGCTCATGCGGTTTATTATATCAAACATTGATTTTCGTATTTATACGTGATTTTAAAATAAGGCATTGGGATTTGCATTCACGCATTCTAAAAATTATGCATCATAATTCTTATTTATGCAATCTAAAAATTACGCATCATGATTCGTATTTACACGATCTAAAAATTATGAATCGTGATTTGTATTTACACGTTTTAAANCATTGGCTGCGTTATTGATATATTGACTGGACTGGTGATTGACTTTGAAATAATGTCGAAATATTGCCATTTGTGCGAAGTTTCGAAAAGTGAACTTAAATTCTCTTCACCTGAGTATCAGATATGGTATGAAGGACACAAAAGTTCGGGTCTTTGTGAAAAAAACTTTGAAGACTCTTCAAATGCCATGGAAATGTCTGCGGCGGAAATTTTGTGGGGCCGTTCTGTTACAGAATGCAAAATGCGGTACACAACTCTTCTTTCTGATGGGGACTCCAAAACATTTTTGCATCTAAAAAAAATGGATGTGTATGATGGTATTGATATTGAGAAGGAAGAGTGCGTGAATCACGTGGCAAAAAGACTAGGTACAGCGCTTCGTAATAAAGTTAAAGAATTTAAAGTGAAGGGTGAAACATTGGGGGGGGAAGCGAAAAGGGCACTTGACAGATGCTCTTATATCAAGGCTCACTAATTATTACAGGCGAGCTATCACAACTAATGCTCCGAATGTCGACGCAATGAAATCATCGATATTTGCTTCTCTATATCATTGCTCGTCAATAGACGCGAAACCAAAACATTTCAAGTGCCCCCAAGGAGCAAGTTCTTGGTGTTTTTATAATCGTGCAAATGCCCTTGGGCAAAAAGTACCAAGTCATTCAACGATGAAAGCTTTCCTAAACAGTAATATACTAGTCAAAATCATGCCAATATATCAACGATTGGCATGTGATGATTTGTTGAAGCGCTGTACCTCTGGGCAAACTCAGAATGCAAACGAAAGTTTGCACAGCGTAATATGGCAGCTTTGCTCAAAAGATGTGTTTGTCAGCAAGCGCCGCCTTGAGATTGCAGTGACAGATGCAATCAGCAGATTTAATATGGGAACTGTTGTTGCTATAACTGTGAAAGGGAATCTCACTTCATTAAAAGTTGAAAAAGCTGAAAAAATTGCCTCAAGGCGTGTAAAGCAAAGTGTCAAAAAGCAAACCAGCACTTTCAAAAAAGCTACGAAAGAAAAAAAATATTGCAAAAAAAATGCTAACAAAAAAATTGAAAAACGCGAAGGGCAAACATATTGTGCTGGTGAATTTTAAAACCAATTGTGGGCACTTTGAATTCAAATGTATGAAATTTTCTAGCATGTTATCGAAATTCTGCAATATGCTTTTCCTATGTGCCTGTCAATAATTTTTTTATTTATCTGGTATCAAATATATTATTTGTTTTATTAAAATTATAGAGAATAATGTTTTTAGTGTAATTTTTATGCACACAAAAATAATCTCTTTTCTTTGTTTCAAGGTTACATATGACATATTGATATGATGCATAACGAACAATATTTTTATGTAAAAATCGTTTCTATTGGTAAAAATTTAGCATTTATTATATTAAGAATACATCAGAAGTTCTTTTTATATTTTAAGCATGATATTATAGCTATTATAGTTAATTTACACAAAAAAAAGTAGTTTTTCTCCGTTAACTTTTTTTGCATAATTTACTTCTATAATTTGTCCCTTGTGACTGAATATTTGAAAATTTTTCATATGCTTCATATGACTGTTATAAAGACAATGTAACATTGTTTTCACGAAATATTAATTATAAAGTTTTTTATACAACTTTAACTGTAGGAGGAAATGAAAATTTTCGAAAAAAAAGCGTCGGAACTAAAAAAAATTTTTTTTCTCAAAACCTGTTGAAGTGAAACAATAACTGATGCTAGAGAGTCTTTATATCATCATTATCTATCTATAGAAAAAATTTTAAATTATTTGGATGAAATTTCAGACACAAGGGACAATTTTTGTATTTTTTAAAATTTTCATATTTTATTAAATTTTTAAAAAAATTTTGACCAAAATTGTTTTTACTTGGCCTATTTCCTAAAATATGCTAAAAAATAAATAAATTATGTTCATAATAGTAAAATTAAATTAAAAAACAAGTTTTCATAAATTTTCATTTGAAAGGTCCCGTGTCCCCTTAANAATTTGTTTAAACAATATAACGTTACAACACTATAAATGTCACTTTAAAATATGATTACTTAGAAAAATTACTGTTCTGCACCAATATATCCAAATATTTATAATACTAATATATAATAATATTTGGACGCGAGAAATGCAGGCACACGTGTAAGTAAACAGAATTCCTTTTGTTACATTTATGTTAAGTGAACAATTTTAACTTTATAACTGTCGCTGCACAGCCGACCCAATTTTCAGCTTACGGCTACCAATGTTAAACACCAGAGTCTTGTAATTTTGAATACAATTCAAGAGACAAGGGAACTCCTGGATTAAGTATTGGGAGAAATTTGCCTTCGTCGAAGATTTTTTGATGGAACTAACTCGCATTTGCGTGAGATGGAGAGGAAAACCACGAGCCACTCCCACTGTTAGCCTGACGGCAAGGAGACTGTAACCCATGATCCGTCTACCACTGAGGATATTTCAATGGTAATGGATAAGTATAATTCCACTGTAAAGCATTACCCATGTTGGAGACATTTATTAGTTTGGTTTTTAAATGTTCTTTTATATTATTTAATTTTATTGCTTTGTACGGTTATAAAGAAATACCTTTGTTAAAGAATGTAATAATCAGGGCTGATTGTGCTCCGGAAAAAATCCGGATTTCCGGATTTTTCGCTAGAAGTGATCCGGAAGTTTCCGGAGAATGAAGGTCCAGACGTTTAAAAAAATCATTGATCACAGAAGTTTCCGGAAGTCAGATTTTCAAAGGTGGAACTTAAAAACACAGTTTATTTTATTTGTTTGTAAGGGAGAGCCAGAGAGATACTTTATAAGCTTATATTCATGAATTATACTAATTTTTTATCAGTAAATAGTTATAGTCATGAACTCTAGAAAGAAAGACATATTTGTAAATTTTAATTACTTCTCCAGGTCATCATAGGTATGTGTAAATGGTATAGGTATGTGTAAAATTTTAAATATATTTTAAGTAAACTAAGAAATATTGAGAAAAAGGAAAAAAAAACTTGTTTAAATTTTTTTCAATTTAAACTGTTTTTTTTTTTTTTTTAAACTCAAGAAATTTTCCGGAATTTTGGCTTGGGCTCACAATCACCCCTGTTTAATTATAATTTGGTATTATTTAATTAATTTACTATCTTTACTTTGTGTGCCATCTTTTTATTTTGTAATAACACTTTATTATGTTTGTTGTTTTAGGCACAACTTTCTATTTAGAACTAAATTCTTCCAATAAGTTTTATCACAAATAAGCTCACTTTTTGCTTATGATGCACACAGCATGAACTTCTAACTTCAAGAACAGAGCATTTGTTTTAACGAGCTCTAACTAGTATTTGGGAGTTTTTTTTTTTTGTGACTGATTCCAAACGTTCATTGTTTTGTATAATGATTTTTTTTTTCTATTTCTTGAAGCGAATTATAAAACTTTAGCAACGGTAACTGAATGCCAGTTTGAGCAATTAAAAACAAGCCCAAATTCTGATAATAATTTTTAAAAAAAGGGAAAAACCCTAATTTTTCACTTGTTCCCTAAAGTAAATGATTAACTATACAAAGAATGACTTCATTGTTGCAAACGAAATGACCTTTCTAATATAAAATATGCATTGTCTGTGAGAAATCGTTTCCTTGCATTGCCGATCAGAATGAATACAAAGTATTGGTTCGTAGGTTGGACAATTTGAAAACTCTTTAGCCCAAAGAAAAGTAATTTAAATACTATGAATGTAAAATTTTTGTATTCAGCAAATTGTGGCAAGTGCTTTATATAAATTAAGAAGTTGAAGTACTGAAAGAGAGAAATGAAAGTTTAGAAAAGGATTTGAAAAATAAAAATAATGAACTAAAAATTTTAAAAAAAGTTTGATTCAGCATATAAAACAGTGGAACGCATACAGAAAAAAAGAATTATGAGCAGAAATAATTATGATTGTTGAAATTGGATCAAGCTTTTAAAAAGTGTTAGTTATAAAACTGTGTAAAAAAAAGTTTCTTCAAATACCAGGTGGACAATTATGGACGTTTCACATATTATCACACGCTCTTTCTTTCAGAAGCATATGGTTTTTGTAAATTTAAAAATTTTCCAATTTCTACCAAGCGTTAGTATGTAAAAGTGATGGTGCTGAAAGTTTTCGATTTAAAAAAAAAAAAAAAAAAAAAACATGCCTCCTTTGTTTTGACGAAGTGTATATCTCATTAAATATTTGCTAAAATGCAGAACTTAATCAAAACCTAGGTCCTTTCAAAAAAATTCCAACTGATTTTGGTTTGAGGAATGTTTGCAAATTAGAAACAAATAATTTTTACGATTTTAGAGTTACAAGGGATAAAGTCTTTTCAAAATCATAGAAAGCTTGGAACTAGTTTAAATTGATGGAAAAGCAATTGCTTCAGATTAAGGAAGATGTGGAATACGTTGGAAGAATCAAATAACAATTGAATCTGTTATTCTTTGTATCCTATCAGACCCATTTTCATAAATATTTATTTTTGCTGATATGTCTCATTATGTACAGTTACTGCGAAATCATTTATTAAACTCAAGAATAATTTAAGATGATGGGACTTTTATTTCTGGAATTGTTGATGAAGTATTGAGAAAAGATATTGGAGAGATAAAATTTTTGTCATAAACTAAGAGTTTTATTTGTTAGTTAGAGGTAAATGATAGGTAAAAAGTTACACTAGTATTTTTCTCTGCCACTACAGTAAAGGGAATTTTAAAGTTAACAAGAAAGAACATGATTTTTTTTTATATATATATAAATATATTTTTTTTTCTTTGATGTAATGAATAGCAAAAGCTTAGCAAGAAATATGAAAGCGGCTTTCGATTTTTTTCTTCCAATTTGTATCATTTTCCTGAGAAGTAAAATGAGAGTGTGTGGTAAAAAATGTCTACTGCTATTTTAAAAAGCAATTATTATTTTTATTATTAGAAGATTAAAAAAATCTATTGAAGTAAAATATATTTTAACTATTAGATTTGATTATAGAGATTATTTAGACAAATCCGAGGTCTTGTCAGATTCAATGACTATCCAAGGCCTACCGAAGTAATTAAAAGATTTAAACACTTGTTAATTGTAAAAAAGTTAAATAATTTTTTGTCAAAAGTATGCACAGAAGTAAATTCAGAATGGTTGTTATTTAACTGCTGAATTGTTTGAAAGAGACTTTAAAAATGACACATTCTAGTTTTGGATTTAATTTAGTTTTGGATGTTATTTTATAAACTTGTAGATATTATGCAATATGTAAATAGCTTCATTTCAATGTCTTGGGATATTAACTTTGCATTAGAAAATGCTTGAATTAATTCCCAAGGGAAAAAAAGACTAAATTATATAGCATTTTGTCTTACAAATATTTATTTAAATCTAAGAATGCCTTCTCAGTGCATCCGACAACGCTAAGGCAATACGGAAGTATCTTATCTTAAGAGAGATTCTTCCGTCAGCAGTATTAATGGAAGTGTGTCGAGAATTCGAAAACATATTCTGAAGTGTGCATGAGACATCTTGCAGAAAATCAAATAGTGACTCATCAAAGAACTTATAAATGAAATAAAACAATATCCTGCATTGAATAAAAAAGCGATGTGTTTATTCTGTCCTTAAAGAACTTAAATCATGGTTCGTATCATTTTTAAAAAGTGCTTGAAGGTGCTTATTTTTGATTTTCGTTTTTTAAAAGCCTTTAAAGGTGCTTTTTTTTCATTGGGTGTTTTTAAAAAGTGCTTAATTTTCCCTTGAAAATAAATTTTTTTTTTTAACCATGTCGATTTTCGCCAAGTATTTATGCAAAAGCGTATTTTCCACATTGTTCATTGTTTTTAACAATTCATTCAACCACAAACTGTTTAAGCGTACACTGTCGCTTCTTAGCGTATGAAAATGTCGATTATTTTGCATGTTTCATGAAATACTTGCGTTTCAGCCCGTGCGTTTACTGCGCTCTCATGTGCAACTCTGTTGTATTTTACAAGATATTCTCAATTTCAGGCTTCATTTTCCACCCTCTGATATTGAACTGAAAATCCTCTTGATCTATTATGGCTAATATAATCAAGAAAACAGTTATTTGTCAGAAACTGTTTATTTAATCACGATCATGTAAAGTCTTTGAGAATTACTTTGCATTTTGTTAACATGTATAGTGCTTAAAAATATTTTTTAATTTCTTAAAAGGTGCTTAATTTTTGTTGAAAGATTTGACTATGCACCCTGTTAAATAAAAATTCGCTATTTAAATAGATGCTGTCTCATAATTTCAAGAAGAAAAATGAATAGAGTAAAAGAAAATAGAAAGTCCTAAATTGGATAGTAAATTAATAAATAGTTAAAAATTCTAATTTCATAATCTTTTTTTTAATGTCATTATTCTAAATATTTGTGATTTTTTTTTAAATTGTATTCTCTCAAATTTAAATATCTATAAACAATTGTAAAATTTCTGTTATTATTATGTACCTAATTGACTATATTGTTTCAGATGTTCAGTTTAAGATTGTAGATTCCTAATGATTAAGTGTTAAAAAAAATTGTCATTACAAAAATATGTTAAAATAATTGTTAATAAGTACGGCACTCAATTCAAAATCATAACTAATAGGTTATTTTGATCATTATTCTTTTTAATCTTTTTCATTTAAGAATTAAAAAGAATAATTTTGATCTTAATTTTTTTCTAAATAAACGATTTTGTGACTTTATTTGTCTGACTTTCCATTGTTTCTGATCAAGACATATCGCAATTTACCTTTAACTTACTGCTAATACACAAGCAAAATTCTCATCTGAAGATTTTGTTTCAATGTTAACAAAAACTTAAAATTCTGATGTGACTAAAAAAAATATTTGTTCAAAGATGAGAAATTTAATCCATTGGGTTTTAAAATATTATAATTGTTTGGTTTTGTTATAATTGATTTTATTTTATTCCATTAAATTTTCCTTCTTTCTATTCTAAACTAGCTGTGGGATATTCGAGATGGAATGTGTAAACAAACTTTTCCTGGTCATGAGTCTGATATTAATGCTGTCACAGTAAGTAGAGTTTAATGTTTCTCTAATTAGATACTCTAATTTCTTCTGTTTCAAAATATCAAATAAATATATGTTATATTTTACTTCCTGTGTGTATTGTTTTTTAATCAGGATTGGAAAAAAAACTAGTTTTTTTTTCGCACAAAAAAGCATGATCTTTGGTTTTATTTATTAAGAGCCTGTGCTTTTCTTCTCTTTTTTTTCTTTAAAAAAGTCTTATAAAATTTCTGAACAATAAAATCCTTTCTTAGGACAAATTTTCTTAGCAGATCATCTGTCCACTGGAGAAAATGTTTTTCATTTAATAAAGAACAGGGTGCGTAGTGTTTGTAAAAAGTACTTAAAGGTGCTTTTTTGGGGATTTTGTTTTTAAAAGCTTTTTAATGTGCTTTTTTCAGCTGGCATTTTTAAAAAGTGCTTTTTTTTTTTTTTTTTGAATAATTTTTTTCCCCTTCAGTGATATCTGGTGGATCCCATGCATTTCACGAAAAAAGGGGAGTTTGGTACGTAATCATTCACGCGGACTTCATGTCGTACCCACATTATGACTTGCGCATGCGCGCACATCGAACCGAAGCCCGAGTGCTTCAATTCGGATAGAGAATATCAGAACCTTCTGAAATGTTTTTCCTTTTAATTTATTTTAATTTTGTTCTTGTTTATTTTATTTTACTTCTAACACTTTTTTTGACGTAGGGGGTAAGGGTACTTTTGTTCTGAGTTCAGGGTCAAGTTGAATTCGCTCGGTGATGTGGGAAAGTACTGATTGTTTCGATTTACTTTTTGGTTTTTTTTTTAACGCTAAAACTGTTTCTAAAAAGTTTTTGTTTTTCAATAATATCATTGATTGAATATGAATTTTTTGAGTGCTTGAAAACTTTTGTAAAGTGCTTTAAAAGTTTTTAAAAAGTGTTTATTTTTGATTCAGAGATTTGGCTACGCACCCTGATGAAGTGGAATTCCTCATCACTAAAGGAATTATATATAGTTTGAAAATATGTAAAATTATTATTATTTTTTTTTTTAATTTATTTCAATTTGTTTAATTTTTTGAAGAATACACATAAAGAATGTATACTCTTTTAATTTTTGTTTTAGTATTATTATTTTTTTACACATCAATTTAGATTCATTTTTTATTTTTGAATGTCAAACATAAGAAATTTATTTATTGAACCATTAATGTTTGGTAAATGTAATACAATTTGCTTCATTTTTAACAGTTTTTCCCTAATGGGTATGCATTTGCTACGGGTTCAGATGATGCTACTTGCAGGCTTTTCGATATAAGAGCTGATCAAGAGTTGGCAATGTATTCCCATGATAATATAATCTGTGGAATTACATCAGTTGCTTTCTCCAAGAGTGGAAGGTTACTTCTAGCTGGTTATGATGACTTCAATTGTAATGTTTGGGATTCCATGAAAGCTGAACGTGCTGGTAAGTTACTTGATTCTCTCATGCCTGTTTTTATTTCCTAATATGTCTTATTCTTTTATTTATTTATTTTTTTAAGTTTGATCCACCTTAATATCCAGCGGAGAGAAATTACTGACTTTGTATTTAAACAATTTTTTTTTGAATTAAATCAAACTTTTGTGAGAGGGATCAGGGTTAATTTAGTGTGCAGTTTTATGAAACTTCCATTCTTTAAACTCCATTTTTAAATATTTCTCATAATATTAATAATGGTATACAAACTAATAATTAAAAAATTAATCATGACTTTTATTTTAACTCATTACACTTAAAAGTTCTGAAGATAGTTCTGATTTGTTTCACCAACAAATAACTGAAGGTACAGGGTTTGATTGCTCTCAATTAATCTATAGCTTTCTGAAGAATTCAAATATTTTATGTATTTTTTTTTTAATAGTTTTATTTGTTTTTATAACTGTTAGGAAGATTTCATTTAACAACAATGGTTACCTTGATTTTAAAAGTAATATCCTGGAAATCGGAACATGTCTGATCATGCGAACAAGGTTCAGGGGAAATTCAAGACCTTTTTGAAGTTTATTTTACTAAAGTTTTTTTATTTTATTATTATTATTAATTCTTTATGCATATCAACTTACGGCCTAAAAATAATATTTTCTTTTGTATTAAATATAACTTAAATGACTTTATGTGTCAATTTGTTTGTTTATAAGTTTGAATTCCTTAGATTTATGCAGAGCTGATTGTGCTCCGGAAAAAATCCGGATTTTTCGCTAACCATGATCCGGAGGTTTCCGTTGATCAAAGGTTGTTTCAAAAAATCATTGATCACAAAAGTTTCCGGAAATCAAATTTTCAAAGGTGGAACTTAAAAACACAGTTTATTTTATTTGTTTGTAAGGGAGAGCCAGATACTTTATAAGCTTATATTCAAGATTAATATTCATTTTTTATTAGTAAATAGTTATTATAATCATAAAACTCAAGAAAGAAAGACTTATTTGTAAATTTCAATTACTTCTCCAGGTCATCATTGGTATGTGTAAGTGGTATAGGTATGTGTAAAATTTTAAATGTATTTTAAGTAAACTAAGAAGTATTGAGAAGATGGAAAAAACCTTGTTAAAAAAAAATTTCTAATTTTTCGATTGAATTTTTTTATTATTTTTTTTATTTTTCCTTAAGAAATTTTCCGGAATTTTGACTTGGGCTTACAATCACCCCTGTTTATGAGTAGGCCCTTAAATTTAGTTTTAAGGATTATTATTATTTCAGTATATTTCGATTTCTGTTATTTTTAACATGTGTTTAAAGTCAGTTTTTTTTTCTTTCATAAAGGAAATTGTTATCAAAAAATTTTTTTTAATATTCGAACTTTGCTTTTTAAAAATATTTTGGAAAAGTTATCTTAACTTAATATATAATATTGGGGGTAAATTTCAAACCAATAAAAGAGTGTCCTGAGAAGTATTATGGTCTCAAAATGTCCTACACCCCCTGAAACATCTAACTCATTTCTAAAGATTATATCAAATTCCCTTTCTAAAAACTTCTAACTCAAATTGCCTAATTTGAATTCAAACAATAATGTATTCATTAACTTGAGTTCAAATGAAAATTTTTGTATAAACTGGAAATCAAATATATTAACTGATAATAATTTCAGAAATATTTACCTTGAAAACTTATAAAATTAAAATAAAATCAGTTTAATATTTAGTACATGCATGATTAATTACCCATTTATCTCGCCTTGATCATAAAGACAATTATGCCTGTGTGAAGACAGTTACAAAAACAACCAAAATCTGGTGTAATTGAATTTCATGCAGCAAAATCTAACCTTGCTATCTTACCCAAAAACTTTGCTAAGTTTCTGTTTTGAAAAGAAAATATATATATATATATATATATATTGTCTTTGTTTGTTTCTCTTCTAAAAAAGAATTTTTATGCAGTTACAATTTGCTAATAACATTTAAAGTAAGTATGAAATAACATTTTGCAATAACATTTAAAGTAAGTATGAAAACTGTATTTTTTAAAGTATAAATCACTTGCAATTTTTCTTCCCTCTCACATAAAAAAAAAAAAAACTATTGTTTATCCCAACAACAGCATTGAGTAACAAATACATGAAACAATAACTGAATATCACATTTATGTAATTGGCAAATGTTAGGTACCTCTCATATTATTTGTACTATTATTGTCATCCAAATGTATTAGTATATGTGAATTAATTTTTTCCTCTCTAAGTTAGGGAAGTAAGGATTATTCGGTATCCGGCCCTTTTGCAGAATATTCGATTGACCGAATATTTGCTAAGAATTATTTGGAAAAGTATTTTTCGACTAAGTTTTCTTTAGGGGAAATTTGAATGAATTTCATAACAAGTAGTCTAAAATAGCATTTTTTGCTATACATTAGAAATTGTTTTTACGTATATTTAAGTTCTAAAACTTAATTTATGTTTTGAAAGACTAATGGAAAAGCGAAATTTTAAGAATTGAAACTAGATTACTTTATATTAAACTATAAGTTTTGTATTGTTGATTTTTTATATGTATATTCATCAAGTTAATTTTGACGTTTTTTCAGCACTTAATATTACGAAAGTTGAGAATTTTTTTTATTTGTTTCTTTTTTGCTGGTTTTCCTGTATTAACTATTTTGCAGCATTTTAACGGAGCATTTCTGGTAACTAATTCTTCTATAGTCACTCTTTTCCTGTACAGTAAGACGGATAATCGGTTACATAAAAAAACTAACTCTAAATGTTAAAATTAAATTTCAGAGCCAGGAACAATTTTTCTGTTTTTCATTAGCTTTTTTATTAACTTTTCTTTTTATCAGAATTTTTTAATGCGACATCACTTTTTAAAGAGCGTATCTAATGAACATTATTCTTCTATTAAGTTGAAGTTTTTGGCGTTCATTTAAAAATTATGAACGATTTTTGCTTTGATTTCTATCTAACTTTGTCTTTTTTAAAAACTTGCTTTTAAAGACATTTTTATTGTGATGCAACTAGGAGGTTTTCTATTAGACTTTAAACTTAACTTTTTCTAGAAAATACGGTAATTGAAAAACAAATGGTTAGCTTTAAAATTTTCTTTCAAAAATTTAGATTGATTTCTATTTGTCCTGTTTTGCTTTTGTATATTATATTTTTTTATCACCGTTTTTATGACAGCGCTGCATTTTTAAAAGCCTTTGTTATAGTCATTGTCTCTAAACGGTTTTTTGGATAATTTTTTCAGAAAAATATTATTTTTAACATTAAAGTTTTGTTTTAAAAATTAAGACAATATCTTTTTTTTTTCTATTTCTCTTTTTCTCATCGTTATGACTGTTAGTTAAGATTTTTTATTTAAGGATTTAATATATATCTATAAAAAATATTTATTTATTTTTTGGAAAAGGAAAACTTTGCTATTCGGCTGCCAAATATTTGGTATTCGGCCTATATTTTGGGCGCAATATTCGGTATTCGGAGAAATCACTTCATTACCTCCCTAATCAGAATATTTTATATCTTGGAAGAAATTTTACTTACTAATTCTGTATTTTCAGAAAATAATTTTTTGGTGTGCTAGTAAGAAATGATTTATAGTGTACTATTTATATAATCTTAAACTTAATCAATTTCGTCCTTTTTGCCATGAATGATTTAATATAATGCATGATACTCATTATACTGTTGACTAAAGATTTAAAAAAAAACTCTGATTTTAATAGTGCATAATCAACAATCTTTATACATTTTCATAAATGAGGTTTCATCATTTGAGAAATAGAATAATTATGTATAACTTTGAGTCATTATTTTGCTTAAAAGACATAGTTGCATTTGACTTTCACTAAAGTCTTTAAAGCAATATTTATGTTCTGTATTGGATTTGAATTTCAAGAATAATTGCAAAATTAATATTTTAAAAGAAAAATTCCCATAGTTAAATTTAAAGTATCTCTTTAAAATACTAATTAAAGCCCATTATCAAGAATCTTTATATTCCCATTCTGAAACATTTTATAATCTGTCAAGTATATTAAAATACAGTAAAACCTTGCTCCAGCAATATTTTGGGGACCAAATAAATATATTGTTGTAGAGGGATTTGTTATATTGAGGACCTACATACTTTGGGGATACAATCATATTTTTTTTTTTTTTAATTTTAATGTTATATATGTATTAACTATAAATCTATTTATGTATTGTATAAAGATTTTGTTTGCAGAGTTGTAATTATGGTTAAATATGAAATCAGATAGGAATGTTACATTTGTGACTTCTTAAGAGATACGGGAGGCATTTCTGAGAATAGAAGGTCTTTGGGTGGTGTATGCACATCAAGGATGGGGTATTGAAATCTGAATACAAAAGCCATTCACTCTGGTGAAAAGAAATAAGATAAGTACCAGGGTTGGCAAGTTTTTGACACATGGCGGATTTTACCGGTTTATACCATGGTTTTTTCCGTCATGTCAAAAAACCCTCTGTCAAATACGTCAAAAACCCATAGTTTTGGTAAAACTGTATTTTTATTTGAGTTTAGCTGCTTATAATTTAAAATTAATTTCTGGGCAATAAAATTAGAAAAAAAGTTGTTAAAAGATATTTAAGAACTGATTCTTGCATTTTCCCAACATGATTATATCAAAACATACTATTTGAAGTAAAATATTAGGATACTAAACAAAATTTTCAACATTTCCAAGCATCNTTTGCAGAGTTGTAATTATGGTTAAATATGAAATCAGATAGGAATGTTACATTTGTGACATCTTAAGAGATAAGGCAGGCATTTCTGAGAATAGAAGATTTTGGGATAATCAGCAGTGAAATTTCTCTTGTCAGAAAAGACCGGGGGGAAATTGCCAAAATATGATACGATTTTTTACATTATTTGAAAACCAATAAATAATAAATGGAGAAAATAAGGTTGAAATTTGAAGGGGGGAAATTGCTTCCGAGAATATCGGATTATTGAGAGGTGGATAGCATTGAAATTCATATGCAAGTTCGTCGGGACCCCGAAACATTATTGTAATGGAGGGAGTTATCGTTGTAGCAAGAGTTCACTGTACTAAACTATCTTAGATAAAAGTTGTTGTTAAGTTAGGGTAATTATTATTATTTTTTTATTTCAAGCTTTGTAAGTAACCAACATTTTTTCTGTGCAATTTTAATTTTCGTTTGTTTTATTTCCAGGGGTTCTGGCTGGTCACGATAATAGAGTAAGTTGTCTTGGAGTAACTGAAGATGGCATGGCAGTTGCCACTGGATCCTGGGACAGCTTCCTCAAAATATGGAATTGACGCTGAAACAAAACATATTTCCTGGACCAGTTATTTGTTGTTTACACATGAACACAGTAGTGTTGCTTCCTCGGCCTTCTTTTGTAACTTTACATCTAGCATTATTTAAGTCTGTGAAGAAATTTACATTCGTATGTGTGTGATTTGGCGTTCATATTCAGACGTGCATGTTTATATCTCTTATCTGTGAGTGAGTGATCTAAAAAAAACAACAACCAATCCTCCCCTCTTCTATTGATTTTTCTCATTACTGGATTTAAGAAAAAAGAAAATATACAGCTCTGTCTAGTCATGAGTATGTCGCAAAATGCCTGAAGTACAGTTGCTCTCAGTGCACGGTGCTTGCTGTTCTTTGCTTGCATAGTATTCTCTTGACAGTTATATTAACTTATTACCCAGATTTATTGCTCTACTTTTTTTTTTTTAATGTAATTCTGTAGAATGCCACTTCTGCATATCAGATCCCATTCTTTTGAGGTTTTGGTTTTTTAAAGATTTTTACGGTCAATGTGTTGGCTGGCCTGAGAGATCCGTTTGAGCCCCGGCTGGTCTCTCGCTCACCTAACACAGAAGGGTTGCACATAGACAAATATGGGATCCCATGCGTAGATATGCCATTCTTATTAATTTTCAGAGTTGAGCTTTTTTTTTTAATTATGATCAAGACTATGGACTTGTATCAAATTCTATTCCAGGCTTTAAATAAATGTATCATTGTAAAACCTTATTGTGAAGTCAGTTATGTTACGAGTGCTAGATGTGGATTCCATTTGTAAATAATGTGAATTCGTTATTTGTGGTCAAATCACATGAATAATCTAGATTGTGACTGTTTAAAATGTCTGCCCGAGTCAAAGGGGCAGACCTCCCCCTTCCCCAGTTTCACTCTTCTTGGGACCATGAAGATGATGTGGAACTTGCCCAACTATAATCACTGCTGAAGTATATTCCAAGTTGAACTCAACTTGCAGACTATAAAGTCTGTAACTGCCAATGCAGTGGTAAGAAAGATAGCATATGAAAACAACAAGACAAAAGCTACAAGAGGTTTTTTTAAATAAAAAAAAATGAAGGTTTTGTGTACTGTAAAAGTTTGTAAATCTTTTACGCACGTCTGTATTATTTATAGTTTTTTTTTTATCAATGCTTTTATGTTATATAAGAAAAAGTTTTACTATGTAGTAACATCTATAAAATATCAATGGAGGGAAAAAAAATAGTATGAAATATTTCTTTGCTATTCTCAAAGTTGTAGTTTTATATAAATTATTAACACAATTTCTCTGCCAACTTTCCTCTCTGTTGGCTTCATTTAGCCAACGTTTTTCTTTTTTCTTCTACCGGGACAGTCCTACTTTAAGACTGCCAAAATAAAATAACAATGCATTTCTGCTGTTTTCTGTCTGATCAGCATCTGACAAAAATGCTGATGGTTCTTTACAATACACTTTTTTTGGTGCATAATGTAATTTCCCAATGTGTTATTGCACTCAAGTCTCTATTCATGGAATTTCACAAGATGGTGGTGTTGTTACTTTCAGGCTGCCCTTGATTAAAATAAAAAAATAACTAATCTTTCTTTCAACAAACGGAAAGGAACTTACATTGTAGGCTCCTATGTTTATATAAGTAGATGTAGTGGAAAATGTAGCAGCCATTGTCTATTTCAAATTTTACTTAATTGTTTTTGTTGCTTTAGCCAGTTAGCATTCTAGCTCGGAGCATGCAGCCTCTTGTGTGTATAGTATTAAATCCTCCCCCCTGTGCTGTCACTTTTACAGCTCTCAGTGAGAGTCGGAAAATACTGTTATATCTGACACTGTTCATATAATACTGGAATATCTTCTTGTGTACAAAGGAGCTGTGCATGTCAGCTTCATTTTATTTTCGCCATTGTCAGTGTGAAAGTCAAATTCGAGTCTAGTTGTGTTTTGTCAGTTAAAACAAAAAAAATAAATAAAATAAAAACCGTATGTAATTTAAAATTGGTGAATAAAGCTGTTTATCTTTACGTCTACTCTTTGTTGCAGTTGCTAAACGCTTTCTTAGCTCTTCCCTGCCACTTTTAACACAGACATACCATCGATACATTTTTAAGTGTGTGTTAGTAGCAATGTTAACTAAATTAACAGTATTTTTGATTCAAGTTTTAAAAAATTTAGTAGAATTTCCAGATTAATTGTTTTAAAAGGTGAGGTAAGCTATGTGAGAGCATGGAGATGCATTTAAAAACTATATTCCAGATTTATAGACAAGAGTTTTAAAAATACCTTTTATGTATATTAGATGCTTTTACAAGTGGTGCTAATGTTAGCACTTTTTGAAGTAGATTTTTTGTAGTGATAGCGAAATAAATATTTACTTTATTTTAAGCATTTTATCCAAAATTATTCTAAATCAGAGTTTAATATAAACTCTAAATCAATCATTAAAGCTGCTTTTTTTAAAATAAAAAAAATTTTAAATATAAAAATTCTCAGATTGAAGAAGAAAAAAAATTTTAATTTTCTAAAAAAAATTTATGCTTTTCTCCAATTCACTTTTAGCGCTTTCTAAATCCCTCTTTTAGGTAATGAATTTTAGAAAATTATATTTTTCACCTTATGATCTTCCCTTAATCAGTGAAGATAAAAGTAAATTGTAAATAACTAAGTAGTTAAATTCAAACAGTTAAAACAATAACAAAAAAAGACACTTTGTAGTTGATGCTTGTAAAATTAGTTTCACATTCAAAATGCAAAATAGTTCACTCAGTTCCACACTCGAACGCTGGAATCCCAAGAACCAGTCACTACAGCCATTCCGTTGTCTGGCATACTTAATGATGAAACTCTGTTTTCATGACCTGTCAGGCAACCTAAAATTATTTTTGATGTTAAGCAAACTGTATTTCCCCATTTACATACATGTTGAAATAACATTTGCTATTTAATTCAGTTGTGAATTTTAATCGCATTGCCTTTCTTGGTGTTTAATACTATTCCAGGATGCGTAGCGTTTTTAAAAAGTGTTTAAAGGTGCTTATTTTTGGTTTTTAAAAGCCCTTAAAGGTGCTTTTTTCATTGGGTGTTTTTAAAAATTGCTTGATTTTACCTTTACCATGTTGATTTTCGCTACGAATTAGGCAGAAAGACATTGTTCTATTCAATGTTTCCACAGTTAATTCAACCCCAATCTATTTAGGCGTATTGTCAGTCCGTAGAGTATGAAAACGCTCTTCGTTTTACACGATTCAAGATTTTTCTCGAAAACAATGTTAAAAGTTTTTTTTTTTTTCAACATGGCGGTTAAAAAAGATAAAAGATAAACAAGAACTCTCCATTCCTGCCTAATTATGATACTTTTTTTTAAAGTGCTTAAAAATATTTTTTGAGTGCTTGAAAATGCTTAAAAGTTGCTTATTTTTTATCGAATAATTTGGCTACGCACCCTGTATAAAACTAATGTGCCATTTTCAATGGCTGTGGCATCGAAAGCGGTACAATCGATACTGTACAAGGTTTATGCTGGGTCTGAGAACCCAGGAATTTAATCAAGAAAGAAATGAATTTTGAAACAAAATCCTGTAAAATATTGAAAAATAGTCTTGAAATTCTCAGTAACAATAAATAGCCAGTAAGGTTCAAATGAAGTGGATCTATTAAATGCAGAAACACTAAAAATTCTGCGATATATTAAAAAAAATAATGTCTTATTAGAATATTTATCTATGCGTAATATACTCTTTCTTAAATATTTTCCCAAATACTTGTAAATCTTCTGTAATGTTCACGAGACTAGTTATAATTTTTTTCAAAAACTAAAGCTTTCTGTAAACATTTATTTTGATTCTTAAGTAGTACTTAGAAAGGCTATAAGACTGATATCACTTTATTGAAAAACTGTTGCATTGAGTTTTTAATATTTCCAGTTCTTGCGTAAAATACTGTCATCTTGTGAATTTTAAAATCTACATGATAAATATTCTCCTATTTTACATATTAAAAAATTTCTTTGCTTATTAAATAAAAAACATATTGTATAGTGTATTGCAAAAATGAGTAGGGATGTAACAAATATTCAGTATGCCACCCTTTTGCCGAATATTCGATTTGTCAAATATTCCACAAAGTAAAAAGTATTTGGAAAATTATTTTTCGATAATTTTTTTTTTGGGGGGGGGGATTTTAATAGATTTAATAAAGAATAATCTAAAATCAAATTTTTTACTGTACATTATTAAAAAGCTTTTGCGCATGTTTGTTAAGTTCTAAAACTTATTAATTTATGCTCTAAAAGACATGGAAAAGCGAAATTAGAAGAATTGAAACTAGATTTCTTCATAATGATCCAAAAGTTTTGTAATGCTGATTTTTTTCTTTTTTAATTATATTCAAGCAAGTCAGTTTCATTGGTTTTTCAACACTTAGTTTTAATGAAATGAAGTAATATAATAATAATACGAATAAATAAAAAAATATGTATAATGATTGAAGTGTTTCCATTATTTTGTCCATCCCCTGTATTTCAGAACTAAGAAGAAAAAAATTTCCTAATTCTTTGATTGTTTTATTAAGTTTTCTTTTTAGCAGCGTTTATATTATGACTGAATTTTTCAAAGAGCGTTTCTAGTAAACGTTATTCTTTCATGATCACTTTTTTTCTAAAAATACAGCAATAGCGTCGTTATAAAACTCAAAACGATTTTTGTTGTGGTTTTTATTTAGCTTTTTCATGATCTAAAATCTTATATCTTTATGGACGTTTTTAATATGACGCGGTAATTAACAAGGTTTCTATTTAACTTTAATCTTTTTAAATTCTGAATCGAAACCCCAATTTTCGTAAAATTCAAATTTTCGTAAACCTAGCTTAAATATGGAGATCTGGATACTTTTATAAAAATTTAATTTCCTTGTCTTACGTTTTTTTTTTTTTTTTTTTTTTTNTTTTTTTTTTTTTTTTTTTTTTTTTTTTTTTTTTTTTTTTTTGCTATAACTTTAAAAATAATAAAATTAAACTAAATTTCTGAAACTGTTTAAATTAATTACGGAACTATTGCTTTATAATTTGAGAAGAATGTTTTTAAAGTTGCTCAAGATATAAATTAAAGTAGTTCTTTTATACTGCACATGCACAGAAAAAAGTTCGACTTCAATATCTTAAAAATTTAAAAAGTTTCAAGCCATTTTCTAGGTAGTTTTCGTACTCTTTAAAAGAAAGCTTAAAATGATAAGGGTTTTTCCACAAATTTCACTTTGTACTATTAAACAAGATTTATTAAAAAGATTCCGGAATTGTTGGGGGGGGGGGGACACACTCTTAAAATATCTTTTCTTAAGCATATATTTCTTTATACTATCACATTTCGGCGTGTGTGAACGTTTATTGTTGGTATTATTTGTTATTTAATTTTATCTTATAATACAAAATAATATTTGTAGAAAACCCTTTATCAATTAGTTTTCTTTAAATAAAAGTGCAAAATCTGAAAAAATTGCTGGAAACTTTTCGAATTTCTTAAACATTCAAATCGGTCTTTTTTTTTCCAATTGTTGCCAAATACGTTTCATTGCAAAATTCTGTGGGGAAATTTTTTATTTTCCCGCTTATAAGTCGTATACAAGAACTTTTTTATTTGCTTATATATATTGCACAATTTTCGACGAATTTTATTGAATTTTTTGAAGTTACAACAAAAAAGGGCTTTTGTATTTAAAAAAAAATGTCCATATTTCCATAAATATTTAAGCTAGGCTTACGAAATTTTTTCTTATTGTTTATAATAACCAAAATAATTATTGCAAGTTACAAATCTATGGCTACATTTTTTGACATAGGGTGAATACTATTTTCCGTTTGTAATTTATTGTCGGTCCCTTAAACCTCTAAAATCTTTGAACTTCATGAGAAATCACATGATCTAAATACTTCTGAAGTTTTAAATGTGAAAAAATTTACTATTAGTATAGAAATGTTTCCATTATTTTGTCCACCTCCTGTATTTCAGAATTAAGAACATTTTTTTTTATTGTTTTATTATGTTTTCCTTATCATCGTTTTTATTACTACAGCATTTTTTAAAGAGCTTTTCTAATGAACCTTATTCTTTTATGGTAATTTTTTTTCTAAAAATACGACGGCGAACGTCAAAAAGTTAAATTAAGATTTTCAGCGTTAAATCTTTCGTTTAAAAGTTAAGAACGATTTTTGCTTCAGTTTTTATCTAGCTTTTTCTTTATCAAAAAACTATGTTTTTATATGAGTCTCGGTAATTAAGTGGGTTTAACTTTTTTTTTTTTGAAAATGTGGTGATTGGAAAACTCAAATGCTGTTTTGTTTCTTTTAAAAATTAAGATAGTTTTTTTTTTTTTTTCTGTTTTGCATTCGTATATAATCTTTTTTTTTACAGGCGTTTTTATGATAGTGCTGCATTTTTAAAAGCGTTCCTGATCGACATAATCTCTTGCAGTGTTTTATAGATAATTTTTTTTTATATTTTTCGAAAAATATTGCTTGTAGTATTTTTGTTTTAAAAATTAAGAGGTTATTTTTTGAATAGCTGTTAGTTAGTTTTTATTATCTTAAACATTTCTATTAAGTTTTTACCCCATACCAATAATACATTTAAGTTTTGATTATTTTTAAATCTTGACTAAACTATATAAAAAATATTTTTTTAATGTTGCTATTCAGGCAAATCACTATTCGTTACATCCCTAAAAAATAGTTCTAGAATTTTGTTGACGTTTTTACTATTGAAGTTGGGAAGTTTTATTTCTGGAATTGAGTGGCAGTTTCGGGCATAACTTATTAATCTTAAAAACGTAGTTTTTCAAAGCTTCGATGTCAGAAGAAATGGGCTAGAAAATTAATTGTAAAATGCTTAATCGACTAAGATCTCCTCTGAAAATTAAGTTTATTAACTCGTAACTGAGCTTGTTTTATTCATAAATTTAGCTTTGAAACTTAAGCTTCAAAGAAGTGATTGACACGTAATTTTCTAATTAATTTGATCGAAACATTTTCGTATTGTAAGATAAACCAATTGTCACATTTCCTGTGATTTAAAATGACAGAATCGAAAATTGAACAAAATCGGACTAATAGAAACAAAAATTTTAAAAACTACCTGTGAAACTTTATTGAACAAAAGCTATCCAAGATTTTTTTTTATCTCCTTTAAACCCTTAAGGTTAAAGGAAATTCGGTGTATAATTCAGATATTTCTATTTTATGCAATTGTACGTTAAATCAAGTATTAATTCCGGTGTCTTGGTTTCTATTTTGTCCCCTGAATGTAATATAGTCTGGTGATTTAAAACGGGGATTAACTGATAACGGATCATTAACCTTTTAACTGTCAAGTTATTTGGGTACAAAAATTGTCAATTTTTTTATTGCAAAACTAAAATGTTTAGCAAATGTTAGTTATATTTTTAATTACATGCACAAAAATAAGTTTTCATAGCCACTATATATCCGCTTGAGGCGGCTGCCGCTCAGTGTGGCAGTGGGAATGTTCGTTTCTAGTGGAGCATTTTTTCCCGAAAATTAATAACAAAAAATCGATTTAATAATTTTCTAAAAAATTAAATCTAACACTTCAAAGAACTGAACTCCATTTTGCAACCAAAAATACCACGCACTTAGAATCTAAATTTCTATCCTTTTAAACTTTCAGTAAAGTGCTGCCATCTATTGTTCTAAATTAATTTCCGAGATAGATTCGGATTTGACAAAGAGGTGAAGCAGAAATAAATTTCTCCCGATATATATTCGGGTATAACATTACGATACACTCAAAAAGAAAGAAAAATTTACCCCGAGAGGTGCTCGGGCATGAAAGGTTAAAGAACATGTTAATTAGTAAGCAAGTGAAACAAAAATCAGCTAAGCGCCACTTATGCTTGCAGGGTTTGGACAAAATAATGGAAACACTTCTATACTAACACATTTTTTTTATCGTGTGTTTTTAAACACCTTATGCCGAAAATATAGTAATAAATTTGTCACAATTGTGGGGATAGTCACATCGACAATGTCAACCTTCATCTATGAAAGTGTACCCCACCATGAAATCGAGTTAACATGTTTTATATACTAGTGAATTGGAATTATATTTTTTTGTCGTGGTAGATGCACAACAGTACTCCCCAACCAGAATTATATCTGTGATAGAATTCAATGAGCTATCATTGTTGTTTTGTGAGAAGCCGGGAGAGCTGTATTAAGATCACCGGACTTTTATATGCTGATCGTTAGAGCTGTATTAAGTTCACGATAGTGGCCGCTCCTGTTTTGCCATTATATGTATAAAGGTCGACGTTTTGTGATCGAGACTGAGTAGCAACAGAGATAGGACAATGTCGCAGTCAACTGTTCAATGTGGACAATGGAAGTAGGCATGTTCGAATCAAAGTGGGACTTTCTCTCGAGGTAGGCGTGTTGACATCACGTCCGGGTCGCCAATGTGGGGAGAGAGTTGTTATCGAAAATATCCTGCACCTATGGAAAGGTACCCCACCATAGAATCGAGTTAACATGTTTTATACTAGTGAATTGGATTTATATATTTTTTTTTGTAGTGGTAGATGCACTACATCGAAATATGTAATAATTGCGCAAAATTTCGTAAACCTCGCTTAAATATTTATGAATATATGGACATTTTTTTTTATTAAAAACTAATTTTTTTTTTTTGCGATAATTTTAAAAAAATATTCAATAAAATTAAACAAGGAGCAGTTTGAAATTAATTACAAAATTATCGTTTAAAATGACGCAAGATATGTGTAATTAAAGCAGTTCTTTTATACTGCGCATGCGCAAAAAAGAATTCTTAATTTTGAAATGAATCGTATTTAGCAACTAATAAAAAAAAGTCCGATTTGAGTCTAATAAAAAAATTTAGAAAGTTTCAAGCCATTTTCTAAGTAGTTGCCGTACTTTTTAAAAGAAAACTGAAATGATATGGGGTTGTCCACGTTTGTACTATTGAACAAGATTTATTAAAAATGATACCGGCCTTATTGGAGATCATCTTCATAAGAGTATCTTTTTCTTTGCTTGTTTTCTATTCTTATAAAAATCATACATCTGTGTATGAACATTTATTATTTAATTTTGTCCACAAAAAAAATAAAAATTTTAGAAAACCCCTCATCATTTTTAGTTTCTTTGAAAAATACGAAAACTATTAAGAAAATTTAATGAAACATTTTAAATTTTTAAGATATTTAAATCGGACTTTTTTCATTAGTTGCCAAATGCGATTCACTACAAAATTATGAAAAAATAAATGTTAAATTTTTTCCTCGCATGCGCAGTGCAAAAGAACAACTTTAATTACTTGTATATTGCATAGTTTTCTACGATTTTTTTAAAAAATTTTACAGCAATAATTTTGTAGTTAATTTATAAAACTGTTCTATAAATTCTGTTTATTGAATGTTTCTAAAGTTATAGCGAAAAAACGCAAGACAAAATTTTCGTATTTCCGCAAATACTTAAGCTAGATTTATGCAATTATTGCATATACTAACCAAAATAATTGTTAAAAATTTATTGCTACATTTTTTGGTATAGCATGTTCAGAAACACTATTTTTCGTTCGTAATTTATTGTTGGTCGTTCGTTTGTGATTTATTGTTGTAGTCATAAAATGATTTTTTAAGTATTTCTCTGAGAAATATGAAAAAATTTATTCATATAGATGTGTTTCCATTATTTTGTCCGTAACCTGTACCTTTATACGGTTTTCTATCCATTACATTTGTTTAAAAATCAGAATTTATTTTTCATAAAATATTTTCTTTGAGCGAAATATTTAATATTTATTTCTTGATTAACAGTGTGCGTAGCGTTTTTGAAAAGTGCTTAAATGAGCTTTTTTTTTATTTACGTTTTTTAAAAGCCCTTAAAGGTACTTTTTTTTTATTCGGGGTTTGTAAAAACTGCTTGATTTTTTTATGTTTTAAAAAGACATTTTTTTCTTTGCCGTGTCGATTGTCGTTCTAAATTTCAAAAAATGCATGATTTTCATAATTTTCTCTGAAATATTTATAAGAAACTAGTTATTATATCATGGTTCTGTAAAGTTCTTGAAAATATTTTTGAATTTTACTGATTTTATGTTTATAAATTAAGAACTTTAAACGATAGAAGAAAAAAAAATTTTATTCCTGCACCGATCATAATTATGATTTTTTCTTTTTTTTTTTGGAAAGTGATTAAAAATATTTTTTAAGTGCTTTAAAGGTGCTTATTTTTTGTTGAAAAATCTGTCTACTCACCCTGATAGAAATAGTTAAGAGATTTAAAATTTTAGTGCCCTTTGTCGTCAATCGGTTACCTGTGACCCATGACCCGACTGTGATGATAACTTCGGTCAAGTGCCCCTTTAGAAATGTGCTATTTTTAATTTTCAAAATTAAAATATATCACAAAAAAATCCAAAATGTTATTAAAACCTTTATAAATTTTTAAAATATTACCTGTTTCTACCGTAAAAAAGATTCTTAATTTAAATGTTTTATAGAATACCTATAATAGACATTGAGTGTCTAGGCTCATGCGATAAAAAGGCCCCACAGCCTGTGCGCCTTCTCTGCACGTCACTACAAGGCACAATATAGTTTGTCTAAAGTAAGAACTTCCCTAGCCTATCGTCTGTGGTCTAGACAAACTGTAGGTACCAAGAAGTTTTGCTCCTAAAACGTAAACTATACACAGCAGCATTAACCGATCTGCACGTGGCAGCAATCAACAATTTGGTATACATTCCGTCAGATGTGCCATTTCGCCATACATAGTAGCCATTTTCATTTTTGAAACTCATACATAAGGTTGGCCCGCAATGGCTCAGGGGATAGAACGTTCGCCTTCCAATAAGGTGAACCGGGTTCGAATCCCAGTGATGGCTGGTCGATACGAATTCCGCATCCGGCTTGCACTAATTTCAGTGCTGACGTGAAATATCCTCAGTGGTAGACGGATAATGGTTTAGAGTCCCTTTATCGTCAGGCTAACCGTGGGGGAGTCTTGTGGTCTTCCTCTTCCTGTAACGCACATGCGGGGTAGTTCCACCAAAAAATTCTCCACGGACCGCAAATTTCTTTCCATACTTGATCCACTAGTTCCCTTATCTTCTGAATTGGGTTCAAAATTACAAGGCTATAGAGTTGAAAATTAATAGTCGTAAACCCACAATTGGATAGGCTGTACAACAACGGTTATAAAATAAAGCTAGTGTTGAAAACATGAAGCAAGATAAATACCATTATGTTTTGCCTTGAGAGTGTCCCAACTATGTACTGCAGAATCATCCGATCCACACATCATCATTCGACCACTTGTAGACAATCCACAAGACGTAAATCCACTTTTATTAGAAGGTGTCTTGTACAGTCCGATCTGCTGGTCAGCTCGAATGTCGAACATGCGGGCTGATTTATCATCGGATCCCGTGCCGAAGTAGAAACCGCTCGAATGGAACTGCAAATAAGAACGTATAATTAACAATTAGAATTGCAATAGGTATGTGATAAAAGAATCAGTGTTTAGAATAATTTTTTTTTGATTTTGTAGATTTTGGCAACTGAGGCATCAGTTGGCGAGTTTCTTGTGTGATAATCAAATTTTTTTTTCAAATGAATTTTATTATATTGTGTTTGGCAACAGTATAAATTGCAAAATAAATAAATTGTTTGTTGACAGATGGCGCTGCACTTTCTTTTCAAAACTGCTAGTCTATTCAAAATATCAGCAACGAGTAAAACCGAGATAATTTTTCAAAGCATGTTGATTTAAATCCTGAAAGTAGAGACATTCGGTGGCAAAGACTGTAAGTATGAAAGAACCTCGAACCTATCGAAATTGCAAAGAAGTTAAACAAGGTTAAGTTACTTTTTATACCTCCAGTGCATCATACTTCTTTTTTTTTTTTTTTTAATATAGCAAATAATGCTCTCTCTTATGTTCGAACAATATTTCCGAGAAAAACGAAATGGTTATAGCTATCTATTTTGGATTTTCTTTAAAATTGGTATAAATCACATTTTAAAATAACTTTAATTTACTATATTTGAACCAATATATTTATGTGGCATATCAATGTCCCAAAATAAGTTTTTCATTTGGAATTTTTTTTTTTCACAGAGCTGAAAAAAATAATCATTTGAAATTTTTTGTTCATGCATGGTATTTCATTTCGAATTAGACAAAACAAAAAATAGCATGGCACAATTCATTTAAGCGAAAGAAATTAATTCTGAAACTACAAACTAATTTTATCTGAAAACAGCGAAAAATCTACCGCTATCAAAATTGTAGTTGGAGGTAGGTAATCTTAATCAAAATGCCGACCAGGTGGCGGGGTGGTTAGCGTGCCTGACTGCGGAGTCGATGGTTGCAGATTCATATCCCGCTCAGGGCATGGCTGTTTCTTTCTCTCTGTGTTCTATGTTCTTTCTTCTGTGTGAATGTAACCTGCCCTATAAACGGGTTTGTGGTTGTATGACGTGGGTGACGCTACTCCACCTCCGTGGCTTAGCCATAGGTGTTCACTGGGTTACGAGAAGAGAGTAGCAATTCTGGCATTTCTGAGGCCAATGGGAAATAGACCCAATTGCCGGCCATTAACAAACAAAAAAATCTTAATCGAAATGGCGTCAACTATGCAAGAAAAAGGGTACAGTGTTTTGGAATACGCCAAAATACCATCGTTTTAATAGATTTTCGCATGGAATTCTTCAAAATTGTATGCCTGAAATTCAGTGAAAAATCGTCACAACATAAAACTATGTTTTATTCAAAATGTCCTGTCCCCATTTGACCAGCGGAAACTCTAATAACTCTAGTTTCACTGTAGATTGAATTTATTAAAGTAAATAAATTGTAACCTTCATAAGTCTGAAAGCATGCCCTCTTTTTGCCCCATTCTTTAAAAATAATTTCAGTATATAGTTCGTAATTATAGTTATATTTCTATAATCATTAAGTTAAAGGTAATCAACTTATTACCATTAGCTGCCAACTTTTACAATCGTTAGGAAGATTTTACAGAAAAGCAGTAAAATAATTAGAATAAGAAAAAATTTCTAAAAATTAAGCTGCTACGCCAACACTTAAAATCCAACTTGACTGAATACTAGATCCTATTATATACTATCTCCGAATACTATGTGATGGTAGGTAAAAAAAATTTTATTTTATTTAAACATTAAAACCGAGATTTATATGAAACATAAATGTTGCTGCCGCTAAGAAAAAGTTTTCCCTTCAACTGTACAAAATAATACTTATGCAAACTGAATTAGTTAATTTCTAAAATGAACTAATTCAGTTTGCATAGATGACCTTACAGTAATCTGTATAATTTAATTATAGGAAGGTAGAATTGATGAAAGATATCTAAGGAATACTTACGCAAACTGAATTCACATCTGATTCATGGCCCCAGAATGTTTGCTTACATTTTCCATCTCGGATATCCCACAGCTAAATAGAAACGGGAAATGTTTTTTATCCAATCCAAAGGACATTTTTAATATATGATGATAAAAAATTAAAAGCGGTAAATTTATTAAAAAATTACATGAATCCTTTTTTTAAATTAAGTTTTATTACATTAATAACACTGTATGATAACCCAATGCTTCTGATATCTAATGTACTTTGTTTTTATGAACTTGGTTGGTTTTGGCGCCCAATACATCTGATTTGCATTCCATAATCTACATTCTCAACATTTTAGAATCTTTGTTAAAAAAGTTTACACATTAGTGGTAATATCTTAACGAAGAAAGGATAATTTTTTACTCACATAATAAACTTATATTTATTAGAGTATAACTGTTAACCTTTCAAGTAAACATGAAGTTATTACTAACCGCAACACATTTGCAAATTTTAAAAGTGGCCAGTTTTAGCCTTAAAGCAAAACTATAAATGTATCACAAAACTTTCTCCAATGGGTCACAAATTAATACTGATACTTTTCCCCCTTTCCAGTTCAAGGAATTTTTTAGGCATACTAAAGTGTTATAAGGTTAGAACAAACCCCCTTCTCCAAGATAGACCAAAAGGAAAAATCCATTGGATTCAAGTCTGGAGAATAAGGTGGCCCTTCTTGCGTTTTTAGAAAGTGAAGGAAATTTGTCGTGCACCATATTTGAAGGCTTCTTATGGCTCTTTGTAAGACGTCTTTTAAAAATATAAGTCTTAGTTAAAATTAGAAAGGAAAAAAACATCCTTTTAATACATTTAACTTATTCCTTGTCAAAAGATAGAAATACACTTATATTAATGATACAGACCTATTTTAATGATAGAATGATGATAGTATATATTCTAATGATTTGGAAAAGAAATAGTAGGACCTACATGCTGAAACTAACAAGATATTCTCTTGTGTAAATTAACTTTTTAAAAAAATACGCAGTCACCTGTTTTCGGATAGAAAGATATTATTTATTAATGTAAATATAGTAGAAACAAATGTTTTATTCCTTCAAGATCTTAAGAAAATAATAATTAAGTTACTAATTTTTATTTTATTTTTAGAAAAAATCGGACATGTACTGGACTTTATTTTGCATTGAAATTGACGAAGCTTTCATGCACGGTGTCTATAAAATGTTGTGCAAAGAAAAGAAAGAAAAAAAGGGGGGGAGGGAAGGTTTTTTTAGAGGAGGTATGATAACATCATGAGGAATTAGAATTGCATAGTAACCTATGGCCGGGAACGTCTTGGGAAACGGATAACAAAGGTAAATCCAGTGGGAGAAAGGATCATGCTAGTCGTTCCTTTTTTTTTCTATTTTGTAATGTAATGCGCTACTTTAAAAAAAAAAAAAAAAAACAGTATTGTAGTAAATAGTGCGAAAAAAAACAGTAGTTTGTAGCGACTTCTGGAATAACGCTAGCTTAATTTAAAAAAAAAAAAGTTTTTCCAAATCTAATTAGGGATAGACTGGTTGGTAGGGCAGTGGGCCCATGCCTGGTTGGTAGGCCATGTGGGCCGGCCGAAGACTCCCCGTGTTGTATATGGTGACTGCTGCACGTAAAATCTGTCCAGTTGCAAAGTCCTCCATATTCCCATAACAAATCAATACCTCTGGGGGGTACTGATCTAGGAGTTTCCTTGTCTTCTGGATTGGTTCAAAATTACAAGGCTGCGGAGTTCAACATTAGTAGTCGTAAACCCATAAACTGCTGGGTCGGCTGTTCAACGACGGATATAAAATACAAATAAAATCTAATTGGTACATATCATTAATAGCCTGTCAATGAACGTAATGAGAATTAATAAGAATTATGCACATTAAAACTAGACATTAAGAACAACAGCTACCAATTTATTACTTTTGCCTCACCTTCAAATGCAAATGTACACTGATGAAACATTGGTGTCATTTCAGTGAAAGAGAACATAAATTCTCTGTAATTTTCGATGTCCTTTACTTCTTAGAGGAAATAAACGAGTACTAAACACTTCAGAAAAATTTAAAATATTTCATAATTTCTCAGCATTTCTTTAATTAAACATTCGCAGTCGGAAAAGGCATAAGAAGGTAAAGGCTATAAGAACAAATTCATAAAAAATCAAACTGGCTCATGTAAACATGTATGAATAATGTTTACCATTTGGAACATAAGCGTAAATAAAGTTCTTCAGCAAAGTTCATTCCCTAAAAGTATTCTAGTACTCCCTAAAAGTAACTCTTAGCATCAGTTGAAAAAAAAGTGAATTAATTGTCGGACATGGTCGCACATTATGAGCTTCTTATTGATGGCATTAGCAAAACAGCCAAATCTTGTCACGAAATCCGAAATCCATTGCAAACTCCACTCAGAAAGCATGAATCAAGTGGTCAAAGCACTTGGCAGTACACACGCAGTTCTGCTAAGTGTATTATAGCATTACAGTTGCGGGATACAAAACACAAAAAGTCGCCTACGGAAGTGAAACCTCGACAACTACACAATATAAAACACAAATTACTTTCATCTTAAGAAGGAAAAATTATGCGAAAAATATTTACACCTGTAAAAGATAATCATGTTTGGAGAAAGAAAACAAATTTATAAATTGCAAAATTATATAAAGACAAAGATATAATTACCATCATAAAGTCTATAGCAGTTAATAAAAATAAACAAAAATCGAAGTTTAAATTTTAAAAAAATTCTTAGCGGAAAGATAATACGAAAGCGAAATGCTGAAAGATTCAGAAAACAATGGCTTGAGAAAGTTGACCGAGACTTTGAAATCAAGAAAGTTATAAAAGGAAAGTTGATCATCAAAAAGTTTGAAGTTGTGCGGTGAGTAAGGTGTTATAGAGCCAAGGAATAAGTAAGCTAACTACGAGGTTTCTTAGCCATATCAGATTAACACACAACTCAGGTAATCGTCAGCATCGATCTAAGTAAGGTACTAGCGAGGGTTCTCAGCTATAGCATATTAACACACACCTCATGCAATCGTCAGCATCGATCTAAGTAAGGTACTAGCGAGGGTTTTCAGCTATAGCAGATTAACACACACCTCATGCAATCGTCAGCATCGATCTAAGTAAGGCACTAACGCGGGTTCTTAGCTATAGCAGATCAACACACACCTCAGGCAATCGTCAGCATCGATCTAAGTAAGGTACTAACGAGGGTCCTCAGCTATAGCAGATTAACACACAACTCAGGTAATCGTCAGCATCGATCTAAGTAAGGTACTAGCGAGGGTTTTCAGCTATAGCAGATTAACACACACCTCATGCAATCGTCAGCATCGATCAAAGCAAGCTACTAACGCGGGTTCTTAGCTATAGCAGATAAACACACGCCTCAGTCAATCGTCAGCATCGATCTCATGATTGCCATCTCCAAATCAGAGTTTATATGTATAACTTACTTTCACACTTCTGTCAACAGATCCTGTCACAAAAGAGGTTTTGTCAGGATGTAATGACATGCTTATCACGTCACCGGCATGACCGTCACATTCAAAGTCTTTGACTCCCTTCTCCAAATCCCACATCATTCTAAAACACATAAACAATAAATATATACATCGTCATTAGGGTGATTCGCTTAAGTGCGTACAGCATTTCATGAAATAACCACTTTTAGCCATGGAGCCTAGGGTGTGGTGGTTGGTTGTGTCCAGGCAGTGGCGTAGCGAGCTTAACTCGCGCCCGGGGCACAATACCCTTTTAGCGCCCCCTATTCAAAAACCATATAATATTATATGCAAAATATACTCGCAAATTAATAATACATATGATTAATAATCATATGATTATAATACATTAATAAAACTAATTACTATCTCTAAATTTTTCGTGCTTTTGATGAAGCAAATGTATCAATAATATCATCAAAATTGTTCATTTAAAATTTTTCTTTTTCCACACTTAAAAATGCTAGGTCACTTAGGCGATCTGTCAAAATTAATTTTAATTTGCTGAATGAACGTTCGCAGCTAGCAATTGATACTGAGATAGTCAGNTTGTTGTTGTTGTTGTAGTTCATTTACGTCGCACTAGAGCTGCACAATGGGCTATTGGCGACGGTCTGGGAAACATCCCTGAGGATGATCCGAAGACATGCCATCACAATTTTGATCCTCTGCGGAGGGGATGGCACCCCCGCTTCGGTAGCCCAACGACCTGCACGCGAAGTAGAGCACTTTACGGTAGCACAGTTTAACGAGGACCAATACCATACACCCTCGGTCCCTGCGCAGACTGATCCAAGTGGGTCACCCACCCGCACACTGGCCGCAGCTAGTGATGCTTGACTTCGGTGATCTGCTGAGAACCGTGTCTTAACGATCAGTTCACTGCGGGACGCCAGAAGATGAATGAATTCATTTGTGGTGACAAATATGAGAACAACAAATTTTCCTGTTAACAAATTTCTTCATACTCTATTCACTTAATAATAGAATCGTCGAGTAGATGTTGTAAGTAATCTTATTTGATTTATTACTTACCAAGAAGGCCTTGAACTTGAAAGGTAGTAACATAGTGAAATATACAATATAATTTATGCTGACATTAAACTTATATATAACATTTCATCTTTATTCTAAGCATAGAGCAATGACAAGGACGTGAATTAAATATTGAAATATATTTAATATGAATATGAATTTAATATAATATTTAATATGAATTAAATATTATGAATAATATTTATGAATTAACATTTATTATATTACACTGGCACTAATTTAAAATATATTTTCCAGAGATCAATTATAATTAAAAAAAATTATCCAGCAATTTTTTGTTTTGCGGACCATTTGGCGCCCCATTGTGAGTAGCGCCCGGGGCATGATGCCCCCCCTTGCCCACCCCTCACTACGCCACTGTGTCCAGGAGATGAATAGATTGAGTTTACATTTTAATTAGTATTTATTTTACATTTAAGTATTAAGTATAAAAAGGGAAAATATGAAACAAGAGCAGCGCGTCATTCTACAATGGCGGATAGGATTCTTCTGGTGAATGACAGAGACAGTTATGGATCGTAACTGTCGCGGTTACGATTAAGTTAAGTTCAGTCGCCGCAAGGGTATAGCAATAACAAGGCTATCTAGGGTATAGCAATCACAGGTCAAATTCCGGCTATTTGTCACACAGTAGGGGAGAGTGGGGTCAATTGTAACATTTTTTACTTAACTATTTTTAACTAACAAGAAATCCAATATATTATTAGTAGTAATTGATAGACGAGTAAAGTAGATTATCCTCTACTAGGAAAAAAAATAAATACCTTATTTTAAATGTTATTATATTAGTTATTAACAATTTTTGACAGTCGTGCACTTGTTACAATTGTCCCCACTTACGGGGTCAATTGTAACAGTTCATAAATTCAACTAAAACATAGTTAATTATACATGTTATCATAGTTGTGATATATTTTTTTACTGATCAAAATAGTAGTACATGTAGATATTTTAGGAGTAAAAATAATAATGAGCAGATACCTAAAGGGTTAAACTTTTAACTTTAAGGGGTTAAAATTTTAATTTATGCTGTGAAAGGTGACAAATAAATTAATGCAGGTGCAACATAATATAAATGATATACGAAGCTATTGGTGGTTCCTAATGAGTTACGTAA